CGAAAAAGCCTTTTCATTCTTCGCGTTAATATATAGCCTATGACACTCAGAAAGAACGTGGCTTTCTATTGGTAAAAGAATTTTGAAAATCGGTTCAGTAGATCCAGAGATTACCCCCTACAACGTCACAAACTCACAAACTCACAAACTCACAAACCCACAAACTCACAAACTCACAAGATCACAAACTTTACCTCTTTATAATATTAGTATAGATATAGATATTATTTTGACTCGAAATTGAAGATAATAAGCGTCGGGAAACAATTGACATCCGTTGCCGAGATACGAAAAAGCAATGTGTGTTAACAAATAAATAATAGTTATAATATAAAAAGTCTTTAAATTACAATTCTGTAAATAAAAGAGTAGAACTGAAAAATAAGTATTCTGCAGTCTGAGACTACAAGTTTCCACGAAGAAGGCGTTTAACATAATATAAATAACTTATTTATTTATGATCAGCAGAAATATCTTATTGTATAGAAGGAGGAATATTTTAAAAATGTTACATAAACATGTCTGGGAAAGTGTACGCATGCGCGCTCGTTGTCAGCGACTGCGGGCACTCGGGCTGCGACGGCATGCCGTGTGTGTGTGTCTTACTTTGTTACCTCTATTGTATAGCATCATATACGAGTATAAACTATTTACATTGTTGCTTTAGTAAACCTGACAAAATGGACGACATTTTAGCGTAGCATATGGATGGCATTAGCAAATGAAACTTATTGTATCTATACTGCTACTACTTCTGTTTGTTTAGAACTATGTAATCATGTAATGTAAACATGTATATAATATATGCGTGTAGCTACGTAGGTATGTGTGCGTTTTTTTATATATACTTAATATTATAAAGAGGTGAAGTTTGTGAGTTTGTGACGTTGTAAGGGGTAATTATCTGGATCTACTGAATCGATTTTGATGAAATTTGGTAAGAAGATAGTTTAAGATAGGATACATTTTGTCCCCCCCCCCCAACGTGCGTTCACCTTGTCGTGGTGGGGGGGCTCAGTAGTAGTAGCGAAGCTAAGAAACGCACAGGGAGGTTGCCCACTTCGGTGGGCGGTGGGAGGTGGCCCTCTTCGGGGGGCGGTGTACCATGCGGGTTGCTCCTGGTACTTCTCTGATAGCAGAGTGGACTGTGGAGCAACCCCATGGTTATGGTGGTCTGCTTCGGCGGACCTGCCGTCAGGGCGTCGTAGTTGAATGCGTTATCGATCCTGCGACGCCCCATTAAGACGGGGGAAGGTTTTGTTGGGTTTTAGTGGGTAGTACTGGCTGTATTACGCCGGTGAGTCCCACACGTCGTGCGTAAATGCATTTCCCAACGTTAAAAAAAAAAAAAAAAGGATACATTTTGTCACGGAAATCATCCCTTAAGGGAGTGAAAATGGGACATGGAAGTTTGTATTGGGAAGCAAGTCAGGCATGAACCCGTGCGAATCGAGGGTGAGTCGTTATTTTCAAATAATATCGATAATGTATATGATATTATTTTTTATTTTGCATTACTAAAAAAAGAAATAAAAACACTTAATTAAATATGTCGTATTAAAAATGTAAAAGTCAATTTGTAGTTAAAGATATTATACAATTTAGTTTATTTACTACAGCTATTGTGGTAGTTTTATAGTTAAATAATTTGCAACACGTTATTCTTCCTATGAAAAGCACTAAGAAGTTTAATACAAAGGTTCAGTTCTGGATATTTTCCTTTATTTTAATTAATTTGTTGGACCTGTAAAATTAAATCTTGATCGACGTTTACAAAGAACCAAAGTACGCTTCATTCTTCAATAAACCCTACTTGGATCCTATAGTACCTACTTGAATTGAACTGAAAAATGTCGGAAGATTTTAAAATTTAATATTTGTCACTATGCAACTTGAAGTAAATTACTAAAATTTATAATATACCTTAATTTTCTTGTTTGAATTCCATTGATAAATCAAAGAAATAATCTTTTAAATAAAATATTATCATATTTTTGTGATGTTCTAGGTGAAAATGTTAAGTAGGGCTTTTAGCTCTCCGTGACCTAGTTTTCCATTACTACGTGATGTATGTCATAGTAAGCACGCTCATGAGCGTTCTTTAATTTTTAATAAACACTAACAGTTCCTCTTTTTCATGTCATAATTTTCAATTTATCTATCTATATACTATTTACAGTAAAAACTTAACACTTAGGAAAGTTTATGGATGTGTTAGAAAAAAAACTTAATCATAGGACTATTTTATTATCATTCTAGCAGAACCCGCGGCTACGTTCGCGGTAAAACTACAAAAAAATATCTAAAAAGGTAGTTTCATACAATCTTTTATCTCCTATTTTATCCCCTTATAGGATGAACTCCGAAAAATGCTTAAACACGTATTTATTTAATTTTATTGATTAATATCAAGTTTCAAATGATTCTGATCATAAATATTTTTTTGTATTGTATTATAACGTGTTTTTCCCTGGAAATTAGATGATTTCCCGCGGTAAATTAAATAAAAAATAGCCTATATCACTCTCTAGCCCTCTAACTATTTCCACACAAAAAATTACGCCAATCCGTCACTCCGTTTCGACATGAAAGAGGGACAAACAAACAAACAACTTTCACATTTATAATATTAGTATGGAAGTATGGATATCGGTCTACATCATAGTAAAGAGGTACCAATCAATGCAATACCAAAATGACATTAACATAATCGACAGATTACAAAAAATATTTATATTTTAGAAAGGTTACCATAGATAATGTTGTTAAGCGTTAGTGTCAATCCTCTCAAACTATTAGTTAATTCCATAAAGGTTCTATTGCAATCAAGTTCTTCGACTTATATACTACCTTTATAAGTTCCCCATTCAATCGTTAGATAGCTAGTGACGTCACGTTGTCATAATAATAGGTCTTTCATATTCCCAGTGAAGGCGGAAAATACCAGACTTGTCGCCGCCAACAGTGCTCAATGAATGAGTACATTAATGTGGTCTCAAATCTTAAGAAAACCTTTATATAAAGTTGAATTTCAAATTAAACAACTAATTAAATAGTACTAAGTTTTTGTTAATTTATTAACTTATCGCTGTTGTCGTAAAAACAAATTGACTATTTACGCGCTCTTCGTATTTTACGTATTCCATTGTTGATCTGCCGCGGCTCGTTACGGTACTGACTTCGTTACACCAGCGTGTATCTTTTAAGTAACGCTATTTTGGCTCAACAGAAGAACTTGTGTACTGTTCAAATGTTTTATGATAAATTTAACATTTATAATTCTTTATGTTTATATACGATATAATTTTACTAATATCTTAAGAGTGAATACAGGTAGTTTATGAGCCTGAGAGTGATATAGGTTACTATAACAATATATGTAAAAGTATAAAAAAATAGCTAATAACTAACCAATGTTAATATTAAAAATAAATATTTGCGTAAAAGCTGCGAGACATTCCTAATAATTAAATACTATAACGTCGTATGTATATTATAACAGACTAGCATTGCCCGCGGCTACGCCCGCGTTCAGATGACCAAAAACCAAATTGTTAGGTTTTACATAATAGTATATTCTTACAATGCAATTTTTGTATTTATTCTCACAAATGAGATATTTCCCCGCTGTAAAAAGTATCCTATATGTTGACCCGGATAACCAGTTATGACCATACCAAATTTCATCAAAATCCCTCCAGTGGTTTTTCTGTGATGCGGTAACAGACAGACAGACAAAAATTCTAAATACTATAGGTTCGACTTCTGTATCGATAATAATGTTAATTTCAATAAGATTTTCCAAAAAATATCTAATGTACACATTCGGCTTAGTTACAATTTTATTATATGTATAGATAGATTTAAACGTCCATACATATATCGGCTCAATACAATTTTGCAATTGGCAACTTAATGTATTCGAAAGTCATATCCATGGCCAGAACTGACAGTGCATGTTAAGTTTAACGACATGGCTCGAACGTTGTATGTAAATCTACCTTCAATTCCTTAATTAAATTGAACAATTAGATGAAATAAAGATTTTTGTACTGAAAAACAAGCAGTTATTTAACTTTTATTGAAACACTATTAGGTATCGTATACGAGTTATTGTAAAATTAGGCAAAATATATTTTTGGATTTATTTCAAAAAAAATATTAATCTTGTTTATATTCCCTCCATGAACGCGGACACGCCGGCGTTACAGTTAACAATATATTTCTTAGAAATTTAATTAATTTCTTAGAAATTTACCTGGAGGTGTGGTGTTAGCAGTTTGGAAACTTTGATATTTGTAAGTTGCATAACATGTCAATAGCAGAAGCATTTTTAGATTTTGGATAAGTGACAGATCCTTTAACAATAATACTATGTAGCATCTATTTTAAGGTACGTTTCAAGAAAACCTGGACTCTATTTCCTTGTTTAGCATCAACTAATTAAAAGACACTTTCGACTCAAGTTAACATATGAATTTAACCCTCTAAAAATTTTAAACCTATCATCTCAGTATATTTTAGCTTGTTCTTTTGTATATAGGTAATGTCCCATGACAAAGTTTATGAGTGATGCAGTTCCTATTAAGTTCTTATTTACCTAGTTTTTTATTAAAACATTTTTATGAAAGACAGTAGTATTAAAGCAGTCAATCAAATTGATTTAGAATTGAATATATTTAACGTGATATATACATACCTCCATTAAGATGGCTGTTTTTGTAAAATATTCAGCGAAGGAACTTATTACACTTAACATATTAAACTAAGCAATAAACAAACATATAAAAAACTAAAAAAATATATTTTAGCAGAAGTTGAAATTCAAAAGAGTAAATAATAGTAAATAATATATAAATAATAAATATATGTTGGGACATTAACACACAACATCATCTAGTTCCATGGTAAGCTACGAGGCTTGTGTTATGGATACCAGATAGTTGATACACTACACATATATAACTTTAAATACATACATATTATAAATATAAACACCCATGACTGACATGACCCATCACACAAATGAATGCCCCCAGCGGGACTTGAACCCGCGACCGCTGGCACAGCAAGTAAGGGTTACTACAAACTGAGCCAAACGTGTCGTCATAAAAAAAGATAGCGTGGTTAAACTCAAGTGCACTTTTTACACCTGTTTCGTCATCTTTTTACTTTGTAACAAACACTTTTAGAACTACCAACTCAAATCCTTTATTATAAAGTTGTGTAAATTACATGTGTACATATATAATATAATTTTACGCTATATCCCTTCCGAATACGCCATTCGGAGAGTTGCAATTGCTATAATCTCTCCATACCCTTGTCGCTTCTCTAATGTACATTTCACGTTATTTATTTTACTAAAAATGTTTGAGATTAGGTCTTTACGATGAACGACGAACGTCGTTTTGACTATCTCTAAAGGTTTAGCTAGTATTAGCCATGTACTCATAGGAAAAGAATTTTTTTGACAGAACACCGTCTAGACTCAGCCAGTTTGTACAAAATATATTCATAAACCTTCCTCGTTTAGTGCTCTTTCTATTAGTGAAAACGTATGAAAATCCGTTGCTTGGTTAGTACGGGGTCTCTATTGTGACCATGATTTCTGTAAAGCATTCGAAACGTCGGAAACCAAAAATCAAAACAAATCCGCGAAAAAATCCGAAAAGAAATAAAACTATTATATAAAATGTCAAATATTCGCGTTATTCTAAGAAAGTAATACATACATTAAATACATAGCAGATTCATGAATAAAATTACTTTCATTGGTAAAATTTCCATGACATTCCCATTAGGTTTTATAATGAGTAATCCTAATAACAAAAGATAGGGTTCAGAGATGTTTTAATCAATTTGAAATTATTGGTTATTGCAACATGAGTTCGTTCATGTTGCAAAACAGTGAATTGGAGTTTCTTTAGAGCAAGTATTAGTTTTCTTATAACATATCTGAGGATAGTGAGCCGCTAAGGCATATTCTATGTTTGATGAAAAAATATACATTAAAATTGAGAAGTCAGTGTAGGGGGAGGTCCTTTTACAATATTCTTAGGAGGAAATCAGGATATACTTATAAAAGCCAAAAAAATCTTGTTATTGTTCTGTTGGGCTTATTTTATCTTAAAAAACCAACTACTCGTACATTAATTTACAAGAATCATGTACTAAAATTACGTTTCACTTATTTAGATCGATGAGATAAACTCAGAAATACATATTGGGCTTTCCACTACGCAGTTCTAATGCGTTCTGAATGGAAATAAGTAGTTATGACATGACACAGTACAAATTGAGCCACTTTAAGTCACTTATTTATACGAGTATGTATGTATATGGATGTCGCCAATTTTAATTTAAACAGCGTTAAGGTACCTTGTTTGTCATCAGAAGATACATAAATTATATTCATGTCTAAGCTTCATTAACTCATCCTGTTTACATGCAATTTTTATTATTTTATTTATTTATTTATTACTAGCACTGCCCGCGGCTTCGTCCGCGTTCAGGTGATCAAAAACAAATTGTATGCTTTTATTAATGTCTATGTACATTTTGTAGGAATATATTTATATTAATACAGGACCTTTGTCCTTTACATACAGTTAACTTTTTCATTAAATCAAAGCAGTTATTACGTAGAAGAACGATCACGCTGCTTTAAAAATTAAGCATTAAATTCAAAAATATATTTTTGAATTCAAATTCAAAAATATATTTTTGAATTGAAATTACAAAATATATTTTTGAATTTAATGCTTAATTTTTATCATTTTTTGCATATTTTTAATATATTATTATTAAGATAGGGTCTAACTAAATCTCGCACTCTGTTAGTGATTTATGGTTTTCTTTTAGAATTTAGTGAGAATGCTTTCAATTTCAATATTGACGATTGTTACTTATGTATAGGTAATTTGAATTATTTAAAATAATTTTAACTTCTTTACATATATTTTAAATATAAAGTTAATATTACACATACAAAAATAAATATATATGTTAATATTAAACATACAAAAATAAAACTCGTCACGACAAAATCCTTCCTATACGATAATATATTTATTGATCAATGTTTTTTGCATTTCTCGTCTATGACAAGTGGTTCCTTTTTATTCAATTGTGATTGATTGCAGGCGCAGTTGGAGTTGTTAGGCAGATGTTGCGCGCGCGCCGAAATTGTAGAGAGGAGCGCGCGCGGCCTGCACGCGACGCGGCCACCACCCGGCGCGCCCTCTAGACACCACATTGTACCATTATACGGTATGTTATTTTATCTATACATATAATAAAATTGTAACTAAGCCGAATCTGTACATTAAATATTTTTCGGAAAATCTTATTGAAATAAACATTATTATCGATACACTGGTCGAATCTAAAGTTTTTAGAATTTTTGTCAGTCTGATTTTGATGAAATTTGGTATGATGATAGCTTATAGATGATGGTTATCCTGGTCAACATATAGGATACTTTTTACCGCGGGAAATTATCTTATTTCTGAGAAAAAATACAAATCTGCAATGTAAGAGTATACTAATATGTAAAATTTAAAAAGGTTTTTGGTAATCTAAACGTGGGCGAAGCCACGGGCAATGCTAGTTATATATAAAATATCGCACATTTATAAGTGAGGAGTGTATTTATAAACTAGATTTATACTTAGACGACATAAGGGAGTATTTAAGTTTAAAACAAATGAATATGTATAATTTAATGATATAGGACAGGTTGAATCCACCAGTTGTAATGTTATTCATATTTAACATATTTTGTAATCGTACAATTCAATATTTATTTTTGTACGCCAATTAATATAGCTTCGAGTGAATTTATTTACCGCAATTAATTTATATGAATAAATTTTCTTCTGATTCAACATAAATTATATATTTACCTGAATTTACTATTAAATGGCATGTGTGTGAACATTTTATCGCTAAAGTACAGTAGTAAGACAGTAGATATCTTTGTATTCAGTATAATTTTCAATTTGCACGATGTGATTACTTAATAGTATAAATATTATAATTTGAAATTGTTTATTAACTTGCTCTATCGTGATTTATAAATAAAAGATTTTATTTCCGTCTTTAGTAACACAGGAATTTATAATCTTTCGATGAAGCCCTTTATTGGTTTATACAATTGACTGTGGAATTACACTCGGATCTGTGTCATCGGCACGCCAGCCATACTTATTTATAGTGGCATAATTTTATTCTTTTGGCCTGTCGTGCAAGTTTATGTACTTTCTGAGGCTGTATTCAAATGAGATTGGTGAATTTAAAGAACCTATTTATCATTCATATTTATCTTAATCCTATAATATTTTCTTACTAAGCAATTGATAATCTATTAAACAACCGATAAAATGCTAATTTTTCAGTATTCATATTTTCATGACGCTTATTTTATTGCATGAAACAGGAAGGTGTAAGATTGATTTTCATTTTTTTTATTATTTCATAAAATGTAATGTTGTGAAAATTTACAAAAGGTATAATATAAATATGTGTTTTAGTATTTTTTGAAATTCATCCTATATGAAAGTAAGTTTGTATGAAACCTATCTTCCTAAAGATTTTCTGTAGTTTTAGCGCGAGCGAAGCCGCGGGCTCTGCTAGTACTATGATAGTTAATTATCTCTGCTACATCGATTTACATTTACGCCCATATATGTATATTAATATTAAAGGTGTTATGTTGTTTTAGGTCGGACATGAAAAATCTCGCTTATTTGCTGGCTGTCCCTATCAGCGAGTACGTGGTGACTTTCATCTCTCTAGTAGCCGCGGCCACACTGCTCTCGTGGACGACAGGTTGGTTTATTACATTAGATTAATCTTTCAAAATATTTCAATTGGCCTAGTTTTTCACTTGTGTGGCTACTGACTATGGGGACCTGGGTTTAAGTGGGTCGCCCAGTGTTGGGTCAAAAGAGAACTTTTCTGTTAAGTAATCTCAGTAGCAGGCAAAAGTTTAGAATTAGGTGGAGTAAAAGCAAATTACTTTAAAGAAGACGTAAGGATAGTGGTCCTGCGGCTCTAGTGGTAAACAGTCTAGTCACAGATTAGTCGTTGTAGCCGAAATTCAAGCAGGTATATAAACCTTTTTAGTATAAAGCCAATATTTAAATATAATTATAATATAATAAATATTTATATGTGCACTATATTAATATTTAAGAACGATATTTATAACAAAAAAATATATAAAAAGCAGTCATGAGGACTGCCGACAGAAGTGAAAGCTTAAAACTATAAACAAACAGTTGTTATTTTTGGATATTCAAATTAATTGTTTGATCTTAAATTAAAATTTCGAAATTAAAACTGTTTACATTTATCTCGCTTTGACATCTATCGCCACTCGCGTTAACACGTTAACACGTCACGTGACCATATCGATGACGACTTACATGAAACAAACCAAACCAAACGTGCCTATAGAAGTTTTCAATTTAAAAAATATTTTATGTAATGATATATTACGTGGGTGCAGAGGGGCGCTCCGCCCGTAGGTGGCCGGCGGGAGAACGCGGGCGCAGAGCGTACTGCCGCACGCGCTTTCCCTACCACACACACCCGCCCATTCACTGTTAGCAGGTATTTTTCAATTTATAATCAACTTTCAATAAACCTAGATAAGCTCTGGAATATTGCCAGAACTTATTCAAATTCAATACTTATTGTTGCAACATCTCAAAATCTCGAAGCCTCACTATAGACCTATTATTTAGTTGCGTCCATTAAACTTAATACTAAATTAATATTTCATTAAAGTTGTTTAACTGTGTATATTTGTGAACTATTTAAGATATTTCAGGCTCTTAAAATCCACAATATTTCCCTATTTCTATGTGAATGATTGTATTTTGTATTGTATTTCCAGTAGGCAGTTTACTCGGGGGGAGTTCGATAGACAATGTCCGAGGACTTGGACTCGATCAGCGAGGAAGAACGTAGCTTGTTCCGACCCTTCACCCGAGAGTCATTGGCCGCTATCGAGGCCCGCATAGCTGAGGAGCATGCCAAGCAAAAGGAACTCGAGAAAAAACGAGCGGAAGGCGAGGTAAGTTCTCACTCTATACTCATCCCACGCGGTGTGCTATTTGTCACACGAGTGTCTTGTGCTGACCATTGAAACCACTGAAATAACAGCGATAACTAACTAGGCTAACAGAAAGAAAAACAAACCAAAACTCATAGGCTTATACTGACATATGAATTAAACAAACAGAAAAAATTATTTATACATACATTATAAACAAGTATTAACAAACATTAAACATGGTAGGAAAGAGCATGTTGTAAAATGATAGTCCTGACGAATATTTTTATTTGGACCATTCCAGACCGATTTGGGGCGGACGAAAAAGAAAAAAGAAGTAAGATTGCTTGCTTGCCCCTTTTACCTCTTTTAAGGCTCGTTTTTAGAAAAGTTATATTTAAGCAAGTTATCGCTGATTCGAAATTCATATTATTGTTAATGTCGCTAATTGCGACAACATTGGCGTGACAGTAGTCAAAGTGCGATAACTTGCATTGCATTCTAATTTATGCATATTGATCGCATTTGAACACATCGCTTTGTCAACGAAGTCGTAAATATCAAGACTCCCCAAAGCTTAGCTGTTTCAATCATTTAGCCAATTCTTAAGAATAACTTATACGTAGTTATGAAAAAAGAAAGCTTATCATATTTATTTGCATTTCAAGAATATAAAGATATTTTCAATCGAATTTATAAACATGAAAATATCTAAATACAGATTATACAATGTCCTTTTCATTAAAGTTCAAGATAGTCCTATGTGTAACTGTCACTAGCAACCTCTGTTAGCAAAAGAACACAGAAATATATAGAAATCCTAACATTGTAAGAAATGGGCCACGTAATTGTCTAAACCTTAATATAATCAACATGCCACTTATTCCAAAATACAAACCTTTATATCATAAATACAACAGTAACCCAACTGCCAATTGTGTAATATGTCCTAAAGATATTAGAGTTGAAGAACACACGCACAGAACATACCATCATCATGCATTGCACACGATTGGCTCATGTTCGCAAAGTCATCGGCTGCTGTCATTTAGGTCTAGCATGGTGTTATCACCTAGCTAGTTTAGTGCAAATAAATGAACGACCCCCTATTTTGATACCTGTAATATATTCCACCCTGTATGACAACAAAAAAAAAATAAAAATGTATTGTTGTAATTTTGTTTATATGTATTGTTCGTTATGTATTACTTGTATTAATTTAGCTAATAACTATTTAGAAAGTTACGGACGATTAATATTCAAAATTGATTTCAAAACTGGCTAGAAAACTATATTTAAAATAAAAATATTAAAAACAGAGATTATCTTTTTTTGATCTTATATAATTAAACATTTACTGTTATAATTACTACAATTCGATTAATCTAATCGATAGAAGACAGGGTAACATGATAGAGGGCAACGTTCTGCAATCGCTTCTAGTTTTGCCAAAATTGCATCATGGCTACACCGACAGCAGCAGCACTAAAAGCCAAAAGCTTCGAACGCGCTCACGAAACATGCTCCAACACCGTAATAATACTAGCCGCCTAAGTCTTGTTCTCTAACGAAGATAAATATTACCTTTAACAAAAAACAATCAAAACTATGTACTTTAGAGAATAAGCCTGTCGAATCTATAGTATTATTACACAATGCCTTGATTGAGTAGAATAATATGATTATCAATACAATGCAGTCATAATTATCTTAAGTATTTTAACTAAACAAAATATACATTGGCTAGCGCTAATTGTAACAAAAAATAGTGTAGTAACGAATAGAGCAATATTTTTTTGTAAATATCGAAAAAGCACCATATAGAGCATAAGTATAACATTCTGATGAATATTCTACGAACATTGGTCAGTTATCATTCAACAGTAATAGGAAATGTATTGATAAAGCTCGTAAAATAATAGTATTGCGTATAATATAGGTGCGTTACGACGACGAGGACGAAGATGAGGGTCCTCAACCGGACGCGACCCTGGAGCAGGGTCTACCGCTACCCGTGCGAATGCAGGGCACCTTTCCTCTCGAGCTCGCCTCCACACCCCTCGAGGACATCGATCCTTTCTATCATAATCAAACAGTGAGTTTATCATCTACACTAATATTATAAAGAGGAAGATTTCTATTTTTGTATATTTGTATTGAATAACATCAAAAAATACTCGACCGATTTACTTAGATGAAATTTGGTAAGAAGATAGATCGAGACCCTGAAAAGGACATAGGATATTTTTTATTCCGGAAATCGTCCCTTAAGGGGGTGAAAATAGGGATGATAGTTTTTATGGGGAATCAACCTAAGGACGAACCCGAGCGAAAAAAAAAACAAGGATGAGTCGCTAGTGTTTATTAAAATTTGAATTAGCCTACTATTGTAATTGCGAAAGTTTGTATGTGAGTATGTTACTCCTTCTCGCTGAAACGGTGGGACGAATTTGGATGAAACACACATGTAAACTATGACTTGGAGTAGTAGAAGAGCTTGCTATTTTTTTTTACTAGCAAGTTGCTAGTAACAATATAAAACTTTAAAAAATAAAATTAAAAAAAAAGTTTTTATATCGTGCAATAATATTTATAATTATTTATCAATTGTTTCAGACATTCGTAGTTATAAGCAAGGGTAAAGATATCTTCAGATTTTCGGCGACAAATGCTTTGTGGATATTGGATCCGTTCAATCCCATACGAAGAGTGGCAATATACATATTAGTGCATCCTTTGTTCTCTCTGTTCATTATTACTACAATCCTCGTGAACTGTATACTTATGATAATGCCTACCACACCGACGGTCGAAAGCACTGAGTAAGTATCATTTTCAGATATTATAACTTGTTTCGTTTCTAAACGAATTACATAATATATAAAATTATAAATTTATATACCATCTAATCATTAGTAGAATGCACGCTAGTTTCAAAATTTTTAGTGTTCAGATAGATTTCGAATTGTCTAAACTCTTAAGATTTAGATAATCGGAAGTAAATTTTATACCTATATCTAGATTATTAAACTGCCTAGTTATTAAAATTATCAACATTAAAGTTTACGTCTGAAATGTATTACAGATATGCCCTAAAAATAGAATTAGTGTGTATTAAATGTGTTTTTTCATAGTTAGGCAAACTGTATACTATATCCATATAAGAAACTAGTAGACTTGCCGCTATTAAACTCAAACTTTTAAATCAGTTAGAATATGATTATGATTAATATAAAAAAACAAATGATAATAACTTCATGTATAATAATCTTTCATTGTGGTCTTCGGTATGTTCTGAGAGAACCGTCTTGAAAGAGTGCCATCAGTGACCGTAGACAAAAACACATCATTACCTCGACACAGTGATGCAGCGTTCCTTTATCGATTAGAAATTCATCTATTTTTGCAATTTTCTATTACAACACTACTTATTAATAACCATAAAAATGTATATACATAGGTATGTATCTCAATTTCATTTAGTTCATAGGTGTATTTAGTCATTGTATTGTTACTGCTACCTCAACTACCTACTACCCTTCATGAGTCAAAGTTAGATCTTTTATTTGATTTTGAAGACTAGAATTGTTTTATTATGACGATATGTCTACTTTTTGAGCGGCGTTCCACAATGGAGGTGAATTTTTACAGAGTTATCTTTACCGGCATCTACACCTTTGAATCGGCGGTGAAAGTAATGGCCAGGGGTTTCATACTACAGCCATTCACATACCTTAGAGATGCATGGAATTGGCTTGACTTCGTAGTTATAGCTTTAGCGTGAGTAGTAGACTATTTTTATTATATTTACGTAGCAAAATGTTACAACCGTTCAATTGTAGATTTTCGTTCTTATCTAATTAAATATATATTTTATAGTACATAGAGGAAATAAAAACTAGATATTTTTTATGTTGTTATGAATAAATATTGTATATTGATGAATAATGGGAAGCAAAATGGTGTAAGGAGAAATCAGCCTATAAGAGTACTTTTGATCGGAGGTCGAGCAATATTAATTAGATAAATAATAGTATTGTGTAGTTAGATATTATTAATCTAGATGTTGTGGTTGTGGGTGTGTGTTGCAGTTATGTGACGATGGGCATAGATCTCGGCAACTTGGCCGCTCTCAGAACCTTCAGAGTTCTCCGAGCTTTGAAGACTGTGGCCATCGTACCGGGTAAATTTATTTGTATAATAAGTTATATACTTAGCACAGCTTTTATTATATAATGAGTAACATAATTAATAGAATTATATCATAGGCAGTAACAAACAGCTTTTTAACGTAGTGAAATAGGTTAAATATTTTAGTAGCAAAAAGAATGGTATAAGAGAAATGAAAAAAACGAAAGTTCGTAAGTATCGGTTTGGTTTAGCTATAAACATTACAAAATTTTTATACAGCACTGAGTGATATCTTATTATGATTAGCTGTTTTGGTAGTGTACATTTTTAGTTTGACGATATAAATGCGACCCGCAGGCTTGAAGACTATTGTGGGTGCCGTGATAGAGTCAGTGAAAAATCTTCGAGATGTGATCATTTTGACGATGTTTTCACTGTCTGTGTTCGCACTGATGGGCCTGCAGATCTACATGGGGGTACTCACTCAGAAATGCATTAAAGTGTTTCCTGAGGATGGCAGCTGGGGTAACCTTACTGACGAGAACTGGGAAAGATTTTGTCAAAATGAAAGTAAGGTTTTTTTTTTAATACATATTGAATATATAAAATAGAAGACTAGGATATGTTACTATGGTTGTTATATTTCTAGCAAACTGGTACGGTGAAGATGGAGACTATCCTTTATGCGGGAATTCGTCAGGCGCTGGGTAATTATTTCATTTCTATAATAAACAAGTACAAAATGAAAACTGAATAAAAATATTTATTAATCTATTTTAGCCAATGTGAACCCGGTTACATATGTCTACAAGGTTACGGTCCGAACCCTAACTACGGCTACACGAGTTTTGACACCTTCGGTTGGGCTTTTCTCTCAGCTTTTCGACTTATGACCCAGGACTATTGGGAAAATCTGTATCAATTGGTAAGTTTATATTAACATTTATGCTTGTTCAACATTTTAAAATAAATTATATAACGTTACTTTGAAATCTATTTTATTCTTTTAGGTACTAAGATCAGCCGGTTCATGGCATGTCTTATTCTTCGTTGTGATCATCTTCTTGGGCTCTTTCTATCTAGTCAACTTGATTTTGGCCATTGTCGCCATGTCATACGACGAGTTACAGAAGAAAGCCGAAGAAGAGGAACAAGCTGAAGAAGAAGCTCTAAGGGTAAGAAAATATGTCATAAATTGCCTAATGCTCTTGTTTTTAAATGCATCAGGATCCATGTTTTCATACGTTATACCATTTCTTGTGTTCAAGCAAAAACACATGTCACTTATAGTCAAGTGTTAATAATCTTTTTGATATTCAGTAACTTATTATTATAATAGTTTGACAACATCCGGGGGGATGTTTTAAAGTTTCGAAGTTGAACTCTCAAGCCGTTAACTCCTCTAATAAAAATATTAAGCCCGTGACAGCTAATCATACAACTTAATCGGCAATTCTCATATCCATTACAATGCGAATGCAGGAAGCAGAACAAAAAGCAGCAGCGAGAGCAGACAAGCAGGAAGCTAGGGAGGCACACGCAAGAGAACAGGCAGCGGCAGCGGAGGCGGCTGCGTACGCGGAAGCGCACCCAGCCAAGTCACCGAGCGACTCCTCGTGCCAGAGCTACGAACTCTTCGTGAACCAGGAGCGCGGCAACCAGGACGACAATACCCGCGAGCGCATGTCCCTCCGTAGCGACCCCTTCCAGGACTCGGTGAGCACTCAGCCCACGCACAAGCCCGAATCGCACCATGAACCAGCGCGTCGACGGAAGGTCAGCATGGTGAGTATATGTGCCCCTCACGCCTTACAGTCGCTGCCAATGGTTTAAATACCTTATAAGATTTTAGCATACATACATATATGTTTAATATATGTAAACGTTCGAAATATAATATATAAAATTAAAAATTGAAATATTATTTGATGCTAATTGCTCGGTAATATTATTTAAAGTTATTTAATTGTGATCAATGATAACAATACCTTTCCTAACACAGTCGAAATTGAAGCAAATCATAATTTTTCTGACCACAGATTTTAAATATATTTCCGACATTAAATAAGATAAATAAAATTCATTTTTTAAACTAATATATTTACTAATATAAATTTAAACTATATTATTGTTTATAACAGTTAAATGATAGCAATAAAAGGAACTATTGGCAGCGGAGCACTTTCTTTTCAACTTGATTTATAAAGAATTCACGCTGCTTATACACAACAGTAAAACCTTTTAACTATAAAATCACGTGTTTTACGCATTCATTCATATCCATTTTTTAACACTCGATGCCACATAAATAATATAATATTCAAGTTGAAAAGAACGATCGAGAATATTGAAAATATTAATATTGATGTAAGCTTTTAACATTATACTTCTTTTGAGAAAACTTAATTTTGGTTCAAGTATTTAGATCTTTAGTGAAATTATGAATGTTTACAATACTTTGTAGATATCCTCTCTGTCTTGCTCTGTTTAAGATGATTATTTTTATTATATCTTGTTTATTATTATATTCCTTTAAGAAAATTTCGTTAAAATATAAATAAGATCTAAATATTGAATGATTAAGTTTTATTTAAATTTCTTTTCAATCATAAATTTGCATTTATTTTCAACATGATTCTGTCTGTTTATTTGACTATTGGTTTCGAGGCATGCTATTAGTTGAACCTACCATCTCTATTTTCATTTTCATTTGTAAAATATCGTTTCAAATTGCATAACATATACTAATCTTTCTAGTTGCCTCATTGTTAAAAATCTGCTCTGGCTGAATTAGCAAATATTAGGACCTTCATCATTTTTTCACTGTATCATTTAGTATTTGATTTTAGTTAAAGTCAGCGTTAAAGCAATAAATAAAAACATACTAATGTAGGGGTTTAAAATTATAGTAATTTGAGCATGACTTAGAAGAATTCTTGCTGTTAACATAGCTTCTAGAGATTGGATCTAGTGCACAGTAGTTATTAAATTATATTTTAGAACACCTGGATCTCCAATATTATTTTTTCGGGTAAAAATAATATCTTCGTATAAAACAGATGCTAGGGATTTTATATTTTATATGCGTGAGAATAAATACTATTGGAGAAAAAGAGTCTATTGTCATGTTAGATTGTTTCTTTCGTAATGTGAATGTACGAACGGGCCGAGCTGAGACTGAACATATCGTCGAAGGAGAGGTAGGTTCGGTCAATAGTAATATAAAACTTTTATTAATTATTAAGAAAAATATATTGAATAGATCAGTAATTCCTCAATTTTGATGAGTGATATACGGAGGCGCAATCTGGACCAAAAAGAACAGTCCTCATGACTATAGATGTAGACATATTAAAATATAGTTATGGTAGGATTTAGAAATATGCAAAAGTGCATGAAATTTAACCCCACATTACTTCATGTGTTTATAAACAAAGTTACTTGACTAACCGTTGCTTTTACTTCATTGCCATTGCTTGTTTTCAGTTTCTTCTATGTATTGTATGTACTTGCAATAAGAGAATTGTAGTATTTGATGTCATAATAAATTTTTATACATAAATAATTATAACTACACAATCTTATTGTAAAATGATTTCATTATTATTTGTTTCATATTTCTGTTTAGTTAGATTTACTTAGTAGTTTCTTTGAATCATTTTAATCATTCATGTTTTCTTGTTTCGTATTACGTATCTGCATCTCCCTTTTCCGAGTTGTTTTTGATTCCTTTATCCTTATCGGATATCTTATTATATATAAATAGTTACATTCTCGAGGATAATTACAAATTGCCTTTTTCTGTGTATTAAAGGTTCCCCATCCTGAACGCATAAATAAATACGGACAGTTATCATATGGGCCACTGCGCGAAGGCTCACAGGTTTGTCCTTGTAGCCACATTGGTGTTTGTGTTCCCCTTCCTTTCCTTTACAATTTTAAATATATTTTTCTTTTACTTCCTCTTCTAAATTATTTAATTCAAATATTAGCTGTATTTTTATTTACGTCATATTGCAGCAATCATGATGTCATGAAATCATCGAATGTAATTTGCAAATATTATTTAAGTTTAAAATCATAAAGTGACTCTATATCATGCATTGATGCAATTGGTTTGTCAGCACTACTCTGTACCTGATTTCCATTTTATTTTCCTCTTCTTAGTCGTTTTCTTGACTGAACGTTTAATTTACCTACTAATTGTTTATCGGCACATGAAAGTAAAAATTAAGTCATAGTAATGTAAAGATTTGGAAGTCATATTCGTACTCGTACAATGTTATAAGAAAGCTTGAATTACCAGAGCCTCTGCGAACCGTCTTCCGATCAGTATTAGTTCATTTGCATTTATCATACTCGATCTGAATTGAGGAACGTTGTATTTGAGACAATGACAAACTTTAGTATTTCTCGAATCCAATTAAAGTAGTTTACATAATGTTGAAAAATAAAAAATATGTTGTTTAACTTTGTCTAATTTACTGTAGTGTAATAAAAAGAGCTATTTTAAGATAAAGAATCGCTTTAGGCTTCACTGTCGCTACCTGGATCTCCGTTTAATTTACGTCGAGGATCTCGAGGCTCTCATCAAATGGCACTCAGACCAAATGGAAGGAACCGGTATCCACCAGGAGCTGATAGGAAGCCACTAGTTCTCTCCACGTACTTGGATGCTCAAGAACATTTACCATACGCTGATGACTCCAACGCAGTTACCCCAATGTCGGAAGAAAATGGTGCTATCATCATACCTGTGTATTATGCGAATTTAGGTAAAATATTTTCTTTTTTTTCTATTGGTATTAATTTATTAATCAAAACATTGTGCTGAGCAAGTAATTTTTGGCTAACCCCAAAAAGGAGGTATTATTTGAGTATATGTTTTTTTTTGTTACGCGATAACTCTGTTAATTGTGAACAAATATTGAAAATTCTGTTTTAATTCATGGGTTGATCTATGATCATCGATCGAACCACATATATTTCAAAAAACCTGGGGATTATTATATTTAAAGTAGTTTTAAAGTTTGCGTAGCTTTTAAGGTAAAAACCTTAAGTATTATTGAAGTTTTGTATTCTTTTCTTTTAGGTTCGAGACATTCCTCTTATACGTCGCATCAATCACGATTATCGTACACTTCTCATGGGGATTTGTTGGGCGGAAAGCCACAAACTAAGGAAGCGCGGCTGAGAGGTCGGTCGGCATCGAGAAACCACAGTGTGACGTCACAACCACACGCCTACCCACTGCCAAGACAAGATTCATCGCTCGCATCTAGGCCTCTAAGAGAATATGTAAGTAATTCCTTTCAATTTATATGTGATGGTAAATATAAAATTAGATAAATTATATCTATTTAATATATAAACACCTTTTCTAAATAAAAAATGAAGTTTATATCGTACAAAGGTGTCGTTAAGGCAGGTAAAGATTTCCGGTAAGGGTATCTCATGATTTTCCCATATGTATAAATATTATAAATGTGAAAGTTTGTGAGTATGTTTGGATATTTGTTACTCTTTCCCGCCAGAACGGCTGAACGGATCGGGATGAAATTTGACAGAGATAGATAGATTATATGACACATAGGCTACTTTTTATCCCGGAAAAATATACAGTTCCCGAGGGATAGATTTGTTCTTGTTTTTCTAGTATAAGATAAATATGTAAAAATTCTTACTAAATATCTCAGTAGCTGCCCGTTGCCAAAAACCAAACAAAGTTATGAATAATCATAGGTATATGTACATACATATGTACAAAAACCAAACAAAGTTATGAATAATCATAGGTATATGTGATACACATGTATCATACACTCAGATCACTTTAATATATTTCAGGAAATAAGCACAACAGAATGCACAGACGAAGCTGGCAAAGTACTGAAACAGTCAAACGACAACCCCTTCATAGAGTCGTCGCAACAGCCTAATGTTGTAGATATGAGAGGTAAATCGAAATTATTTTGTGTTTCTAAGATCCGGTTATAGCAGTCTTAGATTCTAACTATACTTACCTTTTAGTCTCCCTTAAGATTTAAAATAAGGTCGATACGTTATTTTATGAAACGCACTTTTGCAATTATTATAATAAACACATTATACATCCATACAAATATTATATATGTGAAAGTGTGTTTGTTTGTTTGTCCTTCTTTCACGTCGTAACAGAGTGACGGATGGGCGTGATTTTTTGTATGGAGATAGTTGGAGAACTGGAGAGTGACATGCGGCTACTTTTTACCGCGGGAGATTATCTCATTCTCAAGGGAAGAGACGTTATAATACAATCCAAAAAATATTTATGATCTAAATTACTTGAAACTTAGTATTATTGCTCTTAAATACAATTAAATAAATACGTGTTTTAGTATTTTTCGAAACTCATCCCATAAGGGGGTAAAATATGGGGATGAAAGTTTGTATGAACTCTACCATTTTAAAGTTTTTTTTTGTAGTTATAGCGCGAGTGAAGCCACTGGGTCAGCTAGTATTATCATAAAAATACTATTATTTAAAAAAATAAAATACACAAATAAAATAATTAAAAAAAACTGCGTTTTCAGATGTAATGGTGCTAAACGAAATTATAGAGCAAGCCGGAAGACAAAGTCGTGCAAGTGATCAAAACGGTAAGATTTTAAGTAACTCTTCATGTAAATGTTTTAGTGTTTTGTGGAACTACTTCAAAATAATGCATATAGTTAAGTGATTTCTGTAGAACTTCCCCTCAATGTGCCAATGTTTTTTTTTTTGGATAATACCGCTTTACTCGTATGTTAATCAATACTTTATAAGTAAATGTCATATTAATATTATATTAACAACATGTAAAATTTCATAGTCACATATTATATACATTTTTTATGTTTTAATACATAAATATTAAATACTCATTTACACCACACCACAAACGAAACACAAAGGTATTTGCTCATTATGCAAAATGCATAATTGGCAAAACGAACCATTTGTGGGTGTCATTTATTATAATAATATAAGGGTTTTATTGAGCACTCAAGTCACCATGTTGTTATCCTCTGAAGTTTGAAGAGCACGCACCAAAAACTAACAAACACGTTTGTAAATTGTAAACATTCACATGAAATATATACATATTTCTCTTAAAACAAAAAAATATACACAGATAATATTTCCAATGTAACGCTTGGGCTTTGCTTTCTATAATATTTATTATATTTATCTATTAGCTGAATTTGAAATAATAATTTATATATTCCAATTAAATATAACTTTTTAAGTTCATATTCAGTTTGTAAATACATTGCAAACAACGCTACTCTGAGCTTTATACACCGTACCTATTATAATTTTGATAGTTATATCCGTGCGTTAGCATATTATTTACTAGCGACTCACCCTCGTTCGTCCCTGCTTGCATTTTAGCGTTTATAGATTTCTATAGATATAGATTTCTCAGAAATAAGATATTTTCTCACAATAAAAAGTATTCTATATGTTAACCCGGATAACCAGCTATCATCATACCAAATTTCATCAAAATCCGTCCAGCGGTTTTTCCGTGATGCGGTAACAGACAGACGGACAGACAGACAGACAAAAATTCTAAAAACTGTAGATTCGGCCTCTATATCGATAATAATATCTATTTCAATAAGATTTTCAAAAAAATATTTAATGTACAGATTCGGTTCAGTTAGAATTTTATTAAATGTATAGATTTAACCATTTAGTGTTACACAAACCTCATTTTACTTTGCCTATTTATTTAATTAATGCTTAAATTCTTGTTAAATTAATGCACGTTACCTGTTTGTCTATATACATGATTAGTATCTCAACTTTACTTTTTTAGTATAAAATAGTTACGAATTTCAAAGGTCATCTTACTTAGTCAGCCCTAGCCACTTTGCAGTTATTGAAAACTCACGATATTCATATTTTTTGATCTTTTGAATTTAAAAATAGACTAGAGATTGCAGTAATATCTAACAGCATCATCGCATTCATGTAGTTATATGCAGATGTAAGCTTTGATGCGAGTTTGAGATTAGCCACTAGACAAAGTAAAGGACCGCCGTCGACGTGGTTTATGGTGTGAGCACAGTACATTGCACATTAACAAGTGAGTGTGGTATATAAATATTATTCTTCTACATATATTATTAAATTTTTGCAAAAAAAAATACTACTTAATTGTAATATATTTCATTCAGATAAATGACAGCCAACAAAATTCAAAAAATATGAATATTGGTGTCCAAAAATGTAAACAGCCCTTTTGATCGTACCATCATTAATGAAACTATATTCTTTTATACACGGGCTATTGGTTTAAGGATAAAAATAATGAGCGAATACTAACAACCTTGTTTCTCTCTCTCTCTCTCCTCTACACAAAAACACACGCTATCCGGTAAACGGGACACAACAGTGTCAGTGTACTACTTCCCAACAGCGGAAGACGATGAGGACGGACCCACTTTCAAAGAGAGGCTCCTCGAGTGTCTCATGAAAGGAATCGACTTCTTTTGTGTATGGGATTGTTGCTGGCTTTGGCTGGAGTTCCAAAAGTACGTGGCTCTTCTGGTATTCGACCCATTCGTTGAACTCTTCATCACACTATGTATCGTAGTCAACACCTTGTTCATGGCACTGGACCACCACGATATGGACAAAGATATGGAAAAGGCACTCAAGAGTGGCAATTATGTGAGTCCTTTACATTAATTATATTATGAAATGAAATGAAATAAACTTTGTTCAATTAGACTTATTACAAGTGCTTTTGAATTAGATAGAACATATTATATCATATTGTGATTATTGAGAGTGTTTATAATACCAATTTTTCTTTTCAGTTCTTCACTGCTACCTTTGGCATCGAAGCCATGTTTAAATTAATAGCTATGAGCCCAAAATACTATTTTCAAGAAGGATGGAATGTGTTTGATTTTATCATCGTGGCCTTATCATTATTAGAATTGGGTTTGGAAGGTGTACAGGGTTTGTCAGTATTACGATCATTTCGTTTGGTAAGTAACATTTGATTTATTTTATTATATACATACTCGTACATACTATGTACCTACTGAATATTGTGTTAATCAAGAATATACTATTAAAATACTCACATTTTCTACACTATAATATTGCAAAAATGTATAAAAATACTTTATATTTAAATGTAAAACGCATTTTTTTAATCATGTTTTTAAAATATTTTATAATAAATAACATGATGAACAAAGTAAGTAAGTTTACGTTTTTGTAATTATCACGGTTTGGTCACATGCATCACACACCAGTACAATAACATATATGTATTTATGTGTAATAAAATATTTTCAGCTGCGTGTATTTAAACTGGCTAAGTCTTGGCCGGCGCTAAACCTTATTATATCCATAATGGGTAGGACAGTGGGAGCTTTAGGGAACTTGACCTTTGTACTTTGCATCATTATATTCATATTTGCGGTGATGGGAATGCAGTTATTTGGGAAAAACTATACAGGTTCTCTTTAAAAACCCATTTAGCATCTCTAACGAATTTAGGCTTGATTATTAATTATTCAGCTTCACACTCCCCAGTATCTCACACAGGGCTTGATTGACCATTACTCTCATACGGGACCATTCGGTCCTCGCAGTGGCTTTATAACTCGGAATATGGCTCATCATGGTCATCATACCAATGGGCCTGAGATGAGACACGTTATAAAGCTATTCCACGCAGCTTGTGATTATAAGTTAAGCTTTGCATCAAGTAATATAGAACCAACATGCAGCTTCGCTTCCCGAGGGTATTTCGATGCATCAGGTCGACAACTGATGGGATCTATGTCAATAACATTAGGCCTAATAAAGAGAACTTCATGTGGTTGTAGTAAAAAAACTAAGCCACATTATATTAAGAATAGCCAATCGAAAAGCTCTCACAAAAATACAATAGAATGATAGATACAATAGAAAATAGAATAACATATATCCCACTCATACAGAAATAAGTCAACGCACATTTTTGATAGGTTACTCAAGCACACATTTGCTAACTCTAGTTTAAGTGATCTAGAATTGCTCAAACAATTCCGAATATTGCCGATGTACGATATTGGGTATTTGGAAGAGCTTGAGCGGTTGCGGGTCTTCAGAAAGGTGCCGCAGTAGCATAGGTGAAGCGCCGGTGAACGAGCTTGTGTGACGCCTTGTTTCACAATTTGTACTTGCAGCTTCGAGTATTCAAATTGGCAAAGTCATGGCCGACACTTAATTTACTCATCTCTATAATGGGTAGGACGATGGGTGCCTTGGGCAACCTGACCTTCGTATTGTGCATCATTATTTTCATATTTGCCGTGATGGGTATGCAACTATTCGGGAAAAATTATGTGGGTAAGTCGAATTGGTGGGAGTCTTGCATGTTCGTTGGTGTATGTTTAACGTTAGTGACGCGAATGCCCGCTGGACTTGCCGATGAATCTACTTCGAATACAAAGTAGTGGTTTTTATAGAATCCTGGAGTGAAAATCAATCACGTCGATTAGAGTGCTAGATGTGTTCTTTTGAACTAGAATTGCAAATCAGAACTAGATATCAGATCAAATAGAAAATAATAGGTACTATTTGTATCGAGGTAGATTCATTGATAACCAAGTTATTTGTTAAAGTGTGGATTGCGTCATAGTGTTGCGGTACATCTGTCAGGTGACATGTTCGACTCCACGCTTTAATTCGGGCTCCGGTCACGGTTAATATTACTATTGTGTTGATGTGCGTCACACTCTTGTGCTCATCTTGTTAGGAAATTGGCAAGAATCGGTATGATCCTTCCAAGTGAGCTTTGATAATTTATTTTTAAGTTAAATTTACATATTTCCTGTAAAAGCCCCCAGCAAAGGCGCCTCACTTGTGAGACATTCATTGCCAGCTTTTCTGATATTTTCAACTTTTAGCAAATATCTATCTGCATCCAATCCCTTCAACTCAGTCAATGCCATCAAGCTAATACATATTCTCTGATTACACTTCCAATTATAAAATATATAAACTGCTAAGTAGATGTTATTAATTGCATGTGTTAGAAATTAATTTTGAGTAATGAAAAAGTATTACAAATTATATTTTATGCATGAACGTTGTACACGTTATTATAATAAAATAACTGAGATCTCGAGTTATCGTTGCTCATAAATAATATTTTATTCTATAATTATATTTTATATTTCTATATTATCAATAAATAAATAATTTACACTGATTTCGTTAAAGAAAAGTCGAAGAATACTATCTATCAACGTTTATATAGTACACACGAAATCTCTGTTTTAAGTTTTAACACATAATTTAATTATTTATTAAATGATAATGTATCTAAAATCTTCTTAAGCGTTTTGATACAATAAACGTTTATCAAATCTTTTGACCATTAAAGTTTACTCTTAGAACTATTTTTATAATATATTATATTTGCAATATACATTCGCAAATTATATTAAATTAATCATCTTCTAAATCGCGATGTATTCATAGAAAAACATGCATAAATATATTTGTATAATGTGTATCAAAGTATACCACTTTATTTACATATTTATTCGCTTAATACTTTATCAACAAAAAAAATTGTTGTTCTCTGATTGCTAACAATATGTTAATATAATTAATTACGTATACAGACTACGTAGACCGATTTCCGGACGGCGACCTGCCGCGATGGAACTTCACGGACTTTATGCATAGTTTCATGATTGTCTTCCGAGTACTTTGTGGAGAATGGATTGAGAGTATGTGGGACTGTATGCTTGTGGGCGACGTGTCCTGTATACCCTTCTTCTTGGCCACCGTTGTTATTGGTAACCTTGTGGTTAGTATCATATATTTTGATTTATATACATAATAGCAGAACCCGCGGCTACGCTCGCGCTAAAACTAGAAAAAATCTCTAAAAAGGTAGTTTCATACAAACTATCATCCCCTATTTTACCCCCTTATAGGATGAATTTTGAAAAATACTAAGACACGTATTTATTTAATTTTATTGAAAAGTATATATACCAAGTTTCAAGCAATTCTGATAATAAATATTTTTTGGATTGTATTATAACGTGTTTTTCTGTGGGAATTAAGTAATCTCCCGCGATAAAATGTGTCTATGTCACTCTCCAGCCCTCCAACTATCTCCACACAAAAAATCACGCCAATCAGTTACTCCGTTTCGACGTGAAAGTAGGACAAACAAACAAACAAACAAACAAACAAACAAACAAACAAACAAACAAACAAACAAACACACTTTCACATTTATAATATTAAAGTACCTATGGATTATTATTATCTTAAAATTATCTTCTATTCAAGAATATTGTTTGATAGGTACTCAATCTCTTCTTGGCCCTGTTACTGTCAAATTTTGGTTCATCGAACTTATCATCACCGACGGCCGACCAAGACACGAATAAAATTGCAGAAGCATTCAACAGAATATCAAGGTTTATAGACTGGATCAAAAAGAACGTCGCCGAAATACTGAAATTAGTGAAAAATAAACTCACCAACCAAATAGCTATACACGCCCCCGGTAAGATATATCTATGAGTGTTGTGGCATGTTGTATGTTCGTATGTATGTATATGTGTTATCAATAAAAACGCTTGACTTGACTTTTATTGGACGCAGAAGACTATAGTATTTTCATTTTAGCTAAATATGTGATACTTAATTGAAAATTAATGTTACCTATTAAAAAAAAAAGACAAACTTGTAAGAATAAAATAAAATAGCATTCAATTAATAATAATAATAATAATTGAACGGCTGTTTACATGTAAATATATCAACAATTTTATTTGGTTTTTGTATTATATGTTGTGGCATGTTGTTACAAGAATCAAAACAAAGATGTGTAGGGCATGAGTTTTTGTGAATCCTTTATATTGTGTGAACACTGTGCGTTGCTTGTCCCCGTAGCATTCAAGTGTAGAGCTACAGACCTGTCGTGAGTTAGTTTATGGTGAAAAGAACTTGTTGTTACTGTGTTTTTAATTTTCATACTCGATCGATATGTTTATTTGTGTGTTACACTATTATCATGTGAATATATTTTTGCTTTTGTCATCGTATTATTGTAATATTTTTGCTTCATATGTGTTTTGCATGTAGATGGAAGTCATGTTCTGATAATTTAAGTTTTCATTAATAAATATTCTAAGTAAGACAACTTGAAACTGCAATTTATAAATAAGTAAGTTATTTTATTTAATATACATTCATATATGTTTACTTTAAATAAATATATATATCATTATATCACAATATTATATTTATTTAATGAAGAAATTGTTTTTTTTTAATTGGAATTCGTTTTATATAAATTTACTTCGAGATCGTTTACTAAGTTTCTCGCTCGGTCTGATTCCTATGCTTGGGTGCTGCGCCTGCGCACTGTGGACACGTGACACGCGACATTAGGCTTAAAAGCGGCTTTATGTGGCCGCTGTGTCTCCTCAGAACGTGTGGACAACGAGCTAGAACTAGGCGCAGATATCGACGACGGAGTACTCTACAAAGACAAGAAACTAAAAGACCAAGTCGAAGTTGCTATTGGCGACGGCATGGAATTTACGATACCTGGTAATAATAAAATTTTATGCCTCATAACATCATCAGAAATTTTTAAAGAATTTTACGTGTTTATTTCTTAAACTTGTCTTGTGTTTATAGGTGACAATAAATATAAGAAAGGTAAAATGTTAATGAATAATATAAATGCAATAACAGATAATCACACTGACAACAGAATTAATTTCGAACTAAATCATCATGGATACCCAATACAGGTAGGGACTTTGTGAGTTTTTTATTATTTATTTCAGCTTGCCTTAACTAAACTTTTAATTAAAAAAATAATATCACAGGATGATGACACAATCAGTCAGAAGTCGTATGGAAGTCATAAAATAAGATCGTTTAAAGATGAAAGTCACAAAGGATCAGCAGACACGATAGATGGCGAAGAAAAGAAAGACGCAAGCAAGGAAGAATTAGGATTAGAGGAAGGTAATTATTAAGTGTTCAGTATATATACATATAATAAAATTGTAATTAAGCCAAATGTGTACATTAAATATTTTTTGGTAAAACTCATTGAAATAAACATTATCATCGATATAGAGGCCGAATCTATAGTTTTTAGAATTTTTGTCTGTCTGTCTGTCTGTTACCGCATCACAGAAAAACCACTGAAGGGATTTTGATGAAATTTAGTATGGTGATAGCTCGTTATCCGGGTCAACATATAGGATACTTTTTACCACGGGAAAATATTTCATTTCTGAGAAAAAATACAAAAACTGTAATGTAAGAGTATACTAATATATAAAACCTAAGAATTTGGTTTTTGATCATCTGAACGCGGGCGGAGCCGCGGGCAATGCTAGTATATATATATATATATATATATATATATATATATATATATATTATATATAAAAATGTGCATTCAAAAAATAAAATGCAACTAAATCAGTTAAATTTTGCTGATATTTAATAAAATTATTAACCTTATTTTTTTCCAGAAATGATTCCAGACGAAGATGCCGCCCAGTTGGATTTAGCAAAAATGGATATAAAAGTAGTAGAAGGAGAAGGCGTGATTGATGACACCCCATCAGATTGCTGTCCAGAGCCGTGTTATCAACGTTTTCCATTTTTGGCTGGTGATGATGAATCGCCCTTCTGGCAAGGCTGGGCCATGTTGAGACTGAAAACATTCAGATTAATTGAAAACACGTACTTTGAAACGGCTGTGATAACTATGATCTTACTCAGTAGTTTGGCATTGGTATGTTTTTTTGTTATCTATACATATAATAAAATTGTAACTAAGCCGAATCTGTACATTAAATATTTTTTGGAAAATATAATTTTCTGTCTGTTTGTCTGTCTGTTACCGCATCACGGGAAAACCACTGGATAGATTTTGATGAAATTTGGTATGATGATAGTTGGTTATCCGGGTCAACATATAGGATACTTTTTACCGGGAGAAAATATCTCATTTCTGAGAAAAAATACAAAAACTGCATTGTAAAGAGTATACTAATATGTAAAACCTAAGAGTTTGGTTTTTGGTAATCTGAACGCGGGTGGAGCCGCGGGCAATGCTAGTTTATTATAAAAACGCTATACTTAATACCCTATGTTTTTTTTTTCGAAAATTAATCATTTTTAATTTTCAGGCTTTGGAAGATGTCCATTTACCACATCGGCCGATTCTTCAAGATATCCTGTATTACATGGATCGAATTTTCACTGTAATATTCTTCATTGAAATGTTGATCAAGTGGCTTGCCCTCGGATTCCAGAAATACTTCACAAACGCTTGGTGTTGGCTTGATTTTATCATTGTCATGGTAAAATATTATTTATAATATTTCTTAATAGTTCTATTAACACGATATACACAGTTGTTGTGTTAATTAAAAGTAATAAAAATTACCGATAAAGTTGAAAGGTACCTTTGAGCTTAAATCGTTTTAAAAGTTTCATGCAAAGTTTGAATATTTAATTCAATATGGTCTTATTTACTCATATCAAAATATATTGCCTATAATGTGAAACTTGCACGATTCAAGGTATTTTTGATCATATTTACTTTCTATTTTTATATGCAATGAGTGTGACCTTGCTATATATATTATACATAAAAATAACAGTCACCATAAAAATATGTATCTTAGCTTGTAAAGGTATTTTAAATAAGTAAAGTAATATATCATATGAATGATGAGTGTCGTTAGTTATCGCTCGTAAACCACGGCGCCGTGATGGCGGGCGCGGACGACATCCCGGCGTTCCGCTCGATGCGAACTTTGCGCGCGCTGCGGCCTCTTCGCGCCGTCTCCAGATGGGAGGGCATGCGCGTGAGTACGCGCGGTCAACGGTTGCTCTGACCGTCGTGCTGCCTGAAAATATCTTGTCATATCATTTAGAACAAACTTTTATTAACACTGAATTATTTTTTAGATTGGTATTATTAAAATAAAGTATCTCCAAAAACCTTTGTTGCTGGACAGAGCTTCTTATTTACAATATTTATAGAAAGTAAGAACAATTTTGTTTTAATACTGTCCTAGAGAATAATATGGCATATAGTTTTCAGGCAGTGCGATATTAAAGCGTGAGCTTTTACTGTTCAGTGTCTACAATGAAGACCATGACCGGTCTCGTTGATACCAGCTCTCGATGTCGTCCTTGTTTTTTTGTGGACATGCTTCTATGTCTTACTCAAAACTGTTATCAGTATCGTTTAAACATACTTCAAATATAGGGTGCTGTTATCCTGCATGTAATGGTGACTTAACAATGTTTTAGCCTTTACTGTGCCTATGTTTTATTTTAGTTTGATTAATAAAATAAAAGTGTAAATTAAAGCTCATTACAAAAATAACACTTTTACTATCGTTGTCAAATATTTATAAAAGAAAAGTATAAGTGTGCATTAAATTTGATGTAAATAAAATGAGAGGTCAAGGAAATATTTAATTTCTTTAAATATTCTTTGACTTCTTATGCTTTGTATATTTTTTGAATGTTACCTTTTACCTGATATATTAAAACTATATCTTCTACCTTTTTTATTTCGGCGCTTTCTCTTGGTCTCAATAGCAGTGGCTGAAGCAAGTTTATTCGTCTTGACTTAAAATGTCTTTTTTCATTGATTTTATTGGTATTGTAAGTCTTCAAATCAACATCAGTACTCAAATTTGTTGACAGAGTTACTCGTTATCGTATTCGTTCTTTAAAATTCCAGGTGTAATATTGGAGATTTTTAACCTTTACCACGTATAACTAGTATGTATTTTCAAAAGTTCTACTGTTGATTTCATCAGGTCTCGCTTATAAACTTCGTAGCGGCGCTTTGTGGCGCCGGCGGCATTCAGGCGTTCAAAACGATGAGAACGCTCCGAGCTCTTCGGCCGCTCAGAGCTATGAGCCGCATGCAGGGCATGAGGGTACGTACCTCTGCCGCGCGCGCTCTCAAACTGTCTCTATAGCTATATACTTCATTCCAAATATCAATTCACTGTTATTTATTAAATAAAAATAATTGTGTAGTAATTAGAATTTTACCAATATGCCTCCATTCGACACAATATATATTCAACTATGTATATAAGAGTTATTGATTTTAGGTATGATACTACCTAGTATATATCATGATGATAATTTGTGTGGTTCTACATCAGCTCCTTTCTAGCCTTCGGCTAATTTTGTTATATGTTTTATTAAAAGTTCCCACAGAACGTTTGCTAAAGCGATTTGATTTTGGAATGAATTATACGACATATTTATCACTACACAGATCGTTCGACACCAACACAGTACAAACTCATGATCACAGTTCTCGTTTTAAATAATTAGATTCCACTCAATATTACTTTGACATCATTCGTGTAAGGTTTACTTTCAAACGCAATCTTATTGGTAGCAATTCATTTTGAATTCGTCTTCGATGGCACCCCTGTATGGCTTAGTATCATCATGACTCGTCACATCCCCTTTTAATGCAGTCGGGTTAAAATCGTCAATTTATTTAACAGCCATGTTTTTGGTCTAGTTGTATCTTTGATCTCAAGTTTCTTTAGCTTAGTATTTTATCCTAGATTTTTGAAATGTTATTTTAGAATTCACGCCTTAGAATTTACTTGTATCATTAGTAAGATCGGCTGAGGAATATCCTGCGTGCATGCGATCGATTAGTTACATTCTCGTTAATATTGGATCAAAATCCATTTCAAATGGTAAGGCTAAATTGCGCTATGCTCCATGTATTTTATTGATGTGTCATAGTTTCATTTGTGCTTTTTCTGCATGATTTGTGTTTGAAAATCTTAGTACTTTTACAATGTTAATTTTTTTTGTAACAATACCTTAAATGTTACTAAAACATGTAAGTCAGTAAAAAAAATATACAACACATTTACTGGTACTATTATTTTCAAGTTTTCTTTGTTGTATGATTGTTTTTACCTATAACTAGCTTTCTACTTCAATTTTGAAATAAAAATATATTAAATGTACATTTATCAATATCAAAATCGATAAATATTTAATTTCTTCATATAGATTCTAAATTAAATAGTTGTAATAAAAACTTAAAATTCCACAGGCAGTGGGAAGCTAGTAGAAGACAAGTAGCAGAAATACCACCGAACATAGTTTTAGATATCATTCAGTATCAATAGTAACATAAATAAATGGCTTTTTCGTTTTATTCATGTATCAAAGAATGTAATTAAAAAGATGTAAGATAAAATTTTAAATTCTTAAACGCTGTCAAATTCTAGGTGGTAGTGAATGCTCTGGTACAGGCGATTCCATCAATCTTCAACGTGCTGCTCGTGTGTCTGATATTCTGGCTTATCTTTGCTATTATGGGTGTGCAACTCTTCGCTGGAAAATATTTTAAGGCCAGTGTAGTCATTTTATATACATATATACCTATATATCGCCTGAGTGTCTTATGCCCGATTTCACCAACAACTCATAAGCTACCACCTACGTATAAGATCCTTAGCTTAAAAGTCCCCTAAACTAGCCCTTAAATTAAATTTCGTTTTACCATCGTCAGTGCCAGTATTTCTAGTACCTATATTTAGGTGGTATTTTAACATTTAGGTGACCCCTAACTGTCGATGAAACAGAAACTGTCCCCTAATAGCCCCCATGCTTAGAGGATCCCTTAAACTTAGGTGACGTTGGTGAAATCGGCCATTAAAGTGTTGTTTTTTTTATATTTTCATATAGATTTTATTGTGATGATATTTATACGTTTACAGTGCGTCGATATGAATCACACAACTCTTAGTCATGAAATAATTCCGGACAAAAATGCTTGCATCTTAGAAAATTATACATGGGAAAATTCTCCCATGAACTTCGACCACGTCGGCAAGGCCTATTTATGTCTATTTCAAGTTGCTACGTTCAAAGGCTGGATTCAAATTATGAACGATGCTATCGACTCGCGAGAGGTATGATATAATAACTTAGAAGTAACACTGTAAGTTTACTGAAAATATGATGTTCTGTAAAATATAGCTATCAAATGTTATGTCTTAGGTTGGCCGACAACCCATCAGAGAAACCAACATATACATGTATTTGTACTTCGTGTTCTTCATTATTTTCGGATCATTTTTCACTCTCAATCTATTCATTGGTGTGATCATCGACAACTTTAATGAGCAAAAGAAGAAAGCCGGTGGAAGTCTTGAAATGTTCATGACAGAAGATCAGAAAAAGTATTACAATGCCATGAAGAAAATGGGATCGAAAAAGCCACTGAAAGCGATCCCCAGACCAAGAGTATGTTCACGATTTGTACTCTCATATTATGTAGATTCATATAAAAATGTACTCTCTAACACATTTCTTTCTTTTTCAGTGGCGGCCGCAAGCGATAGTATTTGAAATAGTAACAGATAAAAAATTCGATATGATTATAATGTTGTTCATAGGTCTTAACATGTTGACCATGACGCTCGACCACTACCAGCAGTCGGACACGTTCAGCGCTGTCCTGGACTACCTTAATATGATATTCATCGTAATATTTAGTTCAGAGTGCCTATTAAAGATTTTTGCTTTAAGATACCATTACTTCGTGGAACCATGGAATCTGTTCGACTTTGTAGTCGTCATGTTTTCTATACTTAGTGAGTATAATAATATTACTAAATCATTTCATAAAACGATAATTCAAAGGTATAAATGGAAGAATAATTAAATTCATTATTATTTCAGGTTTGGTACTGAGTGATATCATAGAAAAATACTTTGTATCTCCGACTCTACTCAGGGTTGTCAGAGTAGCTAAAGTCGGCAGAGTACTTCGACTCGTTAAAGGTGCAAAAGGCATTAGAACCTTATTGTTCGCTTTGGCCATGTCACTGCCAGCACTGTTTAACATTTGTCTATTGTTGTTCCTTGTGATGTTTATCTTCGCGATTTTCGGCATGTCATTTTTCATGCACGTAAAGGACAAGGGTGGTCTAGATGATGTGTATAACTTTAAAACATTTGTGCAGAGTATGATTCTGCTATTTCAGGTAAGACTTGTACTACATAAGTTAATGTTCTTCACACGCTACAGCTTTGTGACAAGTAATATTTTACTACTATAATGTGAAAGTTTGTGAGTATGGATGTTTGTTACTCTTTAACGCCAGAACGGCTGGACGGATCTGGATGAAATTTGGCACAGAGATAGGTTATAGTCTGGAATAATACAAATGCTACTTTATATCCCGGAAAAATATACTGTTCCCGGGGGATAGATTTGTTTTTGTTTTTCTAGAGGCGAACCCGAGTGAAGCGAGGGTGCACCGCTAGTGATTACTAATTTATTAATAATGATCCCTTTTAAATAAAACTACCTATCTTTTTATACAAGAGCTAAGTTAGAGAGATTTATGATTTATCGATATCTCATCTTTTAATGAAATTTATTTTAAAGATGTCAACATCAGCCGGCTGGGACGGCGTGTTAGACGGAATAATAAACGAGGAAGAATGCGATTTGCCAGACAACGAACGCGGATACCCAGGAAATTGCGGCTCCGCCACAATCGGCATTACATACTTACTATCTTACCTCGTCATATCATTTCTCATTGTCATAAACATGTACATCGCTGTCATTCTCGAGAATTATTCTCAGGTATGTTATCTTATTCAACTACTGATATTGTCCGTTTAAACAATACAAATTATAAAATAATACAATTACGAAAAAGAAAAATTGTTAATTGAAATATTTCTCTTTTATCAATTAACAAAAAAATATCGGCCACACGAAAATATAAACAAAGAAAAATAAAATAATATTTATACAAGAGACTACATGGATATAATCTTTCAGGCGACTGAAGATGTACAAGAGGGCCTTACCGACGATGACTACGATATGTACTACGAAATTTGGCAGCGATTTGATCCAGAGGGCACGCAATACATCAGATACGATCAGCTATCTGATTTCTTGGACGTGCTGGAACCTCCGCTGCAAATTCACAAACCTAACAAATACAAAATTATATCTATGGACATACCTATCTGTCGAGGCGACATGATGTTCTGCGTGGACATCCTGGACGCGCTGACGAAGGACTTCTTCGCGCGGAAGGGTAACCCGATCGAGGAGCCGGTGGAGGTGGGACGGCCGGACGAGGTGGGGTACGAGCCGGTGTCGTCGACGCTGTGGCGCCAGCGCGAGGAGTACTGCGCGCGGCTGATCCAGCACGCGTGGCGGCGGCACCGGCGCGCGCAATCCCCGGGCGGGTCGGCGGGCGAGGCGGAGGGCGGCGCGGGCGGCGCGGGCGAGGGCGGCGCGCCCACGGCCGTGCTGCTGGACGGCGGCGCGGGCGGCGCGCACCGCGTGGTGCTGCAGGCGGCCGGCGCGGCCCCGCGCCCGCCCGAGCCCGCGCCGCCGCCCGCGCCCGTCTGACCCGCGCTGGCGCTCGCGCTGCTGCCCGCGCTCATCGACGACGCGCCGCTGCCGCTGCCCACGCCGCTGCCCGAGCTCTTGAGCCCACCCAAGCGCACTTAATTTTTTACGCTAGTTTCGAGTTAGTGTCGGGCGCGTTCGACTGTGCGGAGACGCGAGCGTTCAGCGCGTTTTGCTTGCGAGACCATTTGTTTTGCGACTGATGTTCGCATTCGAAATCTTTTAGTGTTTTACTTTGACGCGTCGAGTGTATCATTTGGAGGATCGTTTTAGCGAGCACGTTTTTATTTGTCACTAGTGTTATAAGATATCGGATAAAATTGAACATTAAATGCTTATTTTTATATTCGACGATGGACACTCTGTGTAAATGTTCAAAAATCAGATCGCTATGAGTACTAGTACTGATTGTCTAAATGTATATCGACTGTGTGATATCATTTTTCTTCCCCGAAATGATGTCGAACAGTGCCCATGTGTTAAAGGAGAGCGACGCGGAGTGACGCTTGCTTTGATAAGTTCCGCTTCATTCGGTGGTCACAGACGCCGCGCTCAATTTATCACATTCGAATTTACACACATTGAATATTGTAATGTCACTGCATATATATGTATCTGTAAATTATTTTGAAGTCATCTATTGCGTTTGAACGCTAGCGTGATTGTATTTAATACCTTAACGCTTAAGAGAGCAATGGCTACGCCGATTCATATCAATTTTGTCCGTAAATAGTGTTTTGAATAGTTCCAATTTTTAAGCTTCTTACTGTACCGAAATTGTCATGTACCTTTCTAATCGAGACCACGATCTCGAAACCGAAGGGTTTTGATAAAGCTGAATAATCAGCGTAAGCTTAGCAAATCAGCAGTGAAGTTGGTACCAGAGTTCACTTCCGTCCTAATTCAGTACGCATCATAGGAATCGAGCCATTTTACGTAATGCGCACTTCGTAGTTAATGTAATTTCCTTCCCCTGGATTACATTAGCTGCGGCGGGGCGGCCGCGCGTGTCCCCGCGCGCCCCCGCCCTGCCCCATCCCTGCCCCATCCCCCTATCCGCTTCTATTATATTAACTCGCACCGCATTTTAAGCAATGTCATATACAGGTGATCGGTTAAGAATGATATGAGCGAAAACATTTAAGGTTTTATGCTAAGTAAATATAATTATTGTTTAGTGGAGCTTATCATCAACTTACTACTGTAAGTTACTGTTCAAAAATGAAAAGTTTCATTCGTAAATATCATCCATAATCGCTTACCTATAATGACTGTTATAATATTGTAAAAAATATATGGCGCTGTAGGTGCAAATAACTGAATACCAATCGAGCGAACCGAATGGGCTATGGCAGACATGATATTAGCAATAAGAAATATTATATAAATACCTAAGAGATCGAACGTCCCTTACCGAGTAAGGTAGATATTATTGAAATATTTTTATTTTTCGATTGACATCTCTCTAGTTAATGGAAGTGGCGCAAGTTTGGAGGACGATAGAGCGAATGCCGAATGCGCAGCGTCGGAAAACTCCGCGCGAGGCGATATCTCGATCGATTCGAACCGTGCTCCGTCAGTATAGTTTTTTCTAGCACAAGAAAATAATGAATCATTAAATTTTGTAAATTATCTTTGGAAGTGGTCAATTTTCTACTTCTCTGTACATATTCAGAGCTTATGCCGGGTGGAGCCCGAATCGCACGTCGCAACACATACTTTGTCGTGTTACTATTGATATCAGCGAGTCGCGAAGCGATACGTAATAAATAAGCTTGAAGCAATAACATTAATGTGTGCTCGAGTTTCGCTTTTTATTATGGATCATGTCACTGGATAATTGTGTGTTGGTTGTTTTTCAATTCGTTTTTATAAAATGTGAAATTTTTGAAAATGCGAGACCATGTAAACGTTGCAAAATTTTAAGAGTCGGTGTATTGTAAACTAAGATGAGACGCTTGACGTTTTGCACCTATTTTGCAATAATAATTACGATTACAGATAATAAATACGTAGATACTTTTATAAAGAGTTACAAGAGTGCTATGCATGAGCCGGCGGATTTCCCCGTCGCCGACTCATTCGTAGCACCCGACAACTATCCTCGGTTACTTCAGTTACACACGGCATACACACGGCATGTCGTGACATGTCACGTTGTCATGTCCTGACATGTTGCATATAAGCTGACGGGAGCATAGCGCCAAGGAACGGTTCATACATTTAGGTCAATCTGTTCAAGTTACAATATCTCATGAGTACATGAACCTATTCAACTGGCTGCAAGTATTGTTAAGGAAAATATTGATAGCGAAATTATCGCTAAACATCAGTAGTTAGGTAGTTTATTTGTCCGCTTTTGAAAAGTAGATATTTACAAATTACCTTTCTCAAGGAAAACAATGTTCTAGATAAAAAATGAGTTATCTTAGATAAATAAATGACTGAACAGTTAATATGGCGAAATGGCTCAAATGTCAGTCACAGTTTGAACCGCTCCGTGGCGCTTGTTAATTATGTCGTTTTGTTGATTTACGGAATATAAAAGTTATTGTTTTGGTGAAACCAAATATTTTATCTACTATTAGGCATATTGGCACAAAAAAGTTGTGTTTAATTAAGTTTAGACAATAAGTTACTATATCATTGTATTATTTCTTTGAATAAACTTATGACAAAAAGTGAGTTCAGTTTGCGGAATGATAGAGATTTAATTGAGTATTTATTATATATATTGTTGAAGTTTGTACAAAATAAATTAAGTAAACGATAAATATAGAACTTGACTGCTTTATTTGATCGTTTTATTTATAATAATTAATTTATCAGTATGACTACCTTCTAACAAAATAGCTTTACAGTTGATTTCCGTATTAAGGGGTTGAATCGAAGATAAACGGATTTGACTCTTGTATGGGCAGTATCAAGCTATGTATGAATGTTTGTACGGCTGCATAAGTCAGAAATGTGTTAATATTATTACTGCATCCATTAAAATAGCTTTCTCTAGTAAATTACGATATATGAATGTATAAATATGTCATGTTTATTGTATTCTAACCACAATAGACGAAACTATACTAGTTTAAATGCCCGTACGAAGAAATTGAACAAATATTGGGCTTTTCATCGGGCTTTTTTGTTAGCTTGGATAAATAATAGATAGCGTGGTTGCTGTCTATTTTACTTTAGAAAAACTGTCTATTTTACTTTAGAAATAAGTACGCTAAGCAACTCATAAAGTGTAAACAGCGCCATCTATGAATACGCACTACAATCTCATTACATAATAAGTAGTTCATCGGGCGGCACGGCAGTGCCCCCGCCAAGTCGAGTTAATATTGTCAATAATAAATTGAATTACAGAAATTATATTTAAGAATGCATTATTCCATTATCTAATGCTTAAAGTATTTTTTAATTCAAAATAATGATGAATGTTGTAAGTAGGTCTTTTTCCTTTTTTCATACATTAAATAACAATACAACGCCATCTTTCGATATATATTTGAATATATATTTTATTATATATCTTTGTTTCTGATAAGACCCCAAATTTAAATTATTTTTTATTTTATTTTTATCTTTGATATAAATAAAATATGTATCTACTATTTACTGCATTATTTTTAGATAAATTTGTGGAGTTTCGCTATTTATAGAATTATTGAAAAAGCTTTTGTCATTTGTTCTGAAAAAGACACACACACAGAATACTGTCGTCGGTTTTAACGTTTAGTGTAGATTTCTCAGAAATGAGATATTTTCCCGCAGTAAAAAGTATCCTATATGTTGACCCGGACCAAATTTCATCAAAATCTGTAAAGTGGTTTCCTCGTAATGCGGTCACAGACAGACAGACAAAAAAACGGCTGTATCGATAATAATGACTATTTCAATAAGATTTTCCAAAAAATATTTAATGTACAGATTCAACTCAAAGTTTTATTACATGTTTTATGCATAGTTGTTACAAGCGCTATCGTCTAGATATTTTAAAGATTAAGAATAATTTTTGTATTCTAACATACTTATCTTTACTCTTTACATACCAAAAGAAGAGATCGCCTACCTTCTTACCTCGCGTGTTTTTAATGATATCATATTTTCTTATTTTTACTGCTTACTTAAACAAATGCTGGATTCGAACTAGGATAATCACAATAAAAAATTAGTATATACTATTTTTATTTTGATTTTATTTTTAATATAAATATATATTTTTTATATCATGGCATAGGTACATCTGAGTATTGTGACAAAATTACATTCAAGTTGATGAGTAATGGCTTAACCGTTTACAAAAAAAAAACAATTTAGTCTTTATTTACTTGGTTGATTTTTATTTATATAATAGCTTTATAATATTATAGAAGTTAGCAATATAACAAATTATTACAAAAACATGACATTAACAAAAATCTCTTGACACAGTATCTTGTGTGTCATCAGATTTTATTTATTCTTTTAATATATAAAATAGATACATAAATACAAATTGTATGGTGTAAATAAAAATATTTACGAACCAATCATATTCTTTAGGCTTTATTAGGTCTCGTGGGCGAAGGCGCCAGCGCATCCCTGCGTGAGAAAGAACAATTAACATCAAACCAGTAACTGTACCTTGGATAGGTTTAAAATAATTTAAAGGAATTTATTTTGTGTATACGCTGTTAAACTAAGGTACAAAAATTAGATTTTAATTCAAAACTTTAGTCGTGTTTTCTATGTTTTATCATTTTGGTGTTTAGATTGTTCTGCAAAAATTATTGGTACGTGTATATAATTACATTTTTGAATGCTAGCGATAGCATTCAACCGATTCATTCATTCAGAAATGGATGCTCCTTTGTTCTACAATTACGTATGAGAGACAATAACATAATTTAAATACTTAATCTATTTTTTAAAAGGCTAATTAAATGTTTGGGATATCAGGAACATTATGGAAAGGTATAAAAAATAAAAAAAAATCGATGTTACTATTTTTATTTCCGTCTTACACTTAAGACAAACGTGTCAGTACACACACACAAGATGCCCATCAATACATAATAGTGAATATGTTATCAATATAAATATTTTTACAGCATCTATATATTATGTACAAGTATGTGTGTTCGTCCGCGCACCGCGACGAGACGGTGTCGCGAAAGACGCACCTACGTCGCTCACTATGTGAACGACCAAGCTTTATATTACCAACACGAGACGTAAACACAAAGACAACAAAAGATTAGTTAGCACACACCATTTTTAGCAACTTACTTAGAATTATACGAGCATATTACTTAAGTACAAGATCCTATGCAAGGTCGTCCTTGACCCATCTGCTTGCTAGTTGATATATGATGATTACAAAATACATAAATATATAATCGATGGGTTGCCTAGTGAGATTATTCTATTTCATATTAGAAACACTTGCCAAATACATCCGATATCAATTGGAAGTACAATGAATGGATACACGTAGACATTGCCCGAGAAAATTCTTTCATGAATCACAATTGCCAGGTTTTGGAATTTAAAAATGCACATATGATTTGAGCATTGCACATATGATTTGATATGATATAAGAAGCCTCAGATTATAGTGAATGGTAGTGCAAATGAATAAAACAAAAAAAAATATATTTTTAAAGGAATTATCCATATTTTATTATGCAAACCATCTGCTAAATATTTGTTTACGTATAATGCACTATACAGTATACACGTATATTTATCCGGTAAGCAGATGGGTGAAAGATTTCATTTCGGATCTTATACTATTTCGAGACTTGCCGTCAGACGGACCCATATATCGACTTTGTGCTCACATCTCGCATCAGTAACTATACTGTCCGACTTCACCAAATGGAGGCAGTGCAATCATATTAATTCTCGATCCGTATCTACAACATTACACAATCCAATCGCAGATATGTAGTGCTAAATATTATACTGTCAAGCGGAAATCGGCCTCTTTAATTTAGAAAAGTTTACGCGTGAACTTTTACATGAGCTATTTTTATAGTAATTAATTATATTAGAAATTCCTCAAACACAGCTTCATAAGACAAATGTTATAAAAACGTTTCCAATATCATTAGAAGTCAATCATGATAAGTTTCTACAGTTAAAATTTTAAAAAATAACTATTAATATGTATTATGCCAGCGTTATATACACGACGGAAATTTAGCGATCGATTAAAAGTATAACACGTGAAGGTAAATAATGGGATTACAAATGACGTCGGATAATTGTTCACTTCCCGCTCAAAAGTTATCGTCTTTAATCACACCGCCGGTATAAAACGTAAGGTTTAAATTTAACGCAAAAATTTATTTATGGTTTTATTAACCGACGAAACAAAAGGAGGTTCTCAATTCGACACTTATATTTTTTTATCATTTTGTTTTTTTTTTTTTTTTAAATAGACCATAACAGTATTACTAATATTATATTTAAATAATAGGTTTCTAACATTTTAGCGAAATTAATTATAGCAATATTACAAAAATAAAACATTGACACTTGTTTACGTTTTAGCTTTTTTGTTATGCTATACATACACACACATACACACAAGGTTAAACGAGTCGCCATCTTTAATCCCATTATTTAATTGCACGGGTATATCAGCCTTCAAGGCGTTAAAAAAAACTTGATCACAGAATAAAAACACACCATCTCGAACTAGCTTAACGTTTAGTCGATAAAAAGTATTCTAATAACAAAAATAGGATTTTTGGTAAAAAATATTTTTTTCGTTATCTCTTAACCGATATAAAAGATTAAATTGTATTGTGCCACTATTTGATCGGAGATTTAGTTTTATTAAAATTCAGTAAGCAGATTAAGCCAACATCGTTAGGACTATATATCGTTACACTACAGCGAAGTGAGGTCACAAAAATACAAATAATCAAATCGAATTACTCCTCTACGCTAATATACATATTTTATGTTAAGGCAACCATTTAAATTAATATGAAAGTTGTATGGAAGTCAAAACGGTTATATTCTAACATATTTTAATTTTTTATTTGTGTTAGAACTCAATGTTACTATTGCATAGCCACTGTATCCAACTAAAATAAAGATGGCTGCCTTCAGAAGACGAACACTACACACAATGATTCCAGTCCAGGATATCATGCAGTCTCTAAACCAGTGACAACACTATATATTTTTAACGACCACGACAAATATACATAATTACCATACCAATCAAAAAAAAACCTAAGGAAACCTGTGAAATATTCATAATATTAACAACATGTTATAGAAAGAAAAAATAAAAATGATTTTGAGTGAAATATTTTTGTTTTATTTTACCGTACACGTTAAAAATATATATATTTACAACATACTGACTACAAATGTGAGAAAATATGATCACTAAATTAACAAGACCACAAATTAATTATTATTACAATTCAATTAAAATTACCATACAAAAAATCTAAAGACCTTGTCAAAAAGAAAATCAATTCTATATTACGGGGAGATCTTTACATTTACTAAAAATAATCTAATGTTATGTTTTGATTTCCTATATTATTACATAATATTTATATTCAAACATAATTATTCGAAGAGAAATGAACAGATTTAACTCACGCTATTAGAACTAAAATGAACCCATCAATACGCTTTGCGTGTTATCTCATCCAATGTCATGTTATAAAGCAATTTACTTGATACAAATATGAAATATATTAGAGACAGTCATCGCTGACTACTCCATGGTTTTTCAGTGCTACTATTCTAAACTAAATTGAAATTTTAGACTGAAAATGTAACAATAGTCCTCTGTTACATTAACCATGGACTAGACAACAAGCGAACCGTTCAATTAATGAAACTATAATAATCAAAGTACCAAAAATAGTGATATACATTTATTGTATACTATATATACTTATGAGATCTTCCATCTACTATTAATGGCAGATTGCTATGAAATATGCAAGGGCTAGAAACAACCAAAACACAAAACAAACTAATTGAAAAAAATTAAATTAATTATTAAATAAAACTTTAGTTCGTATCAGTTTTTAAGCTCCAGGCTCGTGTACAGTGAATTTTTCTTGGCGTTGACTATGATTGTATGTCTATCAATATATACAATTTTAATTAACGAATAAGAAAGATCTCTATGTCGGGTCGAAAGAAGTCCATTAACAAGTTTAAAGTAAGTTTAAACTAAGTTTTTCACAAATAACTACATTTTCTTAGTCCAAATGTATACACTGAAGATTGTACCACAGTCTACTAATCCATACAGTCGTCTAAGAGTGAGACGCACCCGACTGTCGTACTTATATTTATATGCCAGTTGGGAAACGGCTTTAGGGTTGACGGGAATAACTATAACTTGCCGTGAGATGGCACTACAGTGCTTTGACGTGAAACCCATTCGCCATGAAATTTTGTATTTCGTGACAACCCTTGCATTTGGACAGTCATTTCCATTAAAATCACCGTATGGATTTTTATACTGCGACTGTACCAAAGTGCAAGTACCTGCTGTTGTTATGTGCTCGTGTTACAGACTCTCAAGTTATTTCATTCAATCATGAATCATGTAATTCATGATAAATACTATTTATTATTAAATATTTTCGATACTTAACATAATTATTTTGAAAATATCATATTAAGTATTTTTATATATATTTTTTGAAATTTCTAGGAAACAAAATGTCTATAACATTTTTTACATGAATCATAACTGAGTGAACATTTCGATATATCAACCTCATTACATACAATATTACAGATTTTATAATAAAGCATTTAACATGGCAATGAGTTTTATTTGCAAATAGTTAATTTGACTGTGACTGGTACATATTATATAAAATATATATAATTACTGTCAATAGTTAAGCTAAAAATATTAACGCATTTTGATGGGATTTTCACGGGAAGGGAGAGGAATTATAAGAGGATGAAAGGATCAGTGTCCTTAAAACGTTAAAATTTTACATTAAAATTAGGGGAGAACTCAGCGCGCGTAGCCGCGAGCATTTCAGTGTTTCAATGCCACATTGTTGTCCTGAAAGTTAATTTAATATCGAAATTAATATAAAATAAGAACACGTGCACATACAATATGTTGAGTCAAGCACAAACAAATTTATTGAACTAAATATAAATAAGCGTAGTTATAATTGATACAAAAAAATATTATTTAAAATTTACTAAGCCACAGTAAATTAAAAGTATTTGCAAATAAAATAACTTTACTTCATAAATATGGTGTAAATTGAAGGATGTTAATTACTCTGTGTAGTCCCAGCAGTCCTTTTCATAGCCTTCGTGCACGTGCTCGAGGAGAACCTTGCGCCGGCTGTCACAATATCTGGAATAAAATTTTCAATATTGTTATTTATATTTAGAAACCTTGTTTACATTAAAATGTATATTTATATAATACCGTCAAAAGTAAGCAATTAACTTATTTACTAACTTAGATATAGAAAAATACGCCCAAAGATGATGTTTGTTTATGTATATTATATATTCTATTTTTTATAAGAGTACCTATAGTTTAAGAACATATCCTCAAACTCATAGTATTACATTCAGAGACTCAAATTTTACACTTTATATCACAAAAATATTGATTTTGACGTTTTCTATTTGTGATAAATTATAAATTTTTTATAACTTTATGCAAATTAGCTGCCAAAATTTATGCCTGTTTAGTTATAACCTCGAGTACTTTAAGACATGTTGATAACCGATATTGTTGAAAGGTATAGATATATCATTATCTACACCCCTGACTACACCTTTTTAAAAAAAACACATAAAAAAGGACAAACCTGTACTTATCTTGGACCTTCTGCTTGATATCAGCCAAGTTCTCGCTAGTGATATCACGCTCGAGGTACTCCGAGAGGGTCTCCGTTGCGGACTCGAGGTCGCGCTGGTTGTCCTCAAAGATCACCGACTGGTTGTTCTTGCGCAGGTAGTACGCGAACACGTACGTGTACATTAACGTCTGTCGGCACTGGCAGAGAATGTCCACTGCCTTCTTCAAAAATTGTACCTATAATAAGAAATGTACATGATGTATGTATGTATTCAGCCCTTTTTAACGTCCCACTGCTGGGCACGAGCCTGCCTTCAGTACGAGGGGAATCAAGCCATAGTTCACCATGCTGGCCAAGTGTGGGTTGGTTTTCCAAGCAAGAGTGTTACCACTGGGCTACCACTACCTTAAACTAGATGATGCTATTTTGACGGAACCTCTAATATAGTCTAGTTGTGACAATCGAACTTAAAAACATTTAGAGTTGCAAGCACTCTGAGATCTACAACAGATTATATATTTTTCAGTCGAAAAAGTTAGCAACATGATCTATATGGTGTGTTGAAAATGGCAGAAATAGCGTTTGACTTGCGCCTGAACTCTTCGCAGAACATAAAACATTCTAAACATGCTATCTACAAGTCAACTATGAGTGAGTGAATAGAGAAATCTTTCACCTGGAGAGGCATGCACACTTACTGCATGGATGACCCATCTCAGTGATGCGATATATAGATATGCAATATGCATGACAGAAATCCGATTAAGAAGACACTTTAATATACAGGCAAATAGTATAGTTAATTAATCTGATAGGAGACAAAAAGCAAAATTAATTTTAAACCAACTTCCAGTAAGACGAATATAGAATTCAAACAAGAAAGCCATAGTATCGATTCAGATTTGAAATCCATTTGACAACACATTTGGCTTAGTTTGTAGTGACCCTACTTGCTGTGTCAGCGGTCGCGTGTTCGAGTCCCGCTGAGGCTATTCATGTGTGTGATGAGTACGAATGTTTGAACTCAGGTCGTGGGTGTTTATATTTATAACATGTATGTATTTAAAATTATATATGTGTAGTGTATCAACTATCTGGTATCCATAACACCGAGCTCCCCATGGAACTAGATGGTGCTGTGTGTTAATATCCCAACATATTTATTTATATTCGCACACCTCGATCCAGCTCATGTTGTGCTGCTGCATCTCCTCCATCTTCTCCTTGACCGAAGCGTACAGCTTGGACTCGAAGCGCAGCGACTGCATATGGTTCATGTAGCGGTTGCAGTAGAACAGGTAGCGCTGCAGCGCGGCGCGGGAGCGCTCCTGCGCGTCGCGGGCGGCCTTCGCTTCGTCCTCGTCGTATCTGGAAATAGATAATGCTAATGTATAAATGAAGGCCATGGATAAACAAATTCAGCATTGCTCGATTATTTACAAAATTTATTAAAAAAAAAATTTACTTCTCCTATATTATGATTAAGAATCAGTGTTTTCAGTTTATAATCAATATTTTAATGACTGATTATAAACTGAAACCACAGATTCTTAATTAAATACTATTTATTCAAGACAACAATTTATAAAAATTCTCTACCGTTGCTCAGAATATATTTTATTTATTGCCTTGTTTTCTCAATGAAATTCAAATCTAATTCAAATTCATAATTGCTACAATAGTCAATACACTGTGTTACAATAGTCAATGTTGCTTTAAATATAAAATATAATAACTTTAAAAACATCTTAAAACGACATATGGCGATAAGCCATAATATTTTTAACTTTTTAGACTTATATTTATATTATCACATTATGTAAGAATTATTCTATTCACTCAGAAACCCAGACCTTACCTCCACAAGCCGCAGTAAAAAAAACTTAATAATTATAATTAGTGGCTATTTTTAAGTAATATTATGATGTTCTCCTAGCCGATTCCGGTTACGGCGGCCAATCTCATTGAGACTAGCCAACTGCGCAGGAGATATTATAGTGCAGCGCGTGTACGCGCAGATACAACATGCACTCTCTGTTCCTGTCACTCTCATACTCCGGTGGGACGACCGCTCGACACGACCAGTGAGAGTGTCGGCGCAGGACCGACGGCTTTACGTGCTCTCTGAGGCACGGGGGTGAAACACCGCCAACTTCCCAACTCCGGGCTGTTACTGAGACTTACTATACAGAAAGACTCAATAACTAAACTTGGCCCAACCTGGGACTCGAACCCAGGACCTCCGAGTGTGCAGCCGTACATGCTAGCCACTACACAACCGAGGCAAAACATACATAACTATAAGTTTTAATTATATACTGTACTCACCTATTGCAGTTGTACCAACTGCTACCATGTGGCTCCCAGGGCCCGAGGCAAACCCAACAGAAGTCGGCTTTGCAGGTCTGGTTCTTGCACACCATGTGGTTGCAGCCGCCGTCCTTCTCTATCGTCACGTTGCACTTCGGACACTCCTTTGTGTTGGCGGCTATCCAGTTAGATGTTTCTGAATCGTCGTCGCACTTCTGGGAAACAATTATTGTTATTTTCAGTTGACTTCAATAATATATCAATACTAATATTATAAATATAAAAGTTTGTAAGAATGGGTGTATGGATGTTTTTTACTCAATGACGCCAGAACGGCTGAACGGATCTGGATGAAGTTTGGCATAGCGTTAGATTTATAGTCTGGAATATCACATAGGTTACTTTTTAACCTTGAAAAATGTAGGATTCCCGTGGCATTTTTGTTTTTCACTGGGAACGAACCCGGAGCGAAGGGAGGGTGAATGCTTGTCTACACATATAATAAAATTCCAACCGAGTCGAATTTGTACATTAAATATTTTTTTGGAAAATCTTATTGAAATAGTAATTATTATCACTACAGAGGCTGTAATTTATATTTTAATCTAAATTTTTTCTGTCAGTCTGTGACCGCATCATGAGAAAACCACTGGACAGATTTTGATGATATAGGATACTTTTTACTGCGGAAAAATATCTCATCTCTGAGAAATCTATACTAAACGTTAAAACGTAAGAATATATAATTAGAAAATAGTTGTCATCTGCATTATCTCATTGTTGAAATTTATACCCATAATAATCAATGAAATTATTTATCTACTACACAATTATCCTATTCATATATAAGATGGATAATAATATATCCTCTATGAGATTGTCCGCCGTGGCACAAATCGTCCAGGGGAACACTATAGCTCCATCAGTAAATCCAATGAATACAAACCTTAATCCACTTCCTGAGCAGACAGCAGCGCACCGGGTCGTGCCAGTTCTCGCCGCACGCGAAGCAGAAGGTGTGCGTGCAGCGGCAGGTGACGGGCGCCGCCTCCACGTACACCACCTTGATGGCGTTGCTGCAGTCCGGCGACGGGCACCAGCGGAGCAGGCGGTTACACTGCCGGGAACATTGACAATGATTATAATTAACTTTTAAATAAATCTATCTTTTCAGATTATTTAGCGGATTTATTATGATTTTGGTTTTCTACGTTTCGAAATTCGCGTAAATACGTACCCAATATTTTACAACTATTCTAAAATACACACATTATATAAAATGGAATGAAATGTGGCAAATATTTAATTAAGGCGTTTAAACAGCGATACCAACCTCAACAAAACTGTTAGTGATAATGTGTTGGTACTTGAGCTTGACGCGCGCGTCGCGCACCAGCCGCATCACCGTCGCGTCGTCCACGAGTATCTCGCACGCGTGCGCCGCGCACGCTATCGTTTGACCCTGCACGTTCAAATAATCTATTGTATTCTAATAGCATAACATAAAAACCATTGATTATAACGGAAATACTGTCAGATAGAAGGTTGTTAAAAATACTAATTTGCATTAAGAACGTTTTGTCATTCATAACAAACATCGCTTCTAGCGATAAGGCCGCCTGCTGTGCGTTTTTTTTTGTTATACATTTCATTTCTTTATTTATTACTTGTGTGGTGTGCAATAAAGTGTTCATTATTATTATTATTATTAAGACGCAGTGCCATCTCGTGGCAAGTTACAGTTATTAAAATCATCTGTAAAGCCGTTTCTCAATTGCAATATTTAAATAAAAGTAAATATGACAATGGGATGCGCCTCCGGACGTTGTGGGACGATGCATATCTCTAAGACAATTTCGTTAGACAACTGTATGGATTAATAGACTGTGATATGCAATATATATGTATAGATTTGCCCACACTGTACTTAGATTGTGACACTGCTTTGGTGGTCTAGTGCTAGCATGTACGAATACAGAACGGATGGGTTCGAGTCCTAGGTCGGGTAAAATATAACATATGGGATATTCTGTCAATTATTAGTAACAGCCCGGAATTGGAAAGTTGGGGCTGAGCACATAAAGGCATCGGTGCTGTACTTATTTTTCACTAATTGTGACATATTCTGTCCGGACGTTGAGAATAAAAGAAACAGATAGTGCGCTATCGTGTCTCTTGCTCAAATGGCAGTTATAGTAATAGTAGCAGCCAGGGCCGAACTTAGAAAAAAGAACATAATTATTACTTTGAATATAGATGCAAAAATCTATCCATGTTAAGATTAGTGAACTCACCCATATGCTATCTGGTTGTATAATACATGCTAGTAATATTTAGTGACCAATAAAACAAATGATGACAAACTAACCATAAAATCCCTTAAATGAACTGAAATCCCTCTTTTAACCTTAAGGAATTCATTTATTTAAAATAGTTACATTGAATGGTTATTGTACTCACTAAGCCTTCTTCCATTATTTTAGTTGTCAAATATTCACACCAGCACTGGGTGCAAAATCTGTGTCCACACTCAAGACCTGTCATAATCTGTAAATAATATATTCTATAAAGCACACTGTATATTAAATTAAATGAACAAGAAACGGTTAAAAATAACATTGTGTGCAAATATTTTAAGATATTATAAATTTCTTTGAATTATGAACAATGTTATAAATGCTTCTGGTTAATTCTGAGAGAGTGTCGCGTCTTCCTCCCTCCGGGCGCGTGACGTATGCGCGGCGCGGGCGTAGTCCCAGCCCAGCCGTGAGCGCATCTCACCGCGACCATTCCACTTGACAGTTAGTCTACAGACATTTCTTTACAAGTTTCCTTTATTATACACTAGCGATTCACACTCGCTTCGCTCGGGTTCGTCCATCTACGGACGAACGTACCTAAACGTTGTATTTTTATGAGTGGAACCCTAATTTTTTTTCTAAAATAAAAGTATCCTATGTTACTTCCTATAACATCAGCTATCTTCCAGTGAAAGTCCCGTCAAATCAGCCCAGCCTTTCAGAGATTATACAGAACAAACAGACAGACAAATATTTAAAATTTGTGTTTTTCTTATAAGTACGGTATATAATTTCATATGCATTTAGTAAAGTGCTAGTATTTTGACATTACAAACAGACACTTCAATTTTAATTATCTGTATAGACTAGCGACTCACACCCGTTTCGCTCGGGTTTGTCCCTAGGTTGATTCCCCATACAAATCCCCATTTTCACCCTTCCCACGGTCTCAAACTATCTTCTTACCAAATTTCATCTAAATCGGTCCAGTAGTTTATGAGTTTATTCCTTACAAACATACAAAAATACAAATCTTTTCTCTTTATAATATTAGTGTAGATAATAATATAGTATAGAGTCCACTGTTTTTATTCAAAATCCCGTTAAGGCCTAATTAGTATGCCTTAGAAAATTGACAGAAATGTATGAGTTTGCAGTAAAACACCTGTCCTTTGTAAATTTAAAAGTAGTATAAGGCAATGACCATAATGATTATGCAATTTTTAATAATTTTAATCAAAAATAAAACTTACGGATGATGGATGAATTGAAAAACAAATTTCACATTCCTCTGTTCCTGAAGTTGATATCCGTCTAGGCAACTGAAAAAATATTAGTATAGTAAAATTTGCTTGGTCTCTTTTAATATAAATAGTACCCTCTTTGTTGCATGTACATAAATTTCATTATGAGATATTAATAAAAGCTAATAATAATTGCACAAGCAGTATAATTTTTTATCTAAGTGAAATTTAATAAATTATAGTTTATATTGGATATTTTGATTGAATTTTTAATTGAATCTATAATTTAATTGATTTTTTGTCTGTGCATTTATATGTGCTAATCTCAGTAACGGCTTAACTGATTTGGGTGCAGTTTTTACTAAGGTATTGTGGTAAGCTTCATTTAACATTTAGTATTTGTTTTATTGCAATCGGTTCATAAATAAAAAAATTATGTTAATTACATGAAATATTTAAAAAAAAATGCTATAAAGTACAGTCCAGTTGATTTGGCTGAAAGTTTGGTTAACTATATTATAGTTTGTATAAAGATAATGAATGAACGTTTATATGAACACATCAAAATTATAAAATTGATAGTTTCAGAAATTAAGAAACTTCCAATGTAAGAAGAGCTCACAACTATATGGTCGAGCATATTAAGTAGTGTTCAGTGTGTATTGGGTGCCCTTTGGTTAGACGCCCTGGTAACAGCTAAACGTGGCTAGTTTTGTTTTAAAAAAATTTGGTTACACTGTAAAAAAATTGAAACCCATGAAATTGTGAACAAAATCCGTGTACCAAGTTAAAATATATAAATATTATTTGTCTAAGTATTATAAATACCTTTGGTCTTTGTATGACAGGTTTTCTAAATGGATTTATAACTCTAGCCTCAGCAAACAACTGATCCTGATCGCCATCATAAAAACGTTCCATTAGCTTTTCTTTGTCCCATTTAAAATGATTAAGCAGTATGCGTGTTGTTGTGGCTGGAATCTGAAATTTAATTACTATATATGAAATACTACATTATACTTTATAAAAACTATTTAATAATTTTAAGATAAAAGACATATGTAAAACTTGGAATGGCAGTTGAGTGCTTGTTAAATAAAAACATTAAAATAAATAAAGCATAAAAAAACTGTTTGAATTTACTGTGTATCTAATGATAAACATCTCATTATTTAATTACAAAAGTTGATGACTGTACTAATGGCATGACTTGAGGATAATGCAGTTAATAAATTGTTGAGTTTCTATAATGCCCGACATACATACTTAGCTATACATTTGCAAGAATAATATTTAAATACTTTTAATTTATAACACATGTTTTTAAAAATATTATACATATTGTACAGCTATAATCCTTGACCTCATTATAGGTCATCCTGTCCTAGATATTTTTAATCTATAAATGTCAAATGTACATATCATGAATTGGTTGTTAGAAATTAAAATAATAAATATGTAAAAGATTATATAAAATAGATTAATATAATATTTATCATCAATAAATATAATTGCTAGTTCATAAATATGAACAGTTTGGAAATGTTAAATTTTTTTGTTTTTGAAATGGACTTTTATTTTAAATAAAAAAGATTTCAATTCATTCATTTTTAAACAAAACATATCATAATATGAGTCATACAACTAATATTTTTTGTTACATTTTCATATATAATATGATACACAAGATTCTAGATAAATTTTAAAATCTAATTGATAAATTTGTATCTACAGGCCTGAAATCTATTGTAATTAGTACAGTAACAGAATAAAATAAGAGTTATGAAAGTCTTGGGAAGAAAAAGTAACTAAGCAAGCCAATGTACGAGTAACCTCATTCAAGTATCCATTGTTTACTACTAACATACTGACCTCAACTACTGTGTTAACGTCTTTAATGCAATCAACCATGTGCTGGACAATTTCTTCCGTTGATAACACTTCGTAAGGATATTCTTCGAGTTCTTTTTGTCGTTCCCTTGTACTGTGAGTCTCGTCCATGACAAAGTCGACATCGTCTCCGCTTGACTCATTACCAGAATCCACATCATCCTTTGTGTCGTCTTCGGAGTCCATGGTCGAAATAAATTAATTATATGCTAAAAAATATTAGTACTGCCAAAATACTTATAATGATGAATTAATTACACCTAAGATTTAGGAAAGGTCAACAATGAAGAAAATAGTTCACCCACGGGCTGCCAAAACCTCTGACGTATTTATGGATAGTGTCTATGACGTTACTCTTTGAATTATTGTAGGTATCTATGGACGTCTCTGAGGTGAATAAAATAAAAAACTTACCTCCTTAATAATTGCTCCAAGGCGTCGTTGCATTTTTTATGTTTTCTTGTGGGATTTCTTAATTACAATTTTAATCGTTTGTTTTAATAAAATGGTTGTAAAGAGTACTTGCCAGACTATTTGGGTACTGGTTTATCGACATTCAAAAAATAATTATATCGTTTTAATGTGCATTTTATTTAACGGTTTTTTTTTAGATTAACAAAGTAACACATAAAGATTGAAGTATTTCCAACTTTATTTACTAATTAATATATTCCAACTAATCTAAATAGGCCTAAAAAAATCTTAAAACAATTCTTATAATGCCATTCAAAGTTACTATAGCTTTTGGATAATTATAAATATGACGATAAATATTTTGTGCAAAAATAAGGGCCTGTCCGCACTGCGATATTTCACCGCGCGATTTTTATTCTCGCGTATTATATTCCGTGATCGAAATTGTACTTATTAGGGCCTGTCCGCACTGCGATATTTCACCGCGCGATTTTTATTCTCGCGTATTATATTCCGTGATCGAAATTGTACTTATTACGCACTGCGAATAAAATTTCGTACGATTTTTGTCATTTTTATGCAGTTCCCGACTGAGACAAACGTCTAAAATGATAAATCTACTATATCTACTGAGACATTTTAGTAATCTAAAATGATGTTTTTCTACATTAAATATCAAGAGCTGCGAAAATACAGTAAAAAGTTTTTCGGATATTACAGAATGACTACAAAATCATTCGATAAACCGATAGCGTAGGTGCACGACTGAGCGAAACGCGCGAATTTTATTTCGCAGTGCGGCCATAGCCATACATATTATATACTGTACAAAACATTCGCGCGGAAATAATCCGCGCCGCATCGCGTTCAATTTGCATCAAATCACAGATTTTTTTTCCGCGCGAATTTTTAACCGCCAGTGCGGATACTCCTATAACATTCAATGTGTTACAGAATTGCGGGAATAAAAACGTGCGGTGAAATATCGCAGTGCGGACAGGCCGTAAAACCAAATGCCCTGTCCGCACTGCGATATTTCACCGCACGTTTTTATTGTCGCAATTCTGTAACACATTGAAATACGCGAGAATAAAAATCGCGCGGTGATATATCGCAGTGCGGGCAGGGCCTAAGGGCCTTAGGCCTTAAATTGTACTTATTACGCACTGCGAATAAAATTTCGTACGATTTTTGTCAGTTTGATGCAGTTCCCGACTGAGACAAACGTCTAAAATGATAAATCTACTATATCTACTGAGACATTTTAGTAATCTAAAATGATGTTTTTCTACATTAAATATCAAGAGCTGCGAAAATACAGTAAAAAGTTTTTCGGATATTACAGAATGACTACAAAATCATTCGATAAACCAATAGCGTCGGTGCACGACTGAGCGAAACGCGCGAATTTTATTTCGCAGTGCGGCCATAGCCATACTTCTACATACTGTACAAAACATTCGCGCGGAAATATATCCGCGCCGCATCGCGTTCAATTTGCATCAAATCACAGATTTTTTTCCGCGTGAATTTTTACGATAAGTTTTAAGAAATATTCTTAATTTGAATTATTATAATAGTTCCTCGATATGAGCAAGTACTCTGTGTGCTAGAAAACATTAAACAATAAAGGAATCCAGAATTTTAAAAAGCGATGCCCTAAACCAGCCATACTTAACCTTTTTTTATCTAGGGGCTACAAACACGTTTCAGTCATGGTCTGTTTTCCCTTTTTTCTTTAAGCGGAACTTCTACATTAGTATCGTTTTCAAAATCGATGAACTCATCAAACAACTCTGAGTAATTACAATTTAAAACGGAAGCCAACTCTGAGATATAACTTCAGATGGGCCCAAAGAGTATAGTTATAAACTGGGAATGGGATGGGCCAACAACAAAGGCCCGGCGGGCCGCAGGTTGAGTATAGCTGCTCTAAACTCTTAAACGAATTTACGTAGGTACCTACTCAAAAGAAGTAATTCACGCTCACGAAATAACTTTGTAAAGTTACCATTCCAAACGTAATAAAAATACATTAAGTAACTTTATTATTTATATAAAAAATATAATCACTGGCTGCTAATGGAATATTTCAATCAAGTTTTTGAGTTATAATAGATTTAATAGTATAACAGGAAATTAGTTAAAAAAGTATTTACCAATAATATTATATAAAATAACTTTATAAATCACTCAAGTAAGGGTTTTATACTTTTTACTCGACTGAGGCGAAGCTCAAAGGAGGATTATTTATTTAGTAATGCTACAGATCATAATATAATACTGTAGTCTATACTAGAATATTACCATGGGGTCTCTTCACTACCAAAGAAAAATTAGTTCAAAAAAATGTCAATAGGTGGCACTATTTGTATAGATTTGTTAATAAAGTAAAATTAACAAAAGGTAAAATAGATCCAAATTTTACTAATTATTGAAATATCAATTATCAGACTATGGGTTTGTAGTTTGCAATGTATTTTCACAAATGGCGCAGATTTTTTTTACAAGTTATTTACCAGTTAAAAACGGTTCAGATTACAAAAATTTGTTTATAAAAATGCAGGACGTATAATTTTGCAATACATATTTAACATATTTTATTATTTATATTTGTATTCAGCCCTTTTTAACGTCCCACTGCTGGGCACGGGCCTCCCTTCAATACGTGGGGGGATCAGGCCATAGTCCACCACGCTGGCCAAGTGCGGGTTGGCGGACTACACATGTCTTTCGAAAACTTGCTAAGTTCTCTCAGACATGCAGGTTTCCTCAAGATGTTTTCCTTCACCGTCAGGCAAGCGGTAATCATGTTAGAAATGATTCGCACATGAAAATATCAGAGGTGCGAGACCCGGGATTTGAACCCGCTTCACTCGGTGTCCCAAGCTAGCGTGTTACCACTGGGCTACCACTGCCTTTTCTTTTTAATCAAACTAAAATAGCCAGTATTAATGTTGCCCAATTCTTTGTATGTGATTGGATATTTATACTAGTACAGTATGTTGTTAATATTACTCTTTTATAATAAATGGTTAGATTAGATCAACCTAGAAACTATTATATAAATACAACTCAATACATAATGAATTGTTTTATTGATCAAAATATCAGTAGAAATAAAAGTCAAAAGGTTCATAAAATAAGTATTTCAGATATTTTAATATTAAAGGCACACTTGCTTTAAAATAATAGCATTATTATATTAGATTATCTAGTTCACTTTGAATTGTTTCTATTTGTAAAAATATTGAATTTAATTCTTGATGGGTCAATTCAAGTTCAGTTATATCTTTCTTTCCATTTAAAGATATGTATGCTTTAGGTATTTTGGTTTTTTTATGATATTCTGAACTTAATTCTGTGTTTAATTTCCAATTAATGTTTGGGTTATTTTCATATTTTTCATTTGTTATGGAAGATAGGTTATGTAATGTCAAACTTGTTTCTGTTGACCACAGTTTAACAAAGAAATTTGATTTTTCTTCTTCAATTCCTACATTTATTAGGTCATTTTTTAAATTAATTGGCATAAAGATGAATTTGAGAATCCTTTTGTATATATATAAAATTGTTTTAATTACAAAGAGTAATTGTTCTTCATTGAGTCTAAATATTTTTTCTAGTTTTCTCCTTTCCTCTTCTGTAAAAATTTCTGTATCTTGCTGTTTTAATTTTAATACTATTCTTCTAAGAAACTGTTCAAACTTTGTTTCTTCTAAGAGGTTGATTAAATCTATTCCCTTTTTTAAACTGAAATAATTATCAAAAAGTAATAACCACTTGTACAAATATTATTAAACACAATTTCATATTAAAGGTACCTGGGTGAAATCTTAAGCCAATTACATTCCATGTTAATTATTTTGATATATTTATAATTAATACGTTTCTATAGTTTTACTTTGTTCTCACACATCTAGGATAGAATTTCCAAAGGCCAGCCTATAGCATTAGCTCTTCCGTTTTTAGTGCAAGGTAATTTTCAAGTTTACAAAACTTTTGACTTACACGCTTTTGAGTTTTGCTTTTGATTTTCACTTTTGACACTAAAATGACATAATGACATCCTGGAACTGACAGTCACAGATATCTCCATAGAATCAAATTTCGAACATAACATGTATTCCATTATAATAAATATAATAAAGACTTCTATTATAAATTGCTAGTTATAATATTCATTGCTTATAATATAATGACTAGTGAAAACTGGGCGGCTACAAAACTAAAATTAACTTAAGCCCAGTTGTAACACGTACACGTACGGAACACCAGTATCATTATTACTTTATACAGTCTGAAAATTCTTGTGGGAGAAGTCACACAATACGTAATACTAGCAAAACGTAAAAACGTCTGTTAATGCAACTCTTAAGCCATCAAAGAAGAAAAAAAAAGAAAATGCATGACATTTTCATTTGACATTTTACTGTCACTTCAACAAAATTATTGGCATGTCGTGGTTTCTTGCGTGGAAGTTTTGAAAGCGATATTTCATCATGTCGCAAAAAGTAGATAGGGTTCCGGAACATATTGATTTCCCAAAAGAAGAAGAGAAAATCTTAGCATTTTGGGAAAATATTGACGCGTTTCAAAGCTGTCTCAAGCAATCGAAGAACAAGCCGAAGTAATATCTTCTAACCTTTTCTAAAAACCGGATGAGAAAAAAGAAATAAATAATAGTTATAATATTTATGTTTATTTTTCAGATATTCTTTCTATGATGGACCACCGTTTGCAACGGGACTACCACATTATGGACACATTCTCGCAGGAACCATCAAAGATGTTGTCACACGATATGCCCATCAAAAGGTGAGTGATAAAGAATAATGCTTCTAAGTTATAAATAAAAACCGTTTTTATATGTGCAATATTTGAAAGGTTTTATTAAATGCCTTAATTATATTTTTCTTGTAGTTTTTATGTAACTAAAAGTACTATTATTGAACTTAATTGGTTCATACACTTATAAATTATTGCACTTATTAATTTAATGTAAATATACAATAGTACATGTGTCGTGAATACAACTTACAAAGAATTTATTATTGACATTACTTAATGTTATTATTAAATAATCTTTTTAGGGTTACCATGTGGAAAGAAGGTTTGGTTGGGATTGCCATGGTTTGCCTGTTGAATTTGAAATTGACAAGACTTTAGGGATAAAAGGACCAGAGGATGTTGAAAAAATGGGCATTGATAAATATAATGCTGAGTGCCGCAAAATTGTGATGAAATATGCTAAAGAATGGGAAACAATAATAACCAGAGTTGGAAGGTGGATAGGTAATTTTTTTTTATTCATAATATTATATTCATAACAAAAATAATGATGTTGACTATATTCACATTTTTTGTTGCAGATTTTAAAAATGATTATAAAACATTGTATCCCTCATTTATGGAATCTGTTTGGTGGGTATTCAAAGAACTTTATAATAAAGGTCTGGTCTACCAAGGAGTAAAAGTTATGCCCTACTCAACTGCTTGCTCAACACCATTATCAAATTTTGAAGCAGGACAAAATTATAAGGATGTTGTAGATCCTGCAGTTGTCATTTCATTTCCCACTAAACAAGGATTTTCTCTGCTAGCTTGGACTACAACTCCTTGGACCCTTCCTAGCAATTTATCACTTTGTGTAAATCCAAAGCTCATTTATGTAAAAGTTAAAGAAAAAGCAACAGGGGCATGCTATGTTTTACAAGAAACTAGGTTTCCATTTATCTTTAAAAATGTTGAAGATTTTGAAATCCTTGAAAAGTTTTTAGGTGAAACCTTGAAAGGTTTGAAATATACACCTCTTTTTGATTATTTTGTAGAGCAATGTCCTAATGGGTTCCAGGTTCTTACTGATGGATATGTAACTGATGATTCAGGTACTGGTATAGTACACCAGGCACCATATTTTGGTGAAGACGATTTCAGAGTTAATTTAGCCAATGGGATTGTAACTAGAGATCAAGAGATTATTTGTCCTGTTGATGCTAGTGGAAGATTTGTTGAACCAGTAAAAGATTTTCTTGGACAGCATGTTAAAGAAGCTGATAAAAATATAATAGCTTACCTTAAAGCTTCTAATAGACTAATCCAAGCTGGGCAGACTAAACATAGTTACCCATATTGTTGGCGTTCTGAAACACCTCTTATTTATAGAGCTGTGCCATCTTGGTTTGTTAGAGTGGAACAGATGAGTCAAGATCTTCTAAAGTCCAGTGAAGCTACTTACTGGGTTCCAGAATATGTGAAAGAAAAAAGGTTTGGTAATTGGTTAAAGGAAGCCAGAGATTGGGCTATTAGTCGGAACAGATATTGGGGGACTCCAATTCCACTATGGATCTCTAGTGACAAGCAAGAAGTTATATGTGTAGGCAGTATTGAAGAGCTTCAAGCACTGACTGGCAAAGAAATAACAGATTTACATAGGGAAAGCATTGATCACTTAGAAATTCCATCAGCAAGACCTGGACAACCACCTCTAAAAAGAGTCCCTGAAGTGTTTGATTGTTGGTTTGAGTCAGGTTCTATGCCATATGCTCAAAATCATTACCCATTTGAGAATAAAAAAGAGTTTGATGAAATATTCCCAGCTAACTTTGTTGCTGAAGGCATTGATCAGACCAGAGGTTGGTTTTATACCTTAATTGTTTTGTCAACAGCATTATTTAACAAACCTCCTTTCAAAAATTTGATAGCAAATGGATTAATTTTGGCTGCTGATGGGCAAAAAATGTCAAAGAGAAAGAAAAACTATCCAGATCCATTGGACGTTGTTGGTAAATATGGAGCTGATGCTTTAAGACTTTATCTTGTCAACTCACCTGTGGTTAAAGCTGAAAATCTTCGATTTAAGGAAGAAGGTGTACGAGATGTGATCAAGGATGTCTTCTTGCCCTGGTACAATGCTTTCAGATTTTTAATGCAAAATGTAGAACGAATAGTACAAGAAGATAAAATTGATTATGTATACAATGAAAAAGTAATTAGAGAAAATGTTATGGATAAGTGGATTACCTCTTTTATGCAATCATTGATAAGTTTTGTCATGCAGGAAATGGCAGCTTACAGGCTGTACACAGTGGTGCCTAGGTTAACGAAGTTTATAGATCACCTTACAAACTGGTATGTGAGGATGAATAGAAAGAGGCTAAAGGGTGAAAATGGTATAAACGATTGTCAAGTTGCCCTGCACACATTATATGGTGTACTATTTGACATGATCCGAGTAATGGCACCATTCACTCCATTTTTGACTGAACTAATGTACAAAACATTGCGACAACTTTTGCCGGGAAGTTCGCTAGAAAGTGTTCATTTTAATATGTTACCAGAACCAAAATTAGACTTGGTTGATACGAATATCGAAAGAGCCGTGCAAAGAATGCAATCTGTCATTGAATTAGGCAGAGTCTTAAGAGATAGGAAAACTATTCCTATCAAGTATCCCCTCCCGGTGATGATAGTTATACATCAGGATCAAACTTACTTGGATGATATTAACTCTTTAGTAACGTATGTCCTTGAGGAAATGAATGTAAAGAAGGTGGAGCTAACAAGTGATAAAGAGAAATATGGCATAACGTTGAGAGTAGAGCCGGATCACAAAATTTTGGGTGCTCGTTTAAAAGGCGACTTTAAAGCCGTTACGCAAGCGCTAAAAGATCTCAATAATGAGCAGTGTGAGAAACTCATTGCCGACGGGTATGTCGAACTTGTGGGTCAGCGTATTGATGTATCAGAAGTTAGAGTTATATTCCAAGCTACAGGTAATGATCAATATGAAGCCCACAGCGATAATGATGTTATGATTTTACTAAATGTTACACCAGATCAAGATATGCTTGATGAAGGATTTGCAAGGGAAATTATTAATAGAGTTCAGAAACTACGAAAAAAAGCCCGCTTGGTGCCGACAGATGAAGTTGACGTCTATTTCTCTGTAACCAAAACGAGCGACATTCTACGTATTATTCAATCTCACCGTGAGTTAATCGAGAATACAGTTAAGGCACCACTGAAGGGTCTTGAGGAACTTTCAGCATCTAAACCAGTAATTATTGAAGATACTCAAGAATTGAAAGGATCACAGTTGAAATTGGTAATCACTTGGCGTAAAGAAGTAGAGGTTCCGGCTCTTCCTTGGGCGAATATAATTTTGCAAGGATTAACACCACGATTCGGAGTTGAAACAGATAAAGGAAGCGTTATCCTTAAAGGAAAAGATGATAAATTTATACATTTAGATTGTTTACGCAAGGAAGTGGAAATTTTATTTGGTTTATATGGAATGAAATATACATTGTGGTGCGACGGAGCAATTGTTACAAATACGAATAATTTAACCGCAAAAACTATTATTGTTTCTCCAACAAAACCAACAGATGTTAGCTCGCAAAGTAGTCCATTTTGCAAGTTTATTAACGTTGCAAATGGTAAAGAGACAATCACTCTTTTTGTAGAAAACCCGAAAGGAAAAGCGACGCTTAATAATAAACAAGCTGTTAACGTTATTTCAGCATATTTTGGAATTAAAGCTACTGAAATTGATCTAAAAATGTCTAAATAAAAACAAAGTTTTTATTATAGTGTTGTTATATTCATAATATGTGATGTTATATGGACAAACAATATGCTTTTGTTCTGGCTTGAAACTTACTTTTACTAGTCGAAACGTGTGACTAATTTATATAAGCACTAACTACATTATTTTACATCTCATCTGTAGCGAGTAGTTTCATCATATAATTTATTGAATAAAAGCTTTTAAAATAACATGTTTTATTTGTAGTGGACTGATTTTACGTAAAATTATTTTTTACCATTACGTGTATCCTTAACTACTTTCTGCAATAGACTAATATATCTCATATGATCAAGTCTGACTCATCTATACTACTAATATTATAAATGTGAAAATTTGTGAGTATGGATGTTTGTTACTCTTTCACGCCAGACGGGCTAAACGGATCTGGATGAAATTTGGCAAAGAGATAGATTATAGTCTGGACTAACACATACGCTACTTTTTATCCCGGAAAAATGTACGGTTCCCATGAGATAGGTTATTTTCCTAGAGTCAAACCCGAGCGAAGCGAAGGTAAGCCGCTAGTGAACTATATATTACAATGTTACATCGATAGATGTGCCTTGAGCGAGTTCAACATTTTGAGAATTAATACTCGCCATCGTGTGTGATGAAGAATGATTGTTTATTGTTGTTTGAAACAGACAAACGAAAAAGACTTAATATTTATTACTGTTTTTTTTTATATAGAATACTTTTGGGCTCTGTTGATCTACAATAAAAGCAAGTTCGATTCAGATTTTTTGCACTAATCAGTTCAAGATTTTACAGCAAAAAGAAGTAACAAAAACATATTTACTAATACTACCGCCTTACTATTGCTTCGCTCGGGTGTCTAACACTAGTATATTTGTTACTAGACAGGTCATAGTATATCTTTCCTAAGATATGTGCTCACCTTGTTCGATCGCACTCATAATTTCCTACCCAGTAGGCAGTGCGAACCAGAAACTTAGTAATATATGCATTACCGGTAGCATTTATGGAGAAATAAAACACCTTTATTAAATTAACCTTTATTTTAAACATTCTTTCATAAATAAAACAAAATAAGCATTAAATATGACGTCCATAATTCAATTATTTTAACAGATACAGCGTATGAATTACAATACTTATTATATCTTTATTATTTCTTTTAAATGTATCTATGTGTATAATATATTATAGTTTTGGCTCGTTGCAGATATAGTTATCTTTGATTTATTACTTTTATGTTGTACACATTGATAGAGATAAATGTTTAAGGCATTATTCATTAAGGCGTGTAGTAAATTGATAAATACAAAAAAATCATATATAGAATATAAGATCAAGAAAGTAATGCTTCTATAATATTATAATTGCGAACTAATTACTTACATTGAAAAATAACTACTAAATAACAGAAATACACTTTTACAATATCGTATGCGATAAAATTTCTAAAAAGACATGCTGAAAGTGGACTCGTAAATGTTAGGGATATGTTCGGGTTAAAAGAAAAAAAGAATAAGCTACCTACTTTTAAAGATTTCTATAATTAAGGATATAGAACAAAATTAATAAAGCAACACTTAAAATGTTGTGATCAACCTTGTAGTAAACTTCAGTTGTATTCATTATATATATTTCGTTAATTTAAAAAGAATTGTAGAAATTAATTATTTAAAAAAAAATTGAAGCTATGTGAGTTTTGCAAGAATCAGTGTATGCTATAGAATAAAAAGAGGTTGAATTTGGGCACAATATTTACGTATCTTGTGCGAATATGAAACAATATTAGCTAAAATTTTGGTAACTTGTATAAAATAGTGATTTTTTAAAGTACGCGCTGTACACAACTTTGGCGAATAATAAGATTAACCTAAAATATTACAAATAGTTAACCGAATAAAAATAACGAAACTTTCCGAGGAAATAAATGTCTTTCACAGCGTGAGGATTAGTTTACGTAGCATTGTCGTATCTTTAAAAAAATATCATTGAAGTATGTAGTAATTGTAATAATTAAGAATATTTGATTAATTACACAGATGTGGGAAAAAGTCACTTATTCTATATCAAGGTTTTGGGTGCATGTGTGCATGTTCTGTAAAAGACATGACATTATAACTATAAAAACTGCAAGTAATTACGAGTCTTTTAAAATATACTAACGTTTAAAGAAAACATTATCATAGTCACTATTACAGTACATAGTATATTAAATAAAAAATTAATAGAAAATGCTGAGTTAAATCTATCGTGTACAGCAACAACTAGTCAGAAATTTTATTAAAAAAAATATTGTACATAATTAAGAAATTAAGTATAACTAAAGAAATAATTTTCATGTGTATATATATATATGTATAAATAATCATTTTAATAGTAAGTAAAATAATTTTGTTTCCTTGGAATAAAATGCCAAATGATATCACAATGCAGACACACTAGACGAATACCGCATAGTGGATCCGAAGTAAGGTCGCCGTTCGTCCATCTGCTGACCGGGTGAAAAATCTTTTGTATTAAACATAATACGTAACCAAATATCTACATATATTGCATATAAATATATCGCAAATGGGATGCTTAAATCGAAAAATGTTCAATTATTTCTTTTTTAATTAATTCAAAGTAAGATGTAGAAGTTAGATTAAAATTATATGAATTATAATGTCCCAATATATTTATTTATTCATTTATTTTATTAAGCGTATTTGGTCTGATATAAGAAAATTCTGTACAGTAGTCAATGGTAAGTAAACGAATGAAACAAAAACAAAATTATTGTATTATCAGTGAATTCCCCCATTGATTATATTAGGCAGATTGCTGCGAAATATTTGTAAATATTTATGTTTAATACAAAACATCAATCATGTGGTAAACAGATGAGTGAAAGACAATCTTACTTAGGATCTTGGACTAGCAAATGGTATTTGTGTAAAATAGATTAAAAAATAATATCGCAGCTTTCGTTCATCCTGTGATTCATAATACTGTTCACCAGAGCGCCATGTACATTCGCATTATTGCTTAGATTTTATGATTTTAAATGTATTGCTTTTAGAAAATAAATTGGACGTTTGATTTCGAAAACATCACATTATAATATAAAGACGATAAGAAGAAACACTTACTCCTAACGATATAGGATGTGGGAATTTAAAAGGGAAAAGTTATTTATATATGTATATCAAATATCATCGAAACGCTCGACAGACCGACCGACAATGTTATTATATAGAAATAGGTATATATTTAAATATTACACGTATCAAGCATAGGCGTAGCTAAGAAAAAAATTTGATCGAAATTAACTTCTGATAATATGGTTTATTTAAACAACGGCACGTCGTGTTATCTAGTAAAAGCCTGAAAGAGCTTACTGCTTAAAGCTATACATAATTTCATAATATATTTGATATATCTGATGACAAACAACATTTTCAATCTCATAATAAATCTTTGCGATAACTCAACGTTTCCAGAAGACGTTCCTAGCTACGTCTATCTCATCAAGCAAATACCACAAACATACAGCGAATCGAAATATACGTTATTTTGCAACAAATTGTAAGATGAGGAGTATATTGTGTGCTCACAAAAGCTTAATATAGATTTTTATAATAAAGGCTTCAACATCTAGTTATATGCACAAATCGACTAAAAATGATAAGTATTAACTACATAGTTTATAAAAAATACTCAACCACATTTTGTTACAACTAAAATATACTAACATATCTGACTATAATGCGAACCACATTAGAAATTCAAAATCCATATTACACACGGCCTTAGTAGATTAATAACAATTATTATTAATTATAATTTTTAGTCGAATTTGGACAAAACGTTATTGCACTTTAAACACTTCATATAAACCGACGCTCTCCTTAGGCCGCCGCCCGTTTATAAATAAATTTATTATACCACACGGGACGAGATAAAAATATTATAGAAATAAACAAATGAATACAAATTGTCTAAAACTTATTCGTATACATCATAAATCCATCCTTCGAACAAGCTCAATCATTTAAATGGCACAAAAATATTGGATATGCTTTAATAAAAAAGAACAAACATAATATAAAAGATAAAGTGAAATATATATATATATATTATAAAAAAAATTGTATCTCGTAAATTTTTTCATCTCGCCTCGTGACCTCATATATCGACACTATCATGCATACTTAATTATTTCAATTAAGAATAAAATATGTAATGTATTTTTACGTATTTAACACATTATCATAACATAAAATAAGGTCCAAATGCCAATTAGTGGGTAGGTGCATAATATGTAAGTATGCATAATAGCGTCAACATCAAGAGCAGGGTACAGATAAAACAGCAGGGATAACACATGATAATAAACGTTTATAGATCCATAAACATTTGTATTAGGCTAAATACAACACACTACTCAGTGACTAGTCTACATATATCATACAGAACAACAAGGATAAATACATCACAATGGCGGCCCACTCGCGCCCACACGCCCACACGCCTACACGCCTACACTTACATACACTGCCGGCTACTTTGTTTCATACCTGAAATTATAATTATAAAGTTAAATATGTTGTAAATTAAGATATTCCAAATTACATAATTGAATTACGCAGTACTTTTTTAAAATTACAAGTTGAATTTATCGTTGTAAGATTAAATCACTATCATAACCCTATCTTATATATTGTTAAAAAGTTTCAAAAAACAAATATTGTATAAAAAAAATTCTGTCGTGAGTAAACAAAATTACTAACTTTATGAGCATCATAATAATGTATACAATAAGTAAGTTATAAGTCATAAGTTTAATTAATAAATCATATACAATATATATGATGTGTATAGTAGGGTGGAGCGAAAAAAAATATTTCTTTTCTTAGCTTAATTAAAAGAAATAAAAAAAAAATCAACATTTTTAGGTGGTCCATTGATTTATAAAATAAACAATTAATTTAAATTTTTACTTTGAATGATTTTTTTTTAAACATTATTGACGAATATAGTCATTTTCTACTCAACTTTCACTGTTATACAAAAAAAGTAACATGTCATTTTTTCAACTTTTTAAAATTGTAATAATGCAATATTACGGTGAAAGTCGGGTAGAAAATGCGTATATACTTCAATTTTTGAACATTTCCAAAGATCAGAGTCGATAAAAAAATCCATTTAAACCAAAAATTTCAATTATTTTAAAAATGATTGGGCCACCTCAAAATGTTGAGTAAATATTTTTTTATAAGCTACAAATTCTACCTAAGATTTTTTTTTTCGTTCCACCCTATTGTGTGGTATAGATATAAAACTCACTATGCGGAGTAGTGGTGCACGGGCGCGTCGCGCTCGGGCAGCTTGCGCACCTTCATGGTGCCGTCCGCGCCGCACGAGAACAGTCGGCCTGCGCCATCTGAACACACACACGCTTTCTTTAATAATAATTAATTACAACAACGGGACTACCAGTAACGATTATATTAAGTGCGTAAGTTTATATATGTGTGTTTGTTTATTTTGTTCCTCCTTCACGATGAAACTGATGAAAGTTATACACAGACTGACAATGACTATTAAACCAAGTAGTAAAGTTTTATGTCAGAATTTAAAAAAAGGAAAAGGTGAAAAGAGAAACAAGCCAGGTGAAGAAAAATTTTACCTAAATAAAAGTGAAGTAAAATAAATATATACAGTATACTATACCTATGTGTATCTGTGTTACTCCTTGACCAATGTGCTTGAAGAACGAGCTCCTCGCGTGTTCGCCCGCAAACGTGTGCAGTAACTGGTGAGTAGCCAACGAGAACACCTAGAAAAATAGCAAAATCGCAATTATAATTAATTATTATTTAGATGAGTACTAGTTGAAACAGAAATAATGGAAAGAAAATAATTAGTCGCTTAAAATAATTCTTCCTGATTTTTTGAATTATTGTTGGATGATTGGAATCAAATTTGTTCACAAGTTGTAAGTCTGAACTAAATAATAATATCAAAGGTCTGATCTTCGTTTAGCGTGACTTAATTTTTTTTTCGATATCATTATAAACACAAAAATATATAACTATATATGGGTTATACCATTTATTTAATGCACTATTCAACATGACCAGTGAGAGTTAAGGCGCAGGACCGACGGCTAACGTGTTCTTTCCCAACTCCAGGTTGTTACTGAGAATTGTCCTAACAGTAAAACTTAGTAACTAAACTTGAGACCAGGATTTAATGTGGCTCAATTGGCATTTTCAACTTTTCTATTTCGGTGTATAAAAAGAATATTTTGTATCACCTTTTACAAATAGCAAATAAGCACATTTAATGTATTTTTTTTTATTCTTCTTTGTTATACTATTACTGAAGCATGTTGTGTTTACCTTAATATAGATTTAAAATTTACTAATGTTATCTATAATATTAAACATTAGATTTAACTAATTGTGAAACAGCTGGTAGACCTTAAATAAATAAAATAAAAATGCCCAGGAGTACCTTGATGTCGCCATCAGCGGCGCCGATGGCGTAGTAGTCCTCGCGCGGCGAGAGCGCCACGCACTTGATGGGCGCGTGGTGCGCGTGCAGCTTGTGGCGCGGCGCGCGCGCGCGCAGGTCCCACACCAGCGCGTCGCCGCGCCGCCCGCACGACACCAGCGCGCCCGCCTGCCCCGCCCACGCCACGCACGCCGCGCCGCCCTCGTGGCACGTCCACGCTGCGGGTGCCGCGCATTGTAATCATTATAATAATAAATGTTTTTAAATAAAACTATCTTTTCGGATTTTTTCGCGAATCTATTTTGATTTTTGGTTCCCGACCTTTCGAATGCTTTACGGCAATCATGGTCACGGGAGAAGACTCAAGTGTTAGTTGTCTCGAAGACTTAAAATAAATGCCTTTATTTCAGGCTTATTTACTAGTATAATATTCCTACCGCATTGCTGTTTCAACCAATGCCCGAGAACGTCATCACTCAAATAATCGCCCCTTACTCGGAGAATGTCATTATTAGAATTATAATTATTATATTACAATTATACACACGCAAAATTTTAAAAACCGCTTGGTATTATATTTTTATTCAATAATATACTCAATTCGATTATATATATTTTGCATGTATAATACACGCAATCTCAGTTAATTAGACTAATTTTCGTTATCCTTTTTTTTTTGTTCACCTCAAGTGTATTCTTATGTATGTAAGTATTAAAATTCCATCTCTAAAGGTGGAATAATATTAAAGTTATCTCGAAAATTGATATACTTTTGGAGGTAAAACTAATGAATTCATTAAAATATTTATCATATTAAAAAATTACACGTTACAATATAATCCAAATACTTAACTTTTATAATATACCTATATATTATAAAATTAGGAAACATACTGAAAATATACTCACAAACCACTAAAGCTTTCTTGATGGGCATCAACGTATCCCATATGGCTACATTCTTACTTTCGGAACTGTGACCAGCTGTAAAGTAAAACACATTTTTTAAGTTTAATATTTAATCATAGTATAAATACGAAATTATAAAAAAAATCATTCATTCAATTCTACAATATTAACATTATTCACCGATTTACATTATAATAGAAAAAGGTGGTAAGTAAATTATGTATGTAGAAAATACACAGATAATATACACAGATAATATAAACACAGATATTACCTGTTGCAACCAAACTGCAGGAACCAAGGAATACAAAATCGCTGATCCCTTTACTGTGACATTGATGGGTCTGTAAAAAAAACATTGTACAATTAAATTTAAATTGGTGCCGTATATAAATATAAAAAAAAAACAATATAAATAAATTTACTTTACAACGTTGTTATATTAAAATAAACTTACAAAGAAGGGCCTGGGTGATGCATGTGTTTGATTCACAGAGCCGGAAGAAATCTGAGCGGACGAGGAAGGATGTAACTGCCATAAAGCTAAGTTCCCATCTGCGTCGGATGCAGCAAACTTGTTGCCGTAGTCCGAGAATCGAACCCGCGTCACTTTGGCGAAGGCACCGGGCGCGCGAGGCGACCACACGCAGGAGGGGTGTCCCCACTCCCACAGTTGGACTGAACCATCGGCACCTCCCGTTAGATCTGTGAAGACAGTTGTTATATTTAGTCCATTTTAAGGTTCCATTGCTGCGTATGAGCATGCCTTTAATTCGAACCCATAGTTCTAATAGCTGGCAAAGTGCGATTTGTTAGAAAACTTGAACTTCACGTGTTTAGAAAACTTGCTGGGTGCTCTAAAACATATAGGTTTTTGAGGATGTTTTCCTTCACCTTAAGGCGAGTGGTAATCATCTCAAATGATGGTAATCATCGTAAATGGTAAATTATTAATATATGGGAATATCGGAGGTGCGAGAGACCCGGGATTTGAAACCATCTCACATGATTTCCCAAGCTAGGCCCCACCACTGCCCAGACAATTATAATTTTTTGTTACAACTGTATTTTATATAGTCCATTAGTTTTAAAAAGGTAGATATTTTGAAATACTTATAATATAAATTCTAATTTCAAAAAACTATTTCAACTTAAATGAAATGAAAATTATAATTTGTACAATAGCGAGATATCATTAATTTACTTCACGTTAGTTTTATAAACTAATAGAGTACTTACACAAAGGTTGCGAAGGATGTGCTGCCATTCGTTTGATATTATCAATTTTATGTTTGAGTACCTGGACAAAATTTATTAAAAGAATATAAGTTAAATATCTAGATGTATTATGTAAATCATTGAGTCATATTGGATACTTTAATAAGTATCATAGAAACTATATTGTTTTATAAAAAAAATTATAACACCCATCATATTTATTTAAAATTGCTAAAAATAATAGTTTGTTCTAAGAAAAGACAATTGTACTAACAATGAACTGTGTATAATACATGGAAAGCTATAAAAACACAGATACGTAACAGCAAGCACTGCATCTCATATACGAGCATAATACAAGTTAAGCCTATTAAACATATAAGAAACCAAATCAAAACATTCTGAGTTATTTACAACTCGTTTCCCAATGACTACAATGAGATGATTAAATAAAATAAGAACGATCGAAACCAAAAAAAGGTAAAGAAACCAATGATACTGGCTAATGAAAGAAAAAAATATAAATCGACAAAAAACATAATAGAAAAATATCAAATGAAGACCATTTAACACTGCGGAATTGTAACAATCAGTTATAAATAACAGGTGCGAGTTGGGTAAGGAGTAACGGGTGGTGGTAAAATGTGCAAACGAAGTCACACTATTCTATAACATATGTAGCGCTACAAAACACTTGTCGTAATGTTAAAGCCTCTCTTTAAAAGTTGATATCAAGTATTTTATTTCAAATTCTTTATATATAAGTGAAATATTACGAGTACTTTTAAGAAGACTTCATTTTAAACAAAAACCAATTTATTATCTGTTAGACAAATAGTATTGCAAAGTAGTGGTTGATGAGCATTTAAATATGTATGTAAAGCATTTAAGTAGGCGGTGATTTAATGCTATGAAAGCTCAACAGCATTGAATAACAGCGCTATTACTTAGCATTACTACTTTTCTAGTACAGTCGTGTAGAATATTGTCAGGTAGCGTTACAGATGTGTACACAGTGAACTAAAGGAGACGAACAAATCGCAATTCCGTTAGGTACAAAGGTAGGGGCGGGGCGGGGCAGGTCGGGGCGGGGCGGGGCGGGGCGGGGCGGGCGGGGCGGGGCGGGGCGGGGCGGGGCGGGGCGGGCGGGGTTGACACTGACCGGTCTCATGAGAAGCTTGGAGCGATGCAGCACCAGGCGACAGTATTTGGCGTCGTGGCAACCCGGGAACTGCAGGCCCTTCACCTGCGGCCAACACTCGGTTACGCACATACCTCTTACACTCGCGAGTGCACACCTCATACTCAGACTGGCCTAACCTTACCGAGACTGACAGACCGACCTAACTGTACAATTTACTTAAAACTCGATAGCCTATAACCGATATAAATAGATATATATATATATATTTTGACTTTACCAATTTTATATAGTAAATATTTAAATGAAAATAATATAGGTATTCGATGTATCACATAAAAGTGCAATATCAATTACAGGTATTATACTACACTAAGTGTACAATTATTAATCTATATTCTATAATAAACAAACAGATATACATATGTATCAATCCTACGTTATATTTATGTAAAGCTTTGTCGTATACGACATATATAACACATTATTTGTTTATATAACATTCCAAAGATTCCAAGAATACCAAAAACTTCAATTGTAGTTAGTTGACTGTCATCCAATGGTCTGGTGTTTGTATTAGTCGCAAGAAATTTATTCATTGTATTCCTGTATCCTTAGGATTTTCTTGAAAATGATGCATGCAATTCAATATCTACTGACGTATTCCCATTAGGTTGTTCACAAATCACAGCCATCCCCATAAAAGCCGTGGAAACTTGCAAAATTATTAAATTAAACAGCCATTTTTTTAAAGATGAGTAGACAGTAGCAACTCTGAGCGCTGATTATTCTAAATGTCACGAAAATCACTAAAAAATCCTATATTTGATGATTTTAATGACATTTGAAATTTAGAATATATTGGGATTGTACAACTCGTTAATCGTTATTATTTAAAAGCTCAATTAATATCAGGAGCGTCAAAAATGTACATGTTACATTAGCAACTTATAATTATATTATGAATCATACACATTTCCCGCTATTCAAGTTTATAAGACATAGTATTCATTTAACAATATTTTTTTTTTAATTACTATAAATATGCTATATTAACCGTATAAGTGTAATTGCACTTTGTTGTAACACATCGTAAAATATATACATACAGTATGCCGAAAAATAGTTTTAGTATGTTAGATTATTAGAGGAATTTAAGCGAAGCGCTCAGGCAGCACGCAACGTCACTCTATAAACATACACAAAACCCACACCATTCCAACTGCCCAGTGCTCATTGAATGAGTGAATGAATGAAGTGAATGAGATGACCTTTCGTCAAATTACGTGCACATAACAACAGAGCAAGTTAAATCTGCAATTCTGCAACTCAGCGATTTATTTAAATATGCCGCGAATGATTTTTTCATTCTCTCATTCAGAAAGCGTTTGTTAGTTAAATACATCGTGCACGTACTGTGACAACGTACGCATCGTGGCCAGTTGGCTTTGTTTGGCTTGCCCTTTGCTCGTGCTGTGGATTTTTATATATATTATACTTCTCTCTCTCTTTATCCTTTAATAAAAAACCTAACAATATTAAACTAACAAAACCCAATTGATAACAAATATTAGTATAGTAATAAATATACGAACATACATAAGTTAAAGATTACATGACAGATTATTACTAGCGTTTTAGTAGACAATTTTAATTAATTAGTGAAAGATTGTATTTTATTTTTTTATTGTAAGAAAATGCACTACTATGATGATGCTAATATTAAAAAGTGATAAATATATTACTTACCACACTAGCTCCTCTCCCAGTTTGACTGGCCATGCCCACTGGAGCCACGGGAGCATTGGGGTTAAGAGGTGAACTGTTACCAGTCCCGGGGACCGAACCTCCGTTTTGTCTGTCAAAAATAGATTTTATATCTTATTTTGTTATGCAATACTCCGTACAATACCACTTGAAAAAACAATTACTATACTGTATTCGATTTAATATTTCCTTTGTGGGATTTGGAAACAACATATAAAAAGGCCAAACTGTGTTATTTGCCTCTGACAAGCATTCTTAGACAATGGTTGTTATATACCATTCAATAGGCCTAACCTTTGTACCACAATAAAACAGTTAAGATAGAATTCGAACGGAGTTAGCCGTTAAGGTTGAAGTTAGTACAAGAGGCACCGCAGTAAACACCATGAGGTGAAAGTCGGAGGCTTATCACTAGATTAGGCTTACATTAGCAATCGCTCAAATATACAAATAGATTTATAAAAGTTTTTGAGTCGTCAATTCGTATCTTTTTTTTTATTAAGTCCGTGATTAAGCAACCGGCAACTTTTGTCACTTATACGATATCTATTTGTCCTCGGAGAGCACGTAGAACCGCCGGTCCTGCACCTTAACTCTCACCGGTCGTGTCGAAGTAACGTCCCATTGGACTTTGGGAGTAAAATGAATAGAAAGAGCAATTGTGTCTGCGCGAGCAATTGTGCACTATAATATCTCCTGCGCATCTGGCTAATCTGAGTGAGATCGGCTAGATTATCTAGCAGCTATATATATAGCGACTCACTATGGCTTCGTTCGGGTTCGCCTCTAGACAAACAAAAACAAATCTATCCCACGGGAACCGTACATTTTTCCGGGATCAAAAGATGTTTATTTGTAATTTATTTGTTATTGTACAGTTTCTTTAAAATACAATCAGTAGTTTTTGTGTACTGAGTTGTAAAAGTTACTACAGTTTTTTGACTACCCCACTAACTTTAATTTTTTGGCATGAAAAGTATCTAAAATGTTGACCGGGGATATAAGGTACCACCATGCAAAACTTCACTTAAATCGGCCCAAGGGTTTTAGAGATTAGCCCGTACACACAGACAAACAGACAGATAAACAAAAAAATTGAAAAAAATCTGGATTTGTTCTATTTCTCTTCTTATATCCCCCTGACTTGGTTTTTAGCATTTTTTTTTTCTATGTACAGACATTCGACCTCTACAGTTTTTTATATGTATAAATTATATAGCCCTCACTTATCCTGATGCTGTATGAGCAGGAAGCCGGTGTCGGGCAGCGCGGCGGGGTCGGCGGACAGCGCCAGCAGGTCCACCTCGCACTCGTCCTCCGCCCAGCACGCGCCGCCCTTCAGCAGCAGCGACACGTCCATCTCTTGTACTTCCCGCGCCGTCGCCACTGCTAGCAGACCTCCGCCCACCTTCGTTAAACAAACGATATCATCACTGTTACATACATAACAACATACATTTTATCTAATAAGCAATGCAATGCAATTAAACTGCTAATATATAGTGAAAGTTTGTATGTATGTGTATATTCTTTTCTTCCTTTATTTTTTTTAGAGACTACGACGTGGAGTAACAATAAGCTGCTGTTTGGCACGAAGCACGTCCTGAATAAATGTCTCGCTACTCTTGAATAAATGTAAAACTTGCTAAAATAATTTTTATGTCTTTTAGTAATTATTACGATAATTCTACTTAGATATTATATATTTTAAATCCTTGTTTGAGATAATTAATTTACGAACCGGTTATGTAAAAACCAATTGAAGTTAATCTATCCAATACATTTATTACCATTTACTCATTAATATACAAAAACTCAGGATACACAATTAGCATCTCAAAAGTGTCCTCAAAAAAAAGCGCATACTTCGAATTTGTGTGCTTTTTTCAAATCTCTTTTGTTCATTGCCTTTCGGATGACAAAAATAAAACTTACTATATACTTTATGTGGTGTGAATAAGCTCGTATGTGTTTAGACATCTGTCTACTTTCGATTTTTGAATTTTCTTTTACATGACATGTCGACTCCACTTTTTGAAGAGATATATGTTAAGAAATAAATGTGCATGTATGGTTTTATATATCAATACACATACTCTATTAAGACAGAAAGCAGCAATGGAGTCCTGCTCCTTGTGAATGATGCGGACGGGGCTGTGCAGGTCGTCGTCGGGCCCGCGCGGCGCGCCCGCCCGCTCCGCGCGCTCCGACACCGACTGCGTGCGGCGCCGGGAGAACACTGCTCGGATGAACACTTCCTGACAATTGACAAAATGTATCATGTTTGAATATGTCGCCTAAACTTGAATGAGTTTGAAAGAGAATTATAATTTTCTAGCGACTCACCCTCGCTTCGCTCGGGTTCGTCTCTAGCTTGCTTCCCAATACAAACTTTCAACCCCATTTTCACCCCGTTAAGGAATGATTTCCGGGATAAAAAGTATCCTAAGTCCTTCCCAGGGTCTCAAACTATCTTCTTATTAAATTTAATCTAAATCGGTTCAGTAGATCCAGAGATTACTCCCTACAAGGTCACAAACTCACAAACTATCTCTTTATAATATCAGTATAGAGTAGTATAGATAACAGTTATATTAGAGAATATTTTTTTTGATAATATAAAAATTAAAAATATAAATTTTATTAGACAAAATACACACTTGGAGTTACAAAATAAAACAGAAGTTTGAAATCATTATTTTTTTATAAAAAATATTTATCATGTACCTGTACTTGTTCTTGTCGTACTAAGAAATTCCATAGGCGTCGAGCGGGCGCTGCACTGTATAGCGCTGAATTAAACGGTGTATTGTGCTTTTCCAGGAGACATCTGTAAAATATTATACATTTTCATTTTTAATACACACACATTTAAGTTTTAGTTTCAATTAATTTTATATTAAAGTTAAAATTATTTACTTAATATCGTTTTACCACAACCCTAAACCATCAACCTTAAAGCCGTTCCCCAATTGTCATATAGTAAGTACGTATAGAAGTCAATAGCACCTCACTTGCGCTGCACCTCGCACGCGGCATTATCGTCCTGTTTAGATACTTCATAAGACTGTATGGATTAGTAGACTGTGGTTTTACTTAGTTTATGTTTACCTATATTTATTAATAGGCGGTCCAGCCGTCTGTTGATCGGGGAAACAGCCGGGGATGTAGTCTGGTGGGGAAGACCTGGACTCCAATGTCTCAGTGAGCTGCTGCTGCCACTGCTCCACGCGCCGCAACGCGCCGTGTACTGTGGGGCTTGTTGTTGCCAGTTCTAAATATACATGAAAAATTAGTACTGTTTAATAAATGACAGACATACTACGCGTGTGAAGGCGCAGACAAAAAATATCTCGCAGAGTAACCACCATATACGGAAATCTAACAGCGTACTATTAAACTGTGGTTTATTTTTATTATATACGTACCTACATTTATAAAATAAACACTATTTTGCAGCTTCGATGTAAATCGGACTACTTCTTTACAAGCAAGTTTGTATAAGTGACTGGACGGATTTGGAAGAAATTTGGTACACAGATAGACTGTGACCTGTAGTCACACATAGGCTATTAGGCATTAGGCAGTCATAAGTCGCATGAAATTATCGGTGAGGGAAAACATCGTGAGGAAACCTGCACGTCTGAGAGAACCTAGCAAGTTTTCAAAAGACATGATCAGTCCACCTACCCGCACTTGGCCAGCGTGGTGGACTATGGCCTGATCCCCCTCGTATTGAAGGGAGGCCCGTGCCCAACAGTGGGACGTTAAAAAGAGCTGACTACAAGTCGCATGAGCAGAACGTACCAGACATCTCGATGCCGCACAGCTGCAGGAAGTGCTGCAGCTTGTGCTGCGCGAGGCGCAGCACGGCCACGCGCATCACGTACCACGAGTACGAGTCCGCCTCGCAGTGCTCCGTGTTCGAATGCTTGTGACGCTTCTCCGTTCTGTGATAGTGGAAGATTTGCTTTGGTTATACTTGAACGTATGGTTAAAGATACACGAATGTATTAAGAATGAAGAACAAGAACGGTTATGATCACTATTTTATTTGGAGTCCTGCGTGTCAATTTTCAGACAAACTCTGAACGGACTAGGCTAGCGTTGCTGAGTGACGGGACGGTAACAGTTTAGTACACTTATCGATAGCGATAAACAAGAACAGAAATTCCGTATATAATGTAGAGAAAAAAAAACGTGTGTGTGTACTTATGTACGAACGTAAGAAGTTATACTTCTTTTGCGTAACAGAACAAAAATAGCTAAAGATTTCATCCCGTATGTCACAACTCTCTGTGAACTACCTTCATCATGTCGCTTTTTGGCTGTCGGTGTGCGCGCGCATCATAAAAATTTTACTCTCATATTTTTATCCAAACGTGCCAAAAGAAGTACATATAACTTCTAAAATCCATAATGTGTAACAAAATAAATGAGATGTTAACTCTAAAAGATCGTGCTTGTATAATGTAATGTAAACAGCAGTGGGACATAAAAAAAATTAAGGACGGAATGAGATAACAAATAGTTATAACGAACATACTTTGTTATAGATGTATCAAAGATATCATCATCCTCTGGTTCACTTCCACTTTCTTCAGCGTCGTCAGCGCCCGATTCCGCAGAATCGTAGTCATTGTTCTCCGGATCTTGTTCAGAAGTTGGCTGCAGATTAATTATATGAAAAATTAAACATAAATACAAGTCACATATTATAATATTTATTTATAAGACTATTATTATAAATGCGAAAGTTTGTATGTGTGTGTATGTTTATTGTTTGTTACTCCTTCACGCTGAAACCGCTGGACAGCAAGGCTCGGAACTGGTTTTATAAATACCGGTCAATAACGGTTTCGCGTAAAGGTTTCATTGAGAACAAAACCCATAATAATTTCGTTTGTACATATATAGATTATAACCTGGAGTAACACATACTATAGCTGTTAGGCACTCCAGCGAGAGTAACACTAACTATAAAATTATAAACACTAAAAAGTAATCCGTAAAAATGACCTTTGTAAGTAAGAATGTGAGAATACTGCATAGCGGCGGTACAAATTGTTCTCTATACGTAGGTCTTCCCTCTTGTATGTTCTTGTGCGGCGCGGCGGGCCCGAGCCCCAGCAGGCGCATGTGCAGCAGCGCCCGCTTCTCGCGCAGCGACGACCACACCGACGTGCCTTCACTACGCTCCACTAGTTTAGGCTGCGAATTCAAATACATATTTTAAGAATAAATATTTGTGTAATTACATATGTTTAAAATATGGCATATCTTAAGTTTTTTTTAATTTTATAATAAATTATACTTTACACACAAAAATTGAGTTAAAAATAGGCTATAATAAATTTAAATATTGTACAGCGAATTTTTATTCATTTGTAATCCCTAAATTATAATAATATTCCAAAGCTGCACAGGCGCAATTGTAGGCAGGCTTTTCATAGATCAACAAGACCATGAGCTAAGTTTTATTCATGGCGTATATATTTTAAGTTTTATTCATATCAACATAAATCTTTATATAATCTTTTCCATGTTAATAATATTTGCGACTGAAAAAACTTAAAAGCATATTCCGACTGGCTCACATTGCACAGCAGACAAACAACAAGAGTGAGAGCACACCTGTGGCGGCGCAGGCGCCGTGGTGAGCAGGCGCCGCACGCCGCCGCCGAACAGCTTGGCGTGGGCCCTGGCGTCGGCGGCGTGCGCGGCGAGGCGGTACAGCAGGTGCGCGTCGCGCGCCGCCAGCGCCCAGCCCAGCAGCGCCAGGTACACGGCGCAGAACGCCTCCACCAGCAGCACCGGCAGGCGCGGCGCGTCCTCCTCTTCCGCGGCACGGAGTGCTAGTGCTCGGAGGGCTGACACTCCTGGGATATATTGTCGATTTCATATACATGATATTAACTACTTATTACACATATTTCAGTTGATAATACACGTTTAGCCTATAATAAAGTAATACAATGCTCGCCTATAATGTTTCTTGTTATCTAATATAAAAATAATCATTCACGTGCCTGCACATATTTATTTCACTTTATAATATATACGTATATTGTAACATCTTGGACCGACTTTCAATAAATATAGATAAGAAAACTCCCGACTAATTCACTTTTCAAACGAAGAAATCAAATTTAAAATCGGTTCATCCGTTCGGGAGCTACGATGCCACACACAGGCACACACTACTTACGTCGGGGGTTAAAAACAGATTATTGTATTATATAACCTCAACTCGAAATACACTTTATTAGTATTGTAAATTAACTTTATAAAAAAAAGCAGTGTAGCGATTCCACGAGGTATTACCAGGAAAGCAGTTCGGCTGCACAAATCAACTAGCTCTTTGAAAATTTTAACTTACATTAGTAATTAATCCATATATATCAATACATTTTACGTATCCTAAGAAAACTCGAATAATATAGTTATTTTTATAGTTAAAATAGATTTACCTGGCCATTTATTCGGTAAGGTGGTGACGGTCAACTCCTCATTAGAATATCTTCTAGGCCTTATTAATAAATTGTTTGTACCAGGAGTTTCAGCAATCATACTATAATAAAAAAAAAATTATAACATTATGAATAAAAAATATATATAAGAATTGTTACTGTAGCTAATGTTTTAAATATATTATACTAGTGCTTCTGCGCGGCATCGCTCGTTCAATTATATACTATATCTTTCTTAATTATGGGTTGTGTTATTCTGATGCTAGCTTATATTAAAAATCCATCATCGAAATCGGTTCAGTAGTTTTTGCATGAAAAACTAATAAACATAAATACTAAAATTTGTGATACATCATCACAAATTTTAGTATTTACAATATAGTGTATATACATATACTATGATATAACTTACCAGTCATGGTGAGCCGCATGCTTCAAACTGAATGTGTCAGAGTCACACAAACTCTGATAAATACAAGCTGACAGCGCTACTGCCAGTTCTCTTAGAGTATGCAATATCCGCGTCGCCGAACCACCGGGTACACCCAGTTCGCCAATCGTTCCAAGCATATCGTGGGCTACCGCCTAAAAAATATCACAAATCAACAATCTCCTTGTGTATTACAATATTTGTATTAATGTTATATGTAACTTTGCTGAATAATTAATTCATGATTCGAACGGCGTGAGTTGCGCGTACACATTAATTTTTGGATCGTAATATTGACAACTATGGACATTGTTATTTGTTACAGCGTAATTGGTATACAGCGTACAGAGCGGTATAGTACTGTAAAAAATATACTCACATAATAAATAAGGTGGGAAATGGGCAGGGAGAAGAAGAAGAAGAAGATCATAAATAAGGTGGCTTAAATAAATATCTTTTTGTAAAAACCATTATAATGCAAATTGCTCAATATTACAACAATAAAATTGTTCATCTATTAAAATACGTATTTAAAAATAAAACAAATTCCCAATAAACCTCATTTTAATCAGTATCTCTCTACAGATATCAAACGTACATACCTGCAAATGTCTAACAGGATCAGCCACTACAGTATTATTAGTGGCCACAGCCGCGGCGAGTAAAGGCAACGTGGTAGGGAAAGGCAGCGGGGACAGCAACTGTTGGTGCTGCTTGTCCTGCCCCAGTTCCTGCAGCAGCAGGACGAGCTCCATCCGCACGGACGCCAGGCCGCCGCCGCCCGCGCCGTGCAGCGAGCAGTACGACAGCAATGTGCGGAGAAGAGTTTCGTTGGCTGGAATTCAGTCATTCAATTAATAAATCACAGTTATAAGTTTAGAGTATTCTATACCACTATTTAATTCAGCAGCAATGTGGTTTGTAAAAAACAATTTAGAAATATATATTTATAATATGGAATTAAACATAAAACACACTTTTTTTTTTCCGCAAAGAAATTATGACATACAAACATTTAAAAAAATCATACAAACCTTTCAACCACTTCTTTCTTCGGACCGCTCTCTGAACTTTAGCCTCGAAATCTGCTTTTTCTCGTATCAATAGTTGGTGTAATGTAGGTTTATCAGGTAAAGGAGTTGGTTCCCCGTCGGCACAGATGAGTTCCCCTCCAGAAGCAGAGCCGGCCGCGGACACGTAGCCACACAAACGACGTAATGCTTCGACTTCACGTTCCAGCCAGATGTACAGTTGATAACGAAGATGGCCACCTAACAATATTTTTTTAATTAGCAAATATATGTATATAAATCGTATCTATTCTTATTTTGCGAAATTTATATAAATGTAATTTTATTGTAAGCTGCTTTCTTATCGCGCTTCCACCAGTAGATTACGATGACAAAAATGAACTACATATATATATTGCTAATCATTTATCAGCAGAGGCGTAGAGAATGTTAAAATTAGGTCTGACATTTCGAAGACTAGCAACAAAATTAGAATATCTATTAAAAGGTGAAACGTGTTTTTTTAAGAAAAACTTACCATCGACTTCAAAACCGGTAGCCAGCGTACTGAGCTCCTCCATCAATATCTTGAGACACGCTACGAACTTCAATTGTTGCGCCATTATGTCTACTGTAGGAGCCTCTTCTTTCTCGCTTTCTACAGTTTCATTAACTGTTTCTTCGGGCTTACCCATTTTCATTTCTAATGGCGGCGTGGATGCTCCTGATCCCTCTGACCTTTACAAAGAAAACGAAGATAATTTTGTTATTAAATTGCTACTGTGATTGTATTCTGAGCATTCATAACTTGCATTTTTTTCTTGCAATTAAATCGGAAAAAAAAGATTTAAAAATTCTTCATATATTAAACTTCACAAAACAAAACTCAAAGCAGATAATAACTTAACAGCCATTAGTTTTTTAATTTACATTTCAACTGAAGATTTCTTTTTATCTTGTAAAAGGATCTATGGTGCTACAATTATAATGTATGTAATATCTTACTTTTCTTCTTCGTCGTCCCAGCTGAGAACAAGCTCGTCTGTTTTAGTGGTAGTGACCGGCGCACCCCAGTCTACTTCCGGAGTTGCTCCCCAATCCACGTTCACAGTCTCTTCTTCTTCTATTAAATAAAATTAATTTACTCATATAGATATAAAGATATAATCTCAAACTTATCTATACCAATAAACGATACAAGACACTGCATAGCTTGTCAGAATTTAAATAAACTATTAAAAATACTGCCTTAGGAATAATCCTATATTGAAGCTAAAACCTAAAAATATTTTTTTTCAATGATAATGAATTAGACAAAGTGAAACTAAACAAAAGTAATGAAACTTAAACAAATAAAAATATCTAAAAGTTGTACCAACTAAGGATTATGACGATTTGTTTAGACTATATAATCGCGTTCGTCATATCTCGCACTCGAGCTTTGCTGGTCCCTCTAATTTAAATATCTATCCCCATATATCATATCACATAACACGAATATCTATACTAATATTATAAATGTGAAAGTTTGTGAGTAATTTCGCTAAGCCATTCAGTGATATTGTGAATCAATGAGATTTTGACAGTTTTGATAATTTAACGGTTTCCTGCGACATATATACTCGTATCTGTATAAATATTAAAAATGTGAAAGTTTGTGAGTATGCATGTTTGTTACTCTTTCACGCTAGAACGGCTAAGCGGATCTTGATGAAAGCCACAGAGATAGGTTATGGTCTGGAATAACACGTAAGCTACTTTTTATCCCGGAAAAATGTACGGTTCTCGAGGGATATATGTACTTATTTTTGTTTTTGAAGAAACGAAACCGAGCGAAGCCAGGATGAGCCGCTAGTTATTTATAATTTGAATTTTGGTTCCTAAGATAATAATCACGCGCGCCTGTCACACAGAAACAACAAAACAAACCAATAAAACAATAATGAACGGGACATACGTTTGACAATATTGTCAGTGAGCTGCCCCGTGTGTATGACGGCGTCGTCGCGCGCGGGCGCGGGCGCGGGCGCGCGCGGGCGCTCGTCGCGCACGCGCGCCGGCAGCTTGGACAGCACCTCCAGCGCCAAGGCCGGGCAGCCCGCCTTGAAGTGCCCGTGGGCTGTTTGGAAGTACAGCCGCCGCTCTAGTCGGGTTATGCCCTCGTCTGCTTCTTGTTGGAGTAGAGCTAGAGTGCCGCCCTGTAGTATAAAATGATCAATATACATTTATTTATTTTTGTCTTAAGTTTCTTTTCTAAAATATAATAGATAATATAACGTATATTTTTTATTAATTACGTCGTTATATAAGTTTCGTCAATTCAATATCACTATTTGCCTTAAACTAAATGAATTAATTAAGAATTGAAAATAGACAGATAAAATGCGATAATTCTCTAATACGATTCGTGCTAGTAACCATTATATAATACGAAATTAAGCGCACATTTTTATCAATTACTATTTTAAATATTATATACATACATACATACATACATAGATACATACAAAGTAATGATCTTTGACTATAAAAAATACTAACCTGACTAGGCATATTATTTCGCTTCAGTCTCGGATGTGTCCTCAGATACACATAAAAGTTAAACACACTAGGAACAGGCTCGTTGTTATCCCGCGCAGCGTGCAACCTTCCTGCGGGACTCAGTAACGTATCTAAGGCGTCGCCATATTGCTTTAGTTCCCATAAAGCCATGGATCGGACAAATGGGTCTGGGTGTGCATGTTCTAAATCCATTTCTCCATTTTCTGTTTCACCACTGAAAATTATTTACAATGTAATTAATTTGAGTGAAGAATTTTACGTCGAATTACTATTTTAGTGGGAGACAACCGACTTCGGCTGGCAGTGTAGCATGCGGGTTGGTCCAGGTATTTCTCTGAACCTCCTCCTGTATGCATGTGCAAACGCATTTTCCAATATCAAGGTAACACAGGTTATTACTAGGTACTATTAGGCATCTAGTGAAAAACCTTCTCAAACCCGAGTGGAGCAAGTTCAAGTCACTATGAAATTATAAAACAGTAGTAAATTGTAATTATTTAATACCAACGATATCTGCATCTCTTTACTAATGATCTCTTTATAGTTTTTTTTTATATAATGAAAAATCGTGAAATTGTTGATACATATTTATATAAAAAGTCGTCTCACTTACCCAAGTATTTCATCCATGAGTAATTTCTTCAGACTACTCGGTAAGGCACTATCTGTTTCATACAAACGAGCCACAACCATTGCTAATTGCAAGTCTCCCAATCGCGTTATAAGAACCTAAAACAGTATTTTATATAAGATTACACATAAAATGTTCCATTAAATATATAATTAATTATTTTTTATGTTTATTATAATTTTTTAGTCATCATCATTCACTGCTGGACATGTGCCTCATATGGCACACCTCAATCTTCAGCTTTTTTCTACCTTTATTTCTTTTTTACACCAGACAGCTCGACAAAATAATGAAAATATAACAAATAATATAACTGAAAATATTGAAAATAAATAGGGGATATTCATTTACAGATGTAATAAACCACTAAGAAAGGCTCCTTGGTCCCAAAGTAGCCCTGGATATTAAATACATATGTTATTTAGTTTTAATTTTTTACTATATAAGTTACCTCCAGTGCGTCTTTCAAGGCTCCACCGAGTAAAAAGAAAGCAGCTGCGTGCTCAAATCTTTGTTTCCCAAGGAGAACGAAAGCATTTTTCAATGCTGCTTTGCGCCATCTGTCTTCACTAAAGTCATTTGCAAAGAACTGAAATAAAAAATTTCATAAGGAAGGAAGAAAAAATGTATGACTTTTTAGAAAATATGTATAATAATTCAAATGGAATTTAATTATAATACAATTTACCATATTAAAATATGGTGAATTAAACTTTAGTAAACTTTCTTCTTATCTTATCTATCGAATTTAGTGTTTAGATAAAAGCTCCCTTTTTTTGAAAACAATACATTTCAATATTATAGTTGATACATAAAACATTTAAATCTGAATTAAAAGTTAACCAACTTAAAAAAATGTATAAATAATACCGAAGTCATTTTATCGTCTCGGTTAGATCTGAACAACCCCCACAATAAGGTCTTCTTCCTCATAGCGAGATAGAACAAGGCCGCGTCCATGGGGTCTTGCTTCGCCATGTAGGAGGCACGCGCGAGACGCTCAATGCATATGCGTAGAAGATCGCCGCGGACCCACCATCCAACACCTTATATGGAAATAGAAAAATATTTTTAATGATACTGTCCTTGAGCAACTTTTTGCTATTTATAAATTTTGTACAGAAACAATTTCATTTAAAAATATTAAAGTATTAGCGACTAATCCTCGCTTCGCTCGGATGAGTCTCTGAAATAAATGTACCTTAAATTACTTCTTATAACATCAGCTATCTGCCAGTAAAAGTCCCGTCAAAATCAGTGCAGCCGTTTCGGACATTAGCCGGAACAGACAGACAAAAATTTTAAAAGTTGTGTTTTTTCTTATAACTTCTTATGCATTTATTATTAATCTGTTATTTTGACATTAGAACAGACACTTCAATTTTATTTATCTGTATGGATATAGATTTCCCTAAGAAAATAGTACAAAATAAAAAATCTTATGTAAAGTGTAAAAAAATTGTAAAAAAGTAAAAAGTAAATAAGTTTTTTTTTAACAATATGCATACTTACTACTTAAACTCGATACCTTGTGTATTGATCAAAGTCATATTCTATCTATTATTAGTTAGTTATTTAATAAAACAGCTGATATAGCCATAATTTCTCACCTAATTCCCTCATCGTCGTCCACTTGGGCTGTCCCTTCGCGTACCCGGGTATAAGGGCTAGCAATTGTTCATGAGACTCCGAATGGAACGCCCATACAAGGTTACAAGTCCCTACGCCAATCCTTTGCAACGTGGCTCGTTGAGCGAGCGGCAGGCATCGAAGTAGGTATCCGTAGTGCTTCATCGCTAGCAGGAATCTTAAACCGCAATCGTCTAGCGAATCTGTGAAAAAAATATGATATTTATCAAAATTATGGCAAATATTTAAATTATATAATATTATTGTTTGTTTTAACAACAATATATCTCTGGTTCTCTAAGTGACAAAAGTTAACAAGATTTAATATGGATATTAGAAAAGCAAAACTGACTTCTCCAAGTAGTGAACATAACATAATAATTCTCCAAGTAGTGAATGTAACCTTTTCAAATATTAGAAGTAACAATGTTATGTTACTAAACTGTACGCAGAACAAAATTGTGTTAAAATAAATTTAAATGTAGTTAAATTGTGCAATTTTTTGTATTTGAGAGGATTGTTTTTAGAATTTGCACGTAACTCTATGTAATTTTGATAGGTCAAGTAAGATAGTCATTTTATATGATTCTACACAAAGCGGTCACATATAATACTAACAGAGTAATAAATAAATGAAAATTTCCAGTAGACGTGAATGGGGACATCTAAAAAAAAGATAATAATCTTCATCACTAATGAATAACTTATTTTCCTAGCTGAAAATAGAATTCACTTTGTATTACAAGACAACATTATTCGTAAAAAGAATACCGTTATAACGCAACAAAACTAACCCGGCATAACTTCCTGTCCGGTGCCCTGCGCGACGTCCACCCTCGCGTTGTTAGCGATCCTCTCCGCGAAGTCTGCGTCGCAAGTGGACACGGTGTCGGCGAGCGCCAGCAGGTGCATCTGGTCCAGCGAGCTGAGGCCGGGCAGGTGCGTGTGTGTTAGCATCCTGGACAGGATACGACCTAGGGACAGGTTGTTATTGAACGTTCATTGGAAACTGTGCTTTTCTTTCTCTCTCTCTCTCTTACACACACTTATATGTTTATTTATACTAATATTATATACAGATAAAGTTTGTGAGTTTGTGAATTTGTGTTTGTGACGTTGTAGGGAGTTATCTCTGGATCTACTGAACCGATTTAGATGCAGTTTGGTAAAAAGATATTTTGAGAACCTGGGAAGGACATACGATACTTTTTATCCCGGAAATGATCTCTTAAGGGGGTGAAAATGGGTAAAGTTTGTATGGGGAATCAAGCTAGGAACGAACACGAGCGAAGCGAGGGTGAGTTGCTAGTGTATATATAAAGCAATAAATGTTTGTTTATAAGTATTCTTTATTATCACGTTACAGACTTTCAGTCGTTACGAATTTGTATGTATATAATGAAAATGGACTTCTATGTCTTAACACATACCTAATATTCTCTCGCTTATATGAATTTCTTTTTTTTAACAAAATATTCAATTTTATCATGATATTACCTTGCCTAGGTCCAAAGTGTGACAGAGGTTGCCTCTCGGGCATAGACGGCCGGCGATCAATACCTTCTTCTTCACCTAATAAAAGAGCATCAAGGTCGTCTTCTACTTCCATTGTTCCTTCAAACAGATCATTGTAGTCCTAAAATAAAAACAAAAAAAACTATACGTAATAATCGTGTCAAAATAAATGTATTATGTCCATTAAAAATCATTATGATTAATAAAAAATATTTAAATAGTTTAAACAATACAAATTACCTTTGCTTCTTGTAAAGTGGACGGATGATGTGCAGATTCCTTATCCGCTACCAATAATGTCCAAAGAGGTAATGGCGGGACCGACGTTAGCTCTGCATAGTCCAATTGGACATCCTCCGATATCTATACATTTATTACTACTTTTACAAAATCAGTCTTGAGATAACTTAGACATCTATGTAAGTTATAAAAAATGCGATGTGTATCACCAAAATGCTAAAAAATTTAAAATCGGGTGCAAATTGTGAATTTAAATTATTTGAAATAAAAAGTAAATTAATTCTTAAAACCAATAAAGTTTTGTATTGAACTACGTGTATGGTATTAGGATGAAAATAATAATACCTTTGTTTATTCTTAGTTTAACAAAAAAAAAAAACGTACACATAGTGAAAGCGTATATAAAGCGGATACCTGTGCTACGCCGTCTAGTGGCGATGCGGCGCCGGCGGCGAACGATACGGACAGCGTGCGCGAGCGCGACCACCCGCGCTGCAACACACGCACGTACATGCTGCGCTCTCGCGATACTAGAGATGCTTCGCTTTACATTTATACAACGTAGCGGGTACTTGACAACAACAACACAACATCGACACATCTTCACGCTTACACTTTCATATATACAGAATATAATATTAATTAAAATAATATTATGTAAAGGACTGTTAATTCTGATATATCTAATTTGTTATTTCTAATATATATTTTTTTAAACACATCATCAAGTACCCAGTTGTAATTTATTTAGAACTATTTGTGTGTACGCTATACCGGTGACGGATATCAAACGTCTTTGGTTTCATATCACAGTGTAAGCTACATATATGTGAAAATTTAATTTCTAGAAAAATCAAGGTGTAGATGAAGAAGCTTGTGTTTTGGAGTTATTACTCCCTTATGCATATAGTACTGCCAGTTGCAAGATAACATTTATTAAATTCTGAAGAACTTTACTATTATATAAGATTTTGAAATCAGAATTTTGACAATTCGTTTTATGATATTTTTTTTCCTGTATGACAGTTAACCAATTAATCTCTGACATGCACACACTGAAAATGAGTACCATCCTATTATCAATGGAAGGAAGCCAGACAGACATTCATTATAACATATGATTTTAAATGTTGGTAGAATATATTGATTCTATCTCACTACAGTCCAGCACCAATGTAAACTACTTATACTTCATTCTTATAATTTCAGACATAAAGATCTATAGGGAATAAGTAATTTATAATTACAAGATTCCATGAAATTGAGATATAATTTCAATGAAATTAGTGTAGAAATGCAATTAAGCAAATGTACACAGTTTGCTAATGCAATGACAATATAATCAATGTTTAATACCTGTCTGGATAAACTATCTTCATCACCTTGTGAGCTGCGGCTCGTGTAACTTCCACCTATACACCTAATGACAATAAATTATTGAAAAAATATGTTTACCTAACAATTAGTTATAGTTAGGAGTTTTGCATATACAGAGGAACGAACAAGCTAATTTGTTACAAAAAAACTTAAATACCTGACTAAATGGGCTAAAATAGCTTTGACCCATCTAATTTTGCCGCTATTGAGAAGTTCCATTAGCTGTTTAGGATGGTACTGCGGCAACACTGGACAGGCCATCTGTGACGCTTCAAATAAACCGTAATCAGGCATGTAGTCTAAAAGAGGCTGTAAGAAATAGGAAAAATAAAACCTTTAAATTAATTGAATATATAAATAGAATAATGGCGAAAAATGTTGTAAATTACCGTATTAGAATTGATTTAAATATAAAGTTTTTAAAAATAAATTTGATTTTACTGTGCCATGAAGTGACGTGACTAGATCAAGATATCGATTTCTTTTCCTTATTATTATGGTTCATATTGGCAACTACATTACAGTGGATTTGCCGATAATTTTACTTTCTTATTTTATCATAACTGTCATGCACTTGTATTCAGCCCTTTTTAACGTCCCACTGCTGGGCACGGGCCTCCCTTCGATACGAGGGGGATCAGGCCATAGTCCACCACGCTGGCCAAGTGCGGGTTGGCGGACTTCACATGTCTTTCGAAAACTTGCTAAGTTCTCTCAGAAATGCAGGTTTCCTCACGATGTTTTCCTTCACCGTAAGGCAAGTGGTAATCATGTTAGAAGTGATTCGCACATGAAAATATCAGAGGTGCGAGACCCGGGTTTGAACCCGCTTCACTCGGTTTCCCAAGCGAGAGCGTTACCACTGGGCTACCACTGCCTCTCATGCACTTAATAACTTAAAATTATTATTAGTGTAAGTAAATTGTACATATATCTTAACGTTTAACAATAATATTAAAATCTATGATTTGCGGGAACAACTTACTTGTGGTTGGTCTGGTTGCGTTTTGTTTCTTCTTCTAGCGTCACGTTCTAACAATTGCAGATTGATGGAGGATACGCGCTGTAGATGCGGCGCAGACACTCGCAAATCTGAGTCACGAAGTGCTCGCGATTCACTGCATTCTTCTTGTTCCTACAGACAACATTAATATTTAAAATTATTATAAGAATATTTAACATAAACAAAACTATATTTTCGGAATTTGTATCGGTTTTATTTTGATATTTTGTTCCATTTAATTTTGTTTCAATTGCAATTATTCCGAATTAACAACTTAAATTATTCAATTACCATTACTTACATAATATAAACATTTTTTCTTTCAAATCAATTTTCAACCTTTACCTGAATAGCGGCGTATCCAGATGTTATCTGTGGAGTCTCAGGTTTCCATTGCGAATAGACGTGCATTTCGGAATCCATCCCTACAACCAATATGCCGTCTCTAACCCACGATATTTGCATGGGCAACGGCGGCAAGCCGTCTGCTGTCTTCAACTGAATCCTTCGAAGTTGCATCCATCGTATTTCCTCTACAAATAACGGCGCAGCAAGTGACGAAGCCTTTCGGAGTATTGGACGATTGTTGTTTATTGATTCTTTCATTGCCTAAGTAAATAAAAACATATTACATTAATTTTCTTAAATCTAAATTTGGTAAAATATGGATAACATTTAAGATTATTTCCTTTCTTTAATTTTTTTTATTTAATGTGTTCATTTACACAAATACGATTTTGCTACTTGTACATATATTTTAATCATGTACAACATATAACATTTTTAAGTTACCTTTAAGTTAGCCTGGGCCAGATCACTAGACACGGGTGTGAAAAGCAGCACTCTCGACCCAACAGCAACCGTAAGTATATGAGATCCATCTTCCTTAGACACCCAATCTAATTGCACTAAATGTTTTTGCGTTAACGGACACGTGTTGCCGTTCTCCATAATGCTTCTGCGCAACGACTGGAGAGTACTGAACGACGGCACTGCTAGAAGACCCGCTGACTTGCCCGTGTCGCCTTCACCGTTTCTGTTGTTACGGCTCTCGTCCGATGAAAGCGTTTGTAGGACCTAATAATGTAAGTAAGACCCAATAAGTATCAGTTTTTTTTGTATCCCATATGAGAAATATACAGTCTTATTAGAATACAATATGTAAATTATGATTTTCGTTTATATACATATTTCTATTTTAAATCTAATAATATGCTAGAAGATGATTATAAAAGCTTCAATTTAAACCAAACTATATAAATAATTAAAAAATGAAATGCTATTAATTGGTCAGCGTATTACTTGCGGCTTATCAATTGCGAATATGTTCAATTTTTTTTCTTTTAAATGTTGATAATAGTCTGAACAATAGCATTCCTAAGGAGGGTTGCCGTCAGGCAGGCGGCCGGTCGTAAAACTTGCCAAATCCTATAGTACAGAAGATGTACTGCGCCGATCCCAAGTAATTGAGAAATGGGCAGGGAGATGATGATGAGTTTGAATAAAATTTGTTTGTTGACCGAAAGTTGTCAAAAACATGTTGTTTTTTTTCTACACAACACAGTATAAACATAAAATTAAAAAAAAAAGTATTAAAATTATGACAAAACAATGTTTCGGATCAGCTCATCGATCTGTATCTAAGAAAGACTGTGACATCGTCACCTGAGTGAGCCGCTGCTTCTTCTGCATGAAGGACGTGTCGTGCAGATAGGAGAGGTCTATCTGCGTGTCGGCGCCGAGGCCGACGCGCGGCAGGCTGACGTTGCGCAGCGGGATGGTGTCCTCCAGCAGCCACTCGGCGCCGCCCGTGCTCTCGCACTCGTACACGCACACGCACAGGTTGACGAAGCGCGCGTCGCCCGCCGTGGCCTTGGGCCGCGTGAACGACCGCCCGCACTTGTACGCGCACGCGATGCGCCCCGAGTACGCCGCGCTTATGTGCAGCGGTTGACCTGGTAAGTATATTGCATACATTTTGTTTTATAGAGTGAACTGTATACGGATATAAATGGATATGGATATAAATCAAACCTAATTACATGTTTAATTTGAAAATTATAGTGAATTACGTTTAAACAAATTACATCCTTAATGTATGAAATTAAAAAAAAATCGATGATGCCATCATAAGGTTATAAATTACTTATATTATTATTATCCAAAATTTATTGAAAATATGTTCATTACCTGGAATGTCTATAGTAGATTCTTGATCTTTATTCATCATTTCCCATTCTTTCCACGCATACTCGAATTCATCATTGTCTTTTTTAGTTACATTGCACTTCCAAAACCTACAAAAAAAAATATTTTTATTATACAAGATCACCAACAATATCTTCATAATATAAAAGATGATAATATATTACCTTAAAGTACTATCGGAACAAGCTGTGGCTAATATGTAAGGCGCTAAACAGGCCGGGTATATGGATGCGGAACTGAGATGGCCCGCGGCAGGAGTCGCGTGTATGACGTCGACGCCGTCCGGTAAAGATAGGGGGCATTCACACACCTGGATACATAAAACAACTCGATATTTATTTATATACCAGCAGAACCCGCGGCTACGCTCGCGCCAAAACTACAGAAAAACTCTAAAAGAGTAGGTTTCGTACAAAATTTCATCCGCTATTTTATCCCTTTAAGAGATGATTTTCGAAAAATGCAAAAAAATATATATATTTAATTGTATTGAAGAGTATTAATACCAAGTTTCACGTAAATTTAATCATAAATAATTTATGGGTTGTATCATAATGTGATTTCCCGTGGGAATGAGATTATCTCACGCGGTAAAAAAGTCTAGTAGCCTATGTCACTCTCCAGCCCTTCAACTATCTCCACACGAAAAATCACGTCATTCCGTCACTCCGTTTCAACATTAAAGAAAGACAAACAAATACACTTTCACATTTATTATATTAGTATAGATTTGATAATATAAATGTCTACCTATAAGATCAGAATACATTTCCATAGTTCAAAAGTTTTTTTCTTACTAATAATTATATACTGGCAATATTATAAGTGGTAATATTAAGCAATAATAATCAAAATAATCATGGTTTAAAAACATGTTTTGGAGTCGTCTATATGAAAAGAGCGTAAACTCGTAAGTTAAACTATGTAGAAAGGATTGAAGAATTTCATTAGCCCTGGCTCCAAACAAATCGATAATACGAAATTGTTGTATCAACTGTTTGTTATACGTTTCCACATACAACAAACCGCTTCCATAGTAAAATTATATTATTAATTTAAATATAATAAATATCTTAAAGCACCTTTTTAGTTGAAATGGATAAATGTGAGTGTGCAGTCGGGGCGGCGGGCCGGTCCGCGTCCATCGAGACGGAATTCTTTCGAGATTCACCTTCTTCTTCTTGCACTAAGGCACTGTCTGGCACATACATCATACTGTTTGTTAGATCATCTGAAAAGGATTTATTATATTCATCTTAAAAAGCTGTAACTTGTATTGAGTAATATTAAAAGTTTAAATATAATAAAATCTTAATATTACAATATCAAACATAAATGTAATAACATACCCGAGGGATCTGCTTGAGAAGATACTGTGAGCCTCCACATATGAACAGTAGAACCACCATCTGTTCTCTCCAAAACAACGATATAAAATGGTTCATTGAAGACAGCCGCTTTCCGTAAATCAACTATTGCTTCTAAGCCGGCCTCAGTTATGGTATTCACGTCTGAACCATCCACACCCGAGTCAGAACTTTCCGTATCACTTGACGTTCTTTCACCTAAATGAAATTCAGAGCACCACTTTTAATATCATAAATGTTAAAGTATATTTTTACCAGTTTTTTTGGGAGTTGAGAGATAGTGAGTTTTTGCTCCCGTGGTATATTAGTTCACGATAAAAGTTGTCTAGAATCATTAATGAATAGAGTACACGTTTATAATAAAATATTTTATTAATTGGAGCAATTTGTGCACTTTATTGAAACAGCTTTCTGAAAGTTAACAGCACGAAAATTTCTCAGGTAGAATTTATTGTAAATAAAAATTGTAGTTTTTCTTACAAATGAGATATTTTCCTGCGGTAAAAAGTATCCTATAAGTTGACCCGGATAACCAGCTATCACCATAACAAATTTCATCAAAACCCCTCCAGTGGTTTTTCTGTGATGCGGTAACAGACAGACAAAAATTCTAAAAACTATAGATTTGGCCTCTGTATCGATAATAATGTTTATTTCAATAAGATTTTCCAAAAAATATCTAATGTAATGTAGTATCTAAATTCGGCTCAGTTACAATTTTATTATATATATAGATTACTGTTGTTGAACATACATTCATATGTACACACTACACCAACATATTTAATCGTTCTACCAAAGAATATATGTTATATATGGTTGTATTCAGGGTACTAACTAACAGAGTTGTGTATGAGCTTCTTATGTATTAGTTGGTTCTATACACATGACACATACCGGTAATAAGTTGTTCCTGGAAGACGTGCAGCAGCTGCGTGTTGTGCCAGTCGTGCGTGGCGTCGGCGATGGCGTGCAGCTGTATGACGGCGCCGGGCCGCGCCGTGGACTGCTGCGACACGATCTTGATGCGGTCGTACAGCGGCACGGCGCTCTCTTCTACTGTCGAGTCCGAGGACATTGACATTGTGTCGTGCTGCCGATGTTCATTTTTATTGTTAATAACAATAACTATATATAAATAGGACAATAATATTTACTTTAAAATGTCCCTCGCGTCTTCTCCATTGGGACACTGAAGTAAAAATGTGTTGAATGTATTAGACGTTTTACTAATGAAAACACTTTTGGTGTACTTAACAATTAGTTAGTAAGAAGTTGGAAAAACATGTATCGTGGACAACAGTAATTTTTATTAATAGTTATTGTTATTACATTGATTATTATTATTTAGTATAAAATAATAATTGCAAAAATACAAATACTATTTTTTCGGTCTCTATTTCATTTAAACCATTGAAATATGTACTTAAATATATGAAATTTTAATAACTGTCAAATTCAGATAAAAATAATAAATACCATCACATCCTTATGGCGCCGTTCCGAAGTAGCGATTTCTGCTAATAACGTTCGGGCATCGATTACTGCTTGGTACAGTCGTAAACTTTCACCGTCACTCGCTACGAAGCAAGCCGAAGGAGAATTGGATAAATTTCCTAGAGTAGTGCTGTAAACAACATACATACATATGTATAACTGCACGTATATAACTAACATATGATTTTTGTATCGACTATATACTTCGACTGCACTGATTTGGAAGAGATTACATTCAAATACATTATTATATCATTTAATGAGTAATTAGCGTAGCAAATTTAAAAGATTTTTTTTTTATAAAAAAAGTTATAAAAGAATGAAGAAATTGTGTACTAAATTTATAATTCTACTAGCGATTTCCCGAGGCTCCACATGCGGAGTCCAATTTTGTATTACTATATCTTTATAATTTATAGCCTATAACTTCAGAGGGTCATAAAAACCCGTTCAGTAATTTTACGTAAAAGTTTAACAAAAACCTCTACAGTTTTATTATATGATATAAAACAAAGTCCGGTTAGTTACAACACTTATAACTTGAGAACTGCTGGACCGATTTTTATGATCTTTGTTTTGTTGGATTTGTATTCACCCCGAATAGCAGAATAATTATAAAAAAATCAGAAAAATTCACGAAAAAAAAATTGAACAAAAAAAATCTATTCCATACTAAGATCAAAAAGTACCTAGAGACAAACCTGAGCGAAGCGAGGGCGTGTCACTAGTGTATAGTATAAACTATATTAACTCTTAAAAAAACTGTAAATATAGGAGCTCTAAACGACATTTTTCGAACCTACACCGATGTGTTATACATGCGTATATAAATAAGCTACCTAGGCAGCAGCGTGGGCAGCCAGGCGACGTTGCTGAAGGCGGAGAGGTGCGGCGAGTTGACGCGCGCCAGCTCCGACACGCCGCCCGACTTGCCCAGCGGCCCCACGCACTCCACGCGCCACATGATCAGCTCCGAGCACAGCCCGCCCGCCGCCAGCGCCTCGCCCGCCGCGCGCTCGCTGTCTGTGTTGCGAATACAAATCTTATATAATTTTTTAATCTTTATATATCTCTATCTTTATAAATTCTAGAAACCATGAAATTATAATTATCCGGAGATTTGTTAGTAGTCTCGTTTTCTTACAATATAACGGGACAATTTTAGGTATATTATAATATCGATTTTCGCTAAGCACGTTCAGTGATATTATGAATGAATGAGATTTTGGCAGTTTTGATAATTTAACGGTTTCCCTGCGACATTTATATCTGTATAAATATCATAAATGTGAAAGTTTGCGAGTATTGATGTTTGTTACTCTTTCACGCCAGAACGGCTGAATGGATCTAAATGATATTTGGTACAGAGATAGATTATATTCTGGAATAACACATAGGCTACTTTTTCCCCCGGAAAATTGTACGGTTCCCGTATGATAGGTTTGTATGTATGGTTTAACTTGAGTTTGTTGGGGCTAGTCACAGAAACAACTATAATAATTTACAGTATTACCGAATATTCATTTTCACTAATAGAAAGAGAAACCGTCTAGAAAGTTTATAGGCTATATTACACGTATTTTACAAAAATTATACCAGTATCAAAATTGTAAATTAAGACAGAAAAATCGACTCTTCAAGCGCTAGGACGAAATGAGGGTGAGCAATTAGTTATAATATAATCTTGATACTTCTTATATGAAATCATCCATTTAAACAACAATTTTCCGGTATCAAATTGAAAAAGCAACCAGACGAACCTAACGCAAGCGGATATTTTATATGTAATCAATTTTAAAATACCTGAAATATTATGGTGACTGGTTGTGAGCAATAGAGGTAATACTGGATGGCATGTGATGTCATTGACTCTAAATCTATGGCCTGATGCTCTGGATGCGTGCCCGATAGACAGAACCTACAAAAATAACAATAAATAATCACAACACAATAGAAAATAATAAAGAAATAATATAAGTAAAATGAATTATTTACCTGCGAAAACTTAGACTTATCGTCAAACGTTAACTGCCACAAGTTTAATGTGCCATTGGTGTGATTTGTAACCATCGATATAACAGGGGCAGATTCTAAAACATCTCCATCTTGATTTTCTCCCATATCCTCTGTCGCGACACTTGTCTTTCGTTTCATATCATTATTATTTTCTTCTCGAGCTCCTATAATAAGAAAACGTTGAAATATATGTTTTATGTTAAAAACATTAGACCACACATAATATGAAAAGGTAAAGCATACCATTCTCTTGTTGTGCTTTTTGTTCGTCTGTCTGTGGCCATTCTGTATCTTCTTTCTCTTCTTGTACACTTTCTAAAGGGGTCGTTACTGTCTCCCCTTGCTGCTGTTGTCCTGTCAAATATTTGAATGTTTAATTTATATATTAATTTGTATTTTGCAAGTCATTTGTATAGTCTTTTTTTAAGGCCACAATTCAACTTTAATTATATTATTAAGACGTTATATTTGTATCGCTGATTCGTTCAACAATAAAGTTCTGCTTAAGTAGAGCTTAATTATGTACAATATATGTATGTATTTCACAAACATTCTAATATAAAAATGGTAATCTTTTTAATTATACACACTATTAGCAAAAGGAGTGCATTTTTAGAAGTACCTTTATACTTAAAGAATAGGTATTGTGAGTTTGTACATATGGCATTGCATGTACGTATGTATATGTACACGAATACGCATGTAGAGTATACGTGCGGTAATTATAACGGTTACTCCTTTCTGTTAATATAATGTATTATGTAAATTTAATTAACTCATATTATAAAATGTAGTTAGTTATTAACAACGCCAGAATTCCATTACCAAATTACTAAAATGTCGCCCTTATAATTTTCCCATATCTATCCATATATCGCACCTATTTTATTTAAAAAAAAAAGGATCTTATAAATCTAAACACACCATAACTATATACCGGGCGTGATGGTTTTAGTGTAGTAATAAGTCCACCTTATCCACGTTACTTACTGTGTATTTTTTATAACTTATTTGTGTAATAAATAATATATATCTTTATATATATAATTCTTCTGTGAGTGTGTATGTCACTGAACTTCTCTCAAACGACTGGACCGATTTTGATGAAATTTTTTGTGTGTGTTCAAGGGGATCTGGGAATGGTTAATATTCACAATTTGAATAATAATTTTCATCAAAAAAATTATTAAAAAAAGTTTGAAATTTTCAAATTAAAGACGTGTAGACAGGACAACGTCTGTCGGGTCCGCTAGTATATTATATATACATACCGGGCGTGACGGGCTTGGTGCGGTGGCGCACGTACAGCGGCTGCGCGGCGGCGTGGTAGAGCGCGGCCGGCGTGCACATGGTGGTGGCGTCGCCCAGCGGGAAGGCGGCCGGGATGCGCGCTGAGAACGACACCTGCGCCTGCCTGATGGCGCCCGCCTGCAGCTCGTCCAGCCACTCGCAGACCCTGGTTATGTAAACATTATTGTTAATACTTTATTTATTTATTCATAATCGTTACATATTTCAATTGTTCAATAAAAAAAAATACAAAATACAATCACTTTTAATAGCAGTGGGATATCAAGTTTTTTTTTAAACTGATTTATTTTTTTATTAAAAATAATGTTGTAAATAAATAATATAAAGCTAAAGCGTAAGGTCTTATATGCCTGCATTTATACATCATTCGTATATCATTCAAATGCATTTGAGAAATTCGCTTTGTACATTGAAAATATTCTACTAATCGATCGCAGAACTTTATGTGCTCTGCAATTGCGATGTACGTGGTAAAATCATCGTCAAAATCCCAACTCCGGGCAGTCACTGAGAATTTATTTCCAGAACACCTACAAATTATACTTGGATTTCAGACGCACAAGTTTCCGTATTATCATTTATCTTTTTGTAAATGGTTTAATTGTTAAAATAGAAACTAGCACATGAAAAATTTCTATAATGCAAAACTCGGCGATTGAAACCGGATTTGGCTTCGTTTAAATCATTTACTACAGCTATGTTAAAAATCTTATCACAAAAGATACAACTTACCATATAAGAAAGCTACCATCCACAGGATGTATAGAGAACAGCAGATCTGGACTCTGATGCCAGTCGCGCAAAAGCGCCTCTATCTTGGCGTCGAGCGAGTCCGGCAGGTGCGTGCACGTCACGTCCGTCGCGATCGAGTTGATGGACGTCGTGTTGGACAGGCTCGGGTGACTGTGGTTGCCGCTACCTGGGAATACATATTTTTATAGATATGTTTAAGCAACTAGCGACTCACACTCGCTTCGATCATGTACGTCCATAGCTTGATTCCCCATACAAAATTTCATCCCCATTTCCCCCCCCCCCTTAAGATATGATTTCCGAGATTAAAAGTCCCTGTCCATCCCAGGGTCTCAAACTATCTTCTTACCAAATTGCATCTAAATCTGTTCAGTAGATCCATAGATTACTCGGAGTAGTATAATAGTCCGATTATATTATACTTAATACAATTTTATATTAGACTAATCCCTTTTTATTTATTTATAAAAGTTTGTTGGTTTGATTTGAACGCATCAATGGACCAACAAACAAAACGTGACGTAAGCTTTTTATCCCCCATCACTTACTATTAAAAAAAACACCAAAGCATCATCAATTTATCTTATGATTTCAACTTTACCTGGTTGGTCATCGCTATTGCTGTTATCTTCAGACTGAATTTTAGTTAAATGATGGCTCGGACGTCTATTTCCTACATGGCAGCATGGAATAAGCAATGGTATTACAAAGCAAATTTTTATGGTTTTTTAGAATAGCATTGATTGGCTGTATAAATACGGCGTAATGTTCGATGTAAAACTGTTACTTTCGAAGTTCCGCGTGAAACATTTAATAGGTAGAATAACGATAATGTTAGAAAAACGTAAACAGTTTAAGTTTCTTCGTCGATGTGCATATAAGTAGTAAAAATAGCACTTAGATGTTAATTTATGTAAAGTGAATAAAAAAATATGTTTGTGATAATGTGGTGTACCAAAATAATGACGATAAAAAAATTCAAAAACATATTGCACAGCAATATAGTAGATACTATGAGGTACTTAAGATTATGTTAAATATTATATATATATATATATATATATATATATATATATATATATATATATATATACATATATACTATTGAAAAATATACTCATATTTTTCAATAGCTTGTGTATTAGAATAAAATAATAAAAAACAAGACACAAAACATCTGTTAGTGACTGTAACTTAATTTGTTTTATAGTAAAAAAAGATACCCAAGTGTTAATTAACAATTGCTCAGTAAATCGTCAATTAGCCAAGCTTGATTAGATTTAATTGCGGAAATATAAGACAGTAAAAATTCCCATACTTGTCTCATTCTCTCCGTCCGGATGTGTGGTGTGCTCTGAACCAGAACCTCCCTCATCTGTTTCTTCTTTATCTAGAATCTTAAAATAAAATAAAAAAATATGGAATCATGAATACAATATATAACTGTCAGTATACTTTTTCTCAAATTAAAAAAAATTACAAATATATTATGCTAAATATATTTATATATAAAAAGTTGCTCGTTTTGATTTATAAGAATGAATCATCGTCGTCATTGTCTAAACCGAATTGCTCTGATGCTTAAAAAAAAGAAGCTCCACGAAGCAGTTAGCTATTAAATAATAAATATTGAGGATACTAATTAATGGCCCTTATTTAAAATAATATATTTATTTATCTACGTTTAAAACATAATATAACCAATAAGGGAGCGTTGACTAACATTTCAAACAATTTAAACGATATAAACATTAAATTCCTAACAAAACACGAACCTACAGCCTTGGCTCTTTGATACGAGGACCATAGGGTTGCTATTGAAAACCTTTATTAATAATACAACCTGACTGAATAGAGATGAAAAAATTCATTTTTCATTTTTCAATTTCATTTTATTCATATTCATTCAGTCTGTAATTATAAAGTTAGACACATACAATTTTGATTTTAATGAGCGAGTTATTTAAAAGCATTAGACCATTACTCAATTAGTAAATCAACATACTTTCTTAGTAAGATCGTGCAATATAGCCTCAGCCTGGCTCGTGAAGTACATCTCCTTGTTGTGCAGCCAGTGCAGTATGAAGCGGCCGCCGCCCGCCAGCGACGGCACCAACGGGATGTCCGTCTCTGCGTTGATTGACGCTGCGAGGTGGAAGTGGAGGCCTGGACGGAGAACATCTTTTTATTAACAAAAAGTTTTAATTAAAACAAGAAAAACTTAAGTAATTAATAATATGTATTCTGTTTTAATATACATATTTGCTATTAATTATAAATATTATATTTAATAAAATTGCATGTAATTTATTTATGATTTTTTGAGCAATAAATGAATATAAATGCAATAATATCATAACATTCTCTTACACAACACTAAAGCATCGGAGAGGCGTTATTGAGGCATAAGAAAATCAGGAGTAAGTAATAAACATAAATAGACATTGGGCAATATTTATCAAATCACATGTTCGGATAACTATTATAAGCGATAGTTTGTATTTGTTACTCATTCAAGTTAATGTGGCTGGACTGATTTAGATGTAGTTTAGTAGACAAATAAGACTATGGATAATAAATGGTAGTCTACAAGTAATACATGCTACTAATTATATATAACACCTAGTGACGTAGCGTCTGAGCGACGCAAAGGTAAGTCGATAATTTTTGTATATTCGTAATTATGTCAAGGCAGTGGTAGCCCAGTGGTAACGCGCTCGCTTGGGAAACCGGGCGAAGCGAGTACAAATCCCGGGTCTCGCACGTCTGTTATTTATGTGTGAATCATTTCCAACATTACTACCACTTGTCTGAACGGTGAAGAAAAATCATCGAGAGGAAACCTGCACGTCTGAGAGAACCTAGCAAGTTTTCAAAAGACATGTGAAGTCCACCTACCCCCGCACTTGGCCAGCGTGGGGGACTATAGCCTGATTCCCCTCGTACTGAAGGGAGGCCCGTGCCCAGAAGTGGGACGTTAAGAAGGGCTGATAAATACATTCGTAATATTCCAAAAAACTTTAATATCCCAACTTACCCCCAGTGTAGGAAGTGGAGTGGTAGGGGTTGTGGAAGTCGTGCGCACTGTACGTGGAGGGGAGGGTGGGGATGGGCGCGCCGGGCTGCTTCGACGACTGCGCCGTCCGCCGGATGTGGAAACATGTTCTGGAATTATTGGAATTATTTAATTTTGTTTTTATCATATATATATATATCATATCATATATATATATATATATATATATATATATATATATATATATATATATCATATAACTAATAATATATAAATCATATCATATATATATATATATATATATATATATATATATATATCATATAACTATAAGTTTAAAATACAATATAATATATTCCCCAATTTGCACTTGATAACCGTGGATATACTCAATATGCAACCTGTCGCCATCCACTGATAAACAAAGGCTCCTACCGCAAAAAAATCTACCATTCGAGGTCTAAAGTAGTCTATGTACAATCAGGCGCCACATTTCTTAGGTTATCTGTTCATTGCCCTTTTTTATAAACAATTTTGATAGATACCATCTGCACACTATACATCCTATAACTATGAAAAACATGTTGTTTGCCAACATTAAAAAAAAAGTGATTGAAATAAATAAAGCATAAAGCGCTTGCCGCTTAAAGCCTCAACTCACTTCATATGCTTCAAGCGCTGCATAAAGCGGTGCTTGTGCCGGTGCGTGGCGCGCTGGCGGCGCGGCGGCGAGCGCGCGTGCGCCACGCTGCCGCCCCACTCGTCGTCCGGCAGCAGCGTCTCCGCCCACACGCGGCAGATGTTGTCCACGCATGACGTCACTAGCACGTTGCCAACGCTGCCTCTGTGGATTGGAAAGGGATAAATAAATATATCTATAATGTAACATAATATAAACCAATACTTAAGTATTATTGTAGTAATAAATACAGTCTAACGAAAGCGTCTACACGGGGCAATCTGGCGAAGCAATTAGTAACAGAGTAATCTCTGACCTTGCATTATCAACAATTATCAGAAGATTGAATGGACACTTATTAGATGCTCATTTTTGTTTCAATTTAAATTTAAACATAAAAGTATTTAAACAATAGAATAAATATAAATTTATACCGTTATATTTATATATATGACTTAAGACATAAGGCAAAAATATTTATTGATGTAATTCACTTTTAAAAGATAATTAATATTTTTAGCACACTAAATCTTACAGAATAAATAGACAAAATGTAAGAAAAGGACTAAGTCCACACGATTTAATTTTAAACTGAGTATTGTCATTTGTCATCGAGATTTGTGTTTTATAAAAAAAACACAGCACCCTATATTTTATCTTGTAAATATTAATCATATCGATACTAACTTAGGCATATATTTACTAGTTTTCCTCCATGATAAATGCGTGACAGCGCGAGGATGCGCCACATATATGAACGTGTAATTTAAGTCTTGCGGAGAGTGTTCACCGTGCGCTTGAATTAACACTGAAAAAAGTTCATGTTATTTATATTTTCTAAAATTAAAAGAGATTGTGGTGGACAGTAGTATATATTTTATACTAAAAACAATTAACCATTAAGGGTGTACTTTATTATGTTTTAAGTTTTAAGCATTTATTACATACATAATTATATTATTCTATTTGTATTAAATGAAAATAATGTATTGGAAATAAATTTACTTCGTTGGAATCGAACCCGCGGCCTGCGATGTAGTAGTCCATATAACACTACTTCAATAGTTTCAATGGTAAACTTTTCTATAGTAATAATTATTATAACAAACCTTTATTCTGGTACCATATTTTGACGAGCCTATCATTTACACCAGATGTAGCAAACAGCACGCCGTCCGGTGAGAACGCGAGGTGGTGTGCGGGGGTGGCCGTGTGACATTGCCATACGCAGATCCAACCCTAGTATAAATGTAGGTAGCTTAGGTTTACAGGTTTAGGCTTCAAAAAAAAGCTATATTTAAATACTTTTGTATTTAAATATAGAATTGTTTTAAACCTTATTTATTTTTTTTATTTATATAGTGGGGAAATAATTGATTTTTTGAAAATGTGCCAATATATTCTGCAACCATAAAGACATACATTTAAATTGATTAAGCACATATTCCTTTTTTGAAGTCGGCCAAAAGTACAAATTGAAAGATGACACGCATTATTATACAAAACACATAAAATATTCTCTACCTGTTACTAATTTTTGATGCAATATGGAAACCATACATGAGTTTAAGACTTACTATAAAGGAGTCAAGAAGTATAAATTAAGTTATAAATTTATGTACAAATGTGCATATATATATAATAATACAGCAAATTCTTCTGCATTTTAGTATTTTCAATTTAATTTACATATGAAAACCGAGATTTTCTTCTTAAAAATATGATAATAAACATATCAAATCTGTAGATAGAGATAAGCTTTAGGGCATATACACATCACGTTTTAATAACGCACCTAAGAAACACGTATCATGAAAGCTTATTGTCTGCTCATTATCTGTACGAATAAATTTAAAAATAAAAAATATTCTGACCCGCACGTCGAGGTTTCCGCACATTATTATTATTATTAAAAAAATTAAGTAAACTCTTTAATATAATGTAAAGTTTTAAGATATTTTTATAAAATATAAAGCATGTTGTGTTCTCCTATAATTGTGAGTGCATATAGATTAAGTATTGTTAATGTATTAGTGTAAGTTTTTCGTGTACTAACGTTGGAGATTCAAATAAATACATAAATAAATAAATAAATAAATAAATAAATAAATAAACAAATAAATAAATAAATAAATAAATAAATAAATAAATAAATAAATAAATAAATAAATAAATAAATAAATAAATAAATAAATAAATAAATAAATAAATAAATAAATAAATAAATAAATAAATAAATAAATAAATAAATAAATAAATAAATAAATAAATTCCGCACGTTGAGGTTTGAATTTGTTACGTTAAAAGTAAAATAAAATATTTATCCGTCTAATACATACATAATCATTATACTGACGACATAAATAAATTTGTATTAGAACATTTGAATATGAGAAAGACAATTTTAAATACACCGTTTACAAAATTTACGTACACGACTTTAGAAGCGTAGCATTGCAGCAGTTATTTATATGTATGTAGTGCACTATATACTACAGAATCAACACCTCTTACTACAATCTAGCAATATATGTAGCTCCAAGAATCTTCAAATAAAGTGGCTGTGCCATACGAACTGACAGACATGGCCAAATTATAAGGGTTCCACTTTAGCTATTTTGTTACGGAAAGCTAAAAATGCAAATTATATACGTTCATTTCAATATAAATAGGTACTCGACAAGCGACGTTCGTGAGTATAGCTATATTTTACAACTGCATGTTGTCGTCAACTGTGCGTGCGAGTTATAGTCATCGGATGCATACTATAATCATTTCTTGAATCAGTGTACCAAGTTCACACGAATATGTACACTTGTTGCGGTAGAAATTAGAATAACATTTGCACCGTGTTTTTGTTGCGTTACATGAAAGTCGACTGCGCTATAGAATATTGTCATGTGCATAGGCCCGTACGGTCATCATAACACTCACGCGTTAGTCACAATGTTTGATTAATGATAACAATATAAATATAGCAGTGGAACCAAACAACGATAACAGCTGCTTATCTTATCTGAAATTCGTAGACATCGTTGTATACTCACAGGCTCTTCCTCCTCCGGTGGTTTAGATTTTTCATCTTTATCTCCGCCTATTTGGAATGTAACGCCTGAACTTGCTGAAATTATATATAGGAAAATGAAAATCTTGATTGATTTCTATATTTACAAATCTGCATTATTTGACTAAATTCTCCCATTTTATACTTTGATGAGTAATTTAAAATTGTATTAATTAACTGCTGTTTAGTTTTATTACTTCAAGGGCACAACAGGCTACAATTTTTTCGTGATCGTCTACTAAAACAGTATTGTTTAAAGTACCTGGGCGACCGAACTTCGCTCGGAGTTCTTTTTTGTTATATCGTATTTATTAGATCGAGCCATTTCCGAATATATGTAAATAAATATACAAGAATTGCTCGTTTAAAGGTATTAGATAATTAAAATTAATGAAAAAAATAGAAAAATCTATGATTTAATTTCCATTTCCAAAGCCATCTTTTACGTAACATCGACAGATCCGCTAACTATACCGCTTTGCAGATCTTTAAAAATCAATGTAGATTGCGCAATAAGAGGGGACTGGATATTTTCGAAAGCACATATTTATTACAACTACAGTAATGATAAATATAAAAATAATTTAGAATATCTTGCAGTCGCTGCCTTTCAATATTGAGAAATGACGGGAAACAAAGATACTATAATATTTTTTACAGATAAAGTTGTGCCTACTGGTGATTCTAGGTATTCTCTGACTCCTCACCCAATGTGCGTTCACCTTGTCATGGTTCGGCGGCTCATTAACGTCCGACAATTCAGCCGAGCGCGAAGCAAAGTAAGAAACGCACTGAGAGGAGGCTCACTTTGGTGGGCGGTGTGCCATGCGGGCTTCTCCTGGTACTTCCCTGATAGCAGAGTAGACTGTTGGAGAAACCCTACGATTGTTGTGGTCTGCTTCGGCAGACCTGCCATCGGGGCATCGTGGTTGAGTACGATAGCGATCTTGCAACGACCCAATATGTTAGTCCGTCCCAAATTAGTGGGTAGTACTGGCTTTTTTAACCGATGAGTCCCACGTAACCACCTGTATATATACAGGTGGTATGCCTAAATGCATTTCTCAACATAAAAAAAAAACTGACTCTGTGTTCTCTATCTAGTAATGAAGCTGATTGAAGATAATAATGAATTAAGTAATAGTAATAATAAGTATTTTTTTTGTCTGTTAAATCACATAACGTTTATGTAATTTAAATTAAAAGAGAAAATCTATAAAATTGCTAGCAGAAAACTTTCTGGAAATGCGCCAGTGCGGCGGCGGTTTATTCATGATAATATGGCTTTTCGTCTCGAAGCTGAAGCTACAACTTAGGTAATCATTTTACAAAGATTCACTTTGAACAAAGAGAACGTGCCAATACCTTATATATATGTAGTATAGGTATTGAGTCTACTCGTGTATTTCAAAAATATCTACTCTTTTTATTTTATTGTTATCATTGGCACGGCATAGTACCCTCGTAAAGATAGATTAGATAGAACTTAATCTCTTTGCAGAATGCACTTTCCAACTTACTAATTCAATGGAGGTATTTTTATTTCAATATCGATTCTAATATTTTGAGCTTTGCAATTTAGCTGAATATCATATTTCACATTTCTTATAAATCCTAATCAATTAATATAAAACTAAAGACTAACATTAGAATCAAACACGTACATAATATGTAAGGTTGCATTTTTATATATTGAGCGTTTTAATAGAAAATAATATATTTGATTAATTTGTAATGATTTATGTATAAAGCATTTAGTTATGTGACCTTGGCCGATAGGAATGTTTAAAAAAAAAAAAAAGGGCGCGGATATTCATTTGTTTTCCCGCGCTTTTGCACAGCGAAGTCGGTACCACCAGCTGTTACTAGTGAATAGGCACTAATTGTTTGTAAATTGTAATACTGAAAATTATGGTTATAAATTATGTAAGTCACTGACGATTATAAAAATACTGAATATAAGAATATAAGCAAGGAATATCTCGAAGTTTTATTAGGGATCCTATACGTATAGTCATTATTTTCAGCAATAACGATTTTAACGATATCGATGACGTTTATAGAACTCAAACGATATTTATTTTCGTTTAGGTGAGCCATTTATAATAATACTTTCATATTTAATATACCTATAGCAAAACTAGCTAAACTAAACTATAAATATTTTTAATGAAAAGTATTACTTGACACATTATGGCTTTGTTAAAAAAAATAACGCTTCGCTCGGGTTCGTCTCTAGGTTGATCCCCGTACAGACTTTCATCCTCATCCCTTAAGGGATGATTTCAGGAATAAAAAATATCCTTGTTCTTTTTTTTTTTAATATGGCTTATAATCCTTGTTCTTACTAGAGTCTTAAACTATCTTCGTACCAAATTTCATCTAAATCGGTTTCGTAGTTTTTAAGTATATTAGTTACAAACGTACAAAAACAAGATTTGTGTTCTCTTTATAATAGTAGTGTAGATAAAATAATAAAGTGTTCCGTCTATATATCTTACGTTGACTGTCGTCTTGATAAAGCGATGCCTGATGCCATAGTTGTAAAAGCTTCCCGCCAGTGAGGAGTCGCGTGCCCTCGAGGTTCCATGATAGCGCTGTTATAGGACCCTCTGCTACCAATTTCCCTGTTTGCACCCAACGGTACTCTAAACCCTTAAATCAGTAAAGTAAGATGCATTATATGAAACAATAATATCAGACAGATAATCGTAGGAGAGATTGTGGAAGACTTAAATTGGTTTTATCCAAATCTTTGATTATTTTTTTTTATTTTTTAGCATTGAAGCCATTTGTTATTGCTGTGAAGTGGACAGGGGTTACCATAAATAGCACACAATGGTAGATTCGAAGCCAGGAAAAAAGACGAAGAAAACATTGAAACAACTAGGTAATCTTAAAAACTATTGCTGCCATTTATTCTATTTAGTAGGTTAAACAACATAAATTACAAGGAAGGGCGACAATATGGTTTAAAACGTGTAATTACATTTAAAAATATAGTCTCTTGTCCATAATTCATCAAATAATATCATGTTGCTTGAACGTCGAAATTTACTTTCGACATATCTCTGAATTTGTTAATCCAATCATCAATTTATACCTATCAAAACGAGTTCCATAAAATGCGATAAAAATAATGTTTTGGCGATTAAGATTAGAATTAGCATTCATAGTTGTTGTTTATTAAGTAAAACTGATTTAAAACCAGATATTAAAAACTCGGACAATCGACAAGTAGGTACGAATCTGACCCGCGTACCGTGGTTCCGTATCATAAAACGTATGCTAATAAAATAGTAAAATAGCAGAATCATCGGACATATATATTATGACCATGAAATTTTAATGGTTTTGGCATTTTAGCTACGGAATCCTAAAAGGAGTAGACTTACTGACTGATAGAATTGAATATAAAATGAATTAGGTGAAAATGAAGTGTTCTGGTTTGAATTAACCTTTTTTGTTTTTATTTTAAAATATCTAAAACCACTATTGTGATGAAAACATCAGCAATGTTGAATATGTAAACAAATTTTTGTCGTAAATAAGTGGAAAATTAACTCCAGCTCGAACTAATATTTACATGTTACGTTAACGCGAAGAAGGAAGGACTATCCACTCATAATGCATACTGCACAGAGGAGGAGTACCTACCTAATACTACCTACTATAAAGCCCGCAAAATACTTTGACTTTCAGTTGATTTGGCAACTTACATGGAAACAAAATATAATGAAGAAAGGATCATTTAATATGATATACAAAGATCGAAGGGGCGAAAAGGCAAACTCTCAAATTAATAATTATAATTAGACGCAACATCATAGTTTCCAGTAAATCGCTTTTTTGTACTCAACACTGTCCCAAACCTCGGATTCCGGGATTGATATATCTAAATAAGTTTACTTTAAAGATTCTATTATCTAGATCCGCATGAAAAATAACATGTTACCAAAACATATCAGTTTAAAGGTAAATTATTATTTAAATAGAATAAAATACATGTATAGTTACCACTTAAAATAAAAATGGTCAATTTTTATTTTACGTGGTTCGTTTACGTTAACATAAGAATTATAAAACGTTTTAATATTTTATTTCTAGATTATTCCACCAGTTTATAAATATAGTATTCCTATAGTATTGGTTAAGATTTAATTAATTTAGCCAATATCATACAAAAACAGACGTATGTCTGGACGAAATTGTTACTGTCGATAGCCTTCAATCGCAATGAGCATTTCTATTTTTAAGATATCTTTATATTTAAATCGAAATATTATCAACGTAGCGAAGGTAAATGATACATGGATATATGTATGTATGTATATCAGAATTAAAAATAAAACAGGACTAAAAGATATATTCTAATTATTTTATGATTATTAACAACTATATACTAGGCACTATGTATGGAATTGGATTTGATTTCAAAGAAGAACTAGACCCTCGAGTTTAATTCAATACGCAATGAGTTAAAAAAAATGTCTTGTCTTTGTAATAGAGATTTTTTTTAATCGCTTTAATTACGTCATAATAATACATACATACATACGTATCTATAATCGTCGGGGTCTAAAGGAGACTATTTCGTACGATTTTAGTCATGCACCATGAAGTTTTTTAACCAACACAATCACAAACAAATTTTAATTTATATTATATATTGATATAAAGGGCAAGGCAAAAGGCAAAAGGCAGTGGTAGCCCAGTGGTAACGCGCTTGTTTGGGAAACCGAGTGAAGCGGGTTCAAATCCCGGGTCTCGCACCACTGATATTTTCATGTGCGAATCATTTCTAACATGATTACCTTACGGTGAAGGAAAAACATCGTGAGGAAACCTGCATGTGTGAGAGAACTTAGCAAGTTTTCGAAAGACATGTGAAGTCCGCCAACCCGCACTTGGCCAGCGTGGTGGACTATGGCCTGATCCCCCTCGTATTGAAGGGAGGCCCGTGCCCAGCAGTGGGACGTTAAAAAAGGGCTGAATACATACATACAATTGATATAAAAAAATACTATATATCAATGTATATTTGTATATCATATTATTGTAATGTAAATGCAAAGTGAACGTTATTATGTAGAGCAGTTTCACATTCAATAGCATGTCATGTGACTAGATACTAGAGCGTTGAACGAAGTGAGCATAATCAATTGTTTCATCTCTATTTACCATCAACATCTAACCACAAATTTAAAATTTGTACTATTTAACAAAATTAATACACTACCGGTTGTTCGTAATGACTGCACGATGCGACGATAATGAGTACATACGAATTGGCCAAATGTAAGCAATTAAATGGCAAGTGGATTGAATTGTCGTTTGCGCGTATTATATTACAAAATCTACGTATGCTTCAAAGAATATGTTGTGCCTAGAGAATACAAGCGCAAATATTAAACACTTTTAGTAATTTTACCACCACTGAAATATTGAATTAAAGTATCACGCGATCCAAGCATGTAATTGAACAGGATATTATACATTTCATTATTAAGCGTCAAGGTAACACTTCAGCGCGCTTTCGGTATTTCAAATATTCCCAAGTGTTTGTTTAATAACAACATAATTAAAATTTTTTTTTTTTGCAGCTACAGTCTTGAAAAAAACCATAATAGTATAATCTTATATTTATTTTCTTTTTTTCTCTTGTATTTTTAATGATACCTCTATAGCCTATTTACGTAAAAAATTAAAGCAAATTGTTTAGTTTAATAGCTGTTGTTAGTAATTCATATTTTTTTTAAGTTTTTCATTATTGTTGGTAGATAAAAGCCGTTCCTCATTGTTGCCGTAGGTTAAATCTCGTTTTTTGTAATATTATGTTTTGTTATATATGCATGCTGTATCTGCATCTAGAAAAATGCAATCTTGTGTATTAATTTTGCAAGCTATTCTTATTTTGTATGTGTTTGATTGTCATTTGTCTTGTGGACCAATAAACATAAATAAATAAATAAATCTTAATTTCAAAATAACAGTTTAAAGTGGTGTACAAATATTACAATACTATTATCCCTGAAACAGAATAAAACCCATTGGCCTGACAAAAACTAAAAGGCACTGTAGAGATGTAACTTAAGTAATGAACTAAACCTAATATTTAATATACATGTGTTTAAGTATTTGCCAATTTTATGTAATATGTTTTACTAATTTTAAATGTACATTTAAGAAGAATATATTAATATATAATTTACATTTTAACAAAAATAAAAATGAGGTCTTACAAGTATGAGGTACTGAGGCATCAAAATGGACACACAATTCTAATAACATTAGCCAAAACATTGATTTAGATAGAGGATTAACATGCTTTTAATTGCTCTACTTAAGCAATGAACCATAAACTAAATGTGGAAAGTAAATTATATAATTATTATTCCTTCTAATAATACTGATAGCAATACTATGACTGTACATAATTTTTTGATGATTAATAAAATAATAAATAAACAAATGTGGGACATAAATATGTAATTTTTATAAAATGCTATTTTATACCTGAAAATCACAGGATAAATATACTATATATAACTACTAGCATTTTTCCACAGCTCCACCGCTATAATAGACTTATTATTATTAAATTGATACATGTCAATCTTACGCCAACACAGTATTATAAAATTATAATAAAAATTGATCAATTAGTTGAAATTTTTAAATCATCAAATATTACTAAAAATATTCCTTTACAATTTATTATTAAATATATTTAATTAATCCACAAGTGAATTTATCATCCTTATAATAATTGTAAGAATACTGCTTAAAAAATGTTTATACACAAAAATTTCTATACCAATTTGAATCTCAAGTAATTTTACCAAATTAATTAACTTACATGTGTTGTAGCAGCAGTATGTATTAAAGGGGTTGGTTCAAAAATACACACTTCAGCTCCATATGCAGCTGCAATCTTTCCAGTATCAGTACTACAATCCAATGAACTGATACGCACATAGCCATGGATAGCTCCAGGGATTATTTGAACACGCTCAAAATTGGAAGCAAGAATCACTATATTACATCCAGCAGCATAAGCCTAAAAAATATTATTTATTAACTTTTTAGAGCAATAAAATGTTTAATACCTAATGACATTAAATATAAAACCAAACATTTCAATTTATTTCAAAAATGTGCTAAAGTTTTATAAAAATAATATATATACAACAGCATATATAATGACAAATACAACAGCACATAAAATAACTACAAGGTAAACAATGCCTTAACAATAATATATAAACACAAATGTAATGTAAATTAATTTCCAAGGATAATCCTTAACAATGACCTACCATCACAATTTCGATTATTTTAGGTGGAACGCATTTAACGCCTATTGTTATGTTTCAAACTAAGCAATGAATATTGTATACTTATCATACTAGCTCAAATTAATTTTTCTTGTTGGGTCCATCACTTTTCAATTCCTACTTAGGATTTGAGACATCTGGTCACGAGATTTTAAGTATGAAACGCAGAATCATTTTAGATTAAAGTACTTACAGTAAAAGGTATTCCTTCGACTGAACCAACAGCAAAACATTGATCTCCTGAATTACAGGCACCACTAAGTACTTGATGACAGTTCATAATGAGCTATTATAACTAAAATTTCAGCGCTATAATTGTACTAAGCAATAGTATGACACGAGTACATTTTTAAATACGTAGAACATAGTTAGTTGAAATAAAATAAAACATTTTAGATTAGTTTTACTATGAGTTCTACGATCACGAATATTTCTCTCTGACACCACACATCGAACGTGAGAGAATGACGTACGTAACGTAAGAAAGAGACAACTTATAATTTCGAAAAGTCACTTTCATTTAAAGTGACATTTTAAAGTGATTATAGATGGCAGATAATTTAGATTCTTAATCAATGGCAAAAAATATCAACAATATGTTCTTTTAAATAAAAAAAGAGCTGAAATCGAGATTAAATGAGATATTTTTATTGACACTAATAATAGTTGATTTTTTTAATTATTACAAAAATAAAAAACCCGACTTTGTAAAAAACAAAGTAAAAAGATGAAAACAAGTTGACGAAGGAACATACTATTACGCAGTCGGAGACATACACATGTACATGTTTATAATAGCTGCGTGTGTGTATGTCTCCGACTGCATAATAGGGCATCTTTTAGATCACTTTTTTCGCTGTTGGGTTTTTCCTTTCTAAATATTTTTTGATTTTTTTTTGTTTTTTATACATTTTTGTAATTCATTTATAAAACCCTTTATTTTCATACCCTACTCGATAGGATTTGAAGAATGTTTTTGAAGACATAGTAATAACACCAAATATCGGCTACTTTAATTTTCATATTTTTTTATACCCAATGTCACTCTCACAATTAAAAGGAATCTAACGACAAATCTCAAGTTAAAATTTATCAAGTCGTTTAGGCTACAGAGCATGCCAAAGAAATATACATATGTACATACATACACTCAAAAACATAACCCTCATTCTGCCGCAGACGGGTAAAAAGACAGTAAAAAGACAATGCTACAAAATATTTACACATCGGTATCCTTCAACTGCTATACCCAGCACACACCGGTTCAGCCATATATTGAATTTAACCAGCTTCTGATCAAATCAACTTGTGACTATAATCTAATTTTCGACACGTAACTTTAACGCTCAACAAAAGAGTAAGGATTAGTATGCACATCGTGCACATTTTAGACAATAAAAAGTTCAATTCAATAATAATTATTTTTGAAGAGAAAACTTCTATAGGCAGGTTTTGATGGGGAGTAAATTCATGTAAATCGTCGTCATCGATATGGTCACGTGACGTGTTAACATTAACACTCTGGTCTCAGAGAAATATAAACAGTTTTAATTTACAAATTTTAATTTAAGATCAAACAATTAATTTGAATATCCAAAAATAACTGTTTATAGTTTTAAGTTTTCACTTCTGTCGCCAGTCCTCATAAGTCATGAATCATGACTGCTTTTTTTATGAAATAAAATGGCTAGAGCTCTGAAAATCGGAACCCGGATAAATGGATGTTATATAAAAATTTCAGTTTGCAAATAAATACATCCATATTTGATATTTTCATATATATTTTTATTATGGCCTTCTAGATCTGTAAACGGTTAGTTGATAGAACTAAGCTATGACATGTTTCGTGTGGAGACGTAACGAGTAACTAAATAATTATCTGTGACTTTGTCAAAAATTATACATATCCTGTTGGTATATTAGCTGTTTTTGTATATTGATGTGGTATCGATCTCCTAAGAATTTGAATTACCTATTTGTAAAATTAATTATTGTGCTAAAGTGATATCAGATAACAGGGGTTCAATTAAGTTTTTACTTTTAATTCAGAATAAGGATTAAAACTGAGGTAAGGTAGTAGTAGGTACTTTAAGACTATTTTTTCGTTTTTCTACAAGACTTGCTTCTTTTCTCATATATATTATGTATTTATTAGACATCACAGTCAATGTTTGCTGTGTTGTTTGCAATAAATGATTCGCTGACCTGTTTTAATTTTAATAATTCTATATTTTAGTCTTTGTAAGAGACTCATTTAAATTTGTTATAATGTAATCATTACAACATGACAATAGCTATATTTTTTAATTTAATAGAAATAAGAATTAAGTTATAAAACTGATTAGGTAATTTCGAAAATTCTTTAAGTTTACATTTGTACTCATTAGAAAAAAATTGCTATATCTATTAATTATAGATAATGTTAATCCTATTAATAAAATATCCTGAACATATTGATATCAATTGAATTAAAACTTAAACACAAAGTTGCATCAACTTTTTTCAGTAAGTCAATCAATTCATAAATAGAGTTGTTTCAATGTTTGACAAAATTATTATTAAAACATATTTGTGAAATATTAATAATTGTTTTTTATAATTTTATGCATTGAAAGTACATTTGCTGTTATTAAGATGATATTATATTCAATAATTATTAACATATAATATCTATAAAAATGTATAACGGATACCTAACAGATAATATATTATTACAAAAAAAATATTTTTATAAAACCAATTAAACATTTCTGAGTGATAAAAATATGATTATTTAATTGTATAATGTGTAAACATGAATATAACATTGTTATCTCATTGGTTCATTTTATTTTATCAGTAAAAATTGATATGATATAATTGGAATCACTGGCCTTTATTTCCCGTGAACAACACACACAATGATTATATTTTTGAACAGAGACTTGTTCTTCTAATTGAGGTTAATAACAGGCTCACTGATATAGTGAGAAATTTACTGACTAATCAAATTTTCACCCAAACAATTTTCAACCTTATGTTGTTTAAAATCAAAGACTATTACACTAAGTTATGATACAAGGCCTTTTTTTTAACTAGATAATTTTTTCCATGCTTCTCGAAGATTAAGTTACATATTATTGATTTTGGATAAAAGTTATATAAAATATCATGTCTTTGTATATATCACTGTTTGTAAACTTAATAGTTTGCACTTCATGCACTTTTTAAAACTTGAAAAGAATTTATAAAAAAACCTGAAGAATATTCATTCTCTATTCATTAGAAAAAAATACTGTCAAACTGGATATTAGCAACATTTATATAATTGCATGGGATATTACTATTTAATAAAACAATATTTTCTTAATTTTTTTATATTATTACTCAAAGAAAAGTTAAAATATTTTGTTGGTAAGCATATAGGAATAACTTTTAGTCTCTTAGTCATTTATAAATGAATTATTTAAACAAGGGACTGTAAATTCAATTTTTAGGATTGAGCATTAATGAAAAATCATTATTAAAATACTTAGTGACTGCAAAGTCTTAAAACAGTAAGTGATATACAGTTTTTTTATTTTCTATTAAATAATGAGCAACATGATCTTTATTGTACAGACAATGTAATTTCTGTTTGAGTAATGGCATCATTTCTTGCAAAAATATTTTATTTTTGAGCAAGAAATATTTTGCTAAGCAATTGCATTACTATTATTATCTCAAACTTGTTTGATTTTGTTATGCAAATATAAATTTCAAGTGGAAATTACAAAAAGTCACAAATGGGTTGGTATTGGCATTCTTTTCTTAATTCTCATAATTTCATAGAAATATGTTTTCTACGAAAAATCTACTCAATATTTAATGAAAGATTTGTTCCATATATCACAAACTAAGTGAATTTATCTCATTCCAATGAGTAACCGAGGTTGAATTTAACAAAGTAAGCACGGCAGGGTAGTAGTGGGTTTCTGAGATAAAAAAAATAATTAAAGAAAGAGTTCTTACCTACCATATCGTGTTGTTTTATCTGAGCTTTAGCTTTAAAAATGTTGCCTACAATAATTGGAAAAAAAATCCCGCCCGCGTAAAAGAGTGTCGTTCCGCCCACCTTTAAAATCGCGCCGCGAGCAAATACGTTACTTTCATTATATCCAAATATAAACACAATCTCAAATAATGTAATAGTCATAAACAATTTTTTCAACTTCATTAAAATTAAATTTTAATTTCATTCATAAATATTGTGTAGTATTAATAATGATATATCGTGTAATATTATATTGTGTATCTGCTTGTTCAATTTATCTCGCTCACTTAATATTTTAATTAATTGATAGAGAGCATTATCTATACTTAATAATAAAAAGAGGTAAAGTTTGTAAGTTTGTGATGCTGTAGGGGGTAATCTCTGAATCTACTGCACCGATTTAGATGAAATTTGGTAAGAAGATAGTTTAGGACCCTGGGAAGGACATAGGATACTTTTTATCCCGGAAATCATCCAATAAGGGGTGAAAGTGGGGATGAAAGTTTGTATTGGGAAGCAAGCTAGGGACGAACACGAGTGAAGCGGATAATAATATTATTGCTTGTCGCGACTCGCGTTTTACGAATTGAACTTTTCTTTGAACCTGTTCTATCAATCAACATTATCAGTCAGTTTACTCGTAATAAATTTTATGTAATGATAAAACGCTATTCAAGTTAGTTTTATTGAGTACTGTTATCAATCAAAAAAGGATTTTTGAGATGCTCATTTAATAGGAATATGCGTAATTTTTTTTATACAATAGCTAATCTAATTATATAATTGTAAAAAAAATATCTAGCTACAAAAAAATAAAATTTAGTATAATTTTATTTTAAAAAATATCATACCGATACGGATACTTTAAACGCCCGCCATTTCGCGCGCTTGGCGTGACGTCAATGTATCTATCATACATAGAAAAATGACGACTATAATAATTTGTAGCGACAAAATCGCTATTTTGCTCTGTTATGATAATACTTTGACGTCATACTGACCAATGGCGTGTGTTTTACCTACTTTGATTTTTCTACCTATATTTGCACTTTTTAATAATGATTATATTCGTAATAAAAAAGAAATTACATTAAAAAATATTGATATAGGCTTAATTCAAAAGCAATGAAGATTATAAAAAAAATATTTCACCTTTATTTAAATCACACGCATATTCCCTATTATGGTAGGTATCTATTTTTATCATTTAGCTGATTTTCTTTAAAACCTCTGCGTGATATAGTTTATTTGATCTACACAATTTCCTC